ATCGCGCGCCTTGAAGCCCTCGCCTTTCACGGCCGCTTGAATCTACCGATTGTGAGTTATCAGGTGTGCACTGAGACGGGGCAGCCTCCTGTCGCTATGAACCCACCTTCTCCTCAAGAGCCACCCATGAACCGTAGGAGCCGCTGTCGGGAAATCTGATTGCCATTAGCCACGCCACTCCTGCTACTTTTAATTCCCGGACATGTCTCACCTGCTTCCGTGTCTCACCACATAGGCAGCCTGCTGAACGGTGCACTGCGAGGGAACCTCGTTGGAGATGCCATTGACATTTGGGCCTGGTTTCTGTATCAGTCAGGCCAATTGCTAGATGGGCGTGGATGGAACTCACCAGTAAAGTAGGGCGTATTCCCGCCAGAATAGATCAAGGGGTTTGAAGAGTGGGCAGCTGCAGGGAACAGGATATCGTTGATCGGGGCCAGAACCGGACCGGCACTGGCAACTCCCAGCAGAGCAGCGACAGTAGCGAACGCAGCCATGATTAAAGAGACAATTGGAATTGGCAATGCGCACAGTGCTCTGATCAACTCTCAGCAGCATCCAACCCAGGGCTGCACCAGCCCAATATATACTAAAGTTAAGTACGGAGAGTAGCATGATTATTGCCGGAACCCCCTTTTCATGCATGCATCACTGCATGTCACTGCATTATCGGCAACGGTCAAGCGACAAACGAGATTTGGGACCAAGTCAAGGGCCCACGGTCTTTGCCTATGAAAGGGCGACGGGAGGCCATGTGCTGCAGTGTGCTGCAATGTGCTGCAGCGTGCTGCCGACTAAATGAGGGTTAATTTGCTTAGCGTTGTTGACCCGCGAGAGCCCGGCCAGTTTAGCCAGAATCACCGCGCCCTCGGACCACGTGCCCTATAGCGGTCTCCACTTGATTAATTTATTTCCAGGAACCAAGGCTTTAGCACCTTTAGTACCTGCATGACTCCTGTCTATCGCCTTGGCTGACACGTGCGGAAAAGTGTTTCTGGATTTGCCCATGTGCTCATGTGCTCTTACGATTTCACTAGAGTACCAAATTCAAACTCTATTTACAAAATATAAGCAGCGAAAAGACTCACCACCACGCAAATGAGGCTAGAGGAGAGGCAGAGGGAGAGGGATGCGGCAGCCCCAGTGTAGAGCGCGCCCCCGGCGGTGGTAGTGGAAGATCCAGCATAAGTACCAGCCGGAGACGAGGCTGCGGCAGACGCTGCGACCGCAGAGGATGCTCTGACTGAGGGGATCAGGGAGCCCGGCAGGCTTGGGGACTGTGAGCCTGAAGAAGATTGCCCACCACTGCCCTCAACCTGGGCATTGGAGCCCAGTTTGGTGGCGGACTGTGTCGCACCGATGGCATCCACACCTTCCGGCTTGGAGATCTCCGTGCCCATAGCACCAGACGCAGCAGTAGCCGATCCGATGGACTCGACATTCAGATAGACCGTGGTCCCGACTGGAATCAGGGTGGTATACACAGAGACAGTCTCTTGGGGAGCAGCCTGGTCGGCCGATCCCATAGGAACAGCCGTCACCGTATAAACAGCAGTATCATAAATGGTGGAGGTGGAATACACCTTCCCATTAGCGGGCCCTGCGGTCGAATAGGGCTCAGTGGCCACCACAGTATAGGTTGTCAGATGCGCAGGGACCGTCTCGGTGGTCACAAAGGTCGACTTCGCCGATGCAGGACAGTTCTGATATCCTGACGGGCAAGCAGTCACCGTACGAACCGATGTGCTGTACACCGTGGAGGTAAGATATTCCGTGACACGAGAGAGAAAACCGGTAGTGGCTGTGGCCGCGGTGGCGACGCCAGTCTGGATGGCAGTCACCGGGCAAACTGTGGTGTAGTCCACAATAGTCTCAGTCGTGAGGTACGTGGTCTGCTTCGAGGCGGGGCAATTCTTGATCGAAGATGGACAAGCGGTCACCGTATGCACGGAGGTTGTATACACGGTGGACGTGGTGATTTCCTCATGTCCAGAGGCACTGAACGCGCGGGTGGTTGTTGCAGGCACGTGGGTCCCGGCGGCAGTAACCGGGCAGATGGTCGTATAGTCGACCACAGTTTCGGTGGTCAGGTAAGTGGTCTTCGCGGAGGCAGGGCAGTTCTTGATGGTCGACGGGCAGGCTGTGACAGTATGCACCTCCGTGTGCGAGACAGTGGAGGTGGTAAAAACCCCAAAGTCGGAGATAGCGTTGCCGGAACCCAAAGTGTTGAATGTTGAGCCAGAGCCAGGCTGGGAGAGAGACGAGCTGGACAAACCGGAAGCAGTAGAAATGGACGACCCAGGCCCAGCGCTGACTCCCGACGATCCAGAAGCAGACGAGGAACCAGAAGAGGAACCAGAAGAACTCGACGAGCCAGACGAACTAGATCCAGCGACAGCTCCTGATGATCCAGACCCAGATGGGGATCCAGACGAGGTTCCAGATGAGGATCCAGACGAGGTTCCAGACGAGGTTCCAGATGAGGATCCAGACGAGGATCCAGACGAGGACCCAGACGAGGATCCAGAAGAGCCAGCGCCAGAGGTACCCGAACCGGAGGAGTTCGAGCCGGTCACAGGGCCAGAGCTGGGCCTAGTGCTTGGGGTGATTGATGGGCTGGGACGGGTCACAAACAAAGGCACACTCGAGCTGGCCTGAGGACTGGGAGTAGGGCTTTGCACGGCAACACTGACAGCAGAAGATGGGCTTTGAACAGCAATAGCTGAGCTCTGAGAAGCGAGAGGCGAGCTCGACGCAGCCGCAGAAATAGTAGGAGTAGCAGCAGCGGCAGCAGAGGCGGCACATTGTTCGGCAGCCGCAAGACTGGTGTCCACAATAAGATCCGAAACCTCAACCGTGGCCCCGGTTCCATCACAAACCACTTTGATCGTGAGGATAGAGGTACTGGAGGTTGAACTACCTAAGCAGGTCGAGAAGGGGGCCGACGAACCCGCTGGGACGGTCAGGCTGTCGATGAGATCGTTGCCCTGATAAATGCTCAACGCGCAGGAGACACCACTGCGCTTGCGCTTGGTGGCAACCGAATCGGAAACTGAGATTGTGCCCGAAACCGAGGCATCGTCGGAGGTGTCTACGGACTGTGACGCCTCCAGAGACGTTCCAGCGGTGGTATCAGCCGTGAGCGTGGTGCCATTGTCATCGGTTGTAGCGGTCGTGCCAGAAGACGTCGACCAGGTGGCTGTAGTAGCACTGCTGGCAGTGGAGGAAGCAGCAGGGAAGGAAGAAGTCGTTGTGCTCAAGGCCGTAGTCACGGAGCCCAGCGAATCGTCACTACTGGTAGTGCTCACGGCGCTCGACGTGCTGTCGGTTGTGGCGGAGTTGACAGTGCTTGCGGCACTCGCGGAGGAGGTTGTGTCCGAGCAGGCGCTGACCATGGAGATGTCGGCCAGACCAATGACAGGGTTTCCGTTAGAAGCTCCCTGTGAGCAACTGATGGTGATCACAAAAGGAATTCCGGTGGAGGAAGTGGGCGTGTACGTCCCAGAGACACTCGACCAGCCACTAGAACGGCCAGCCACGAGGGCAGCAGATGCCGCAGTGAAGGAATTGCCTTCGACGGCGACGGTAAGGGTACAGGACGCTCCGGTCGAATCGTCCGTCGTGATGGACCAGTCCAGGGAGACATGATAGGAGGTGCCTACTTCCACCGAGGGAATGTTCTGACGCACAATCACCCAGCTATAGCTGAAATCGTCGATCTCACTGTGAAGTGGTTAGGGTCCGCCTGTATCTGGGCTATGCATTGGCTACGCATTGGCTAGGCACACTTACAGGTAGGCACCACCATCGGGACCCCCAGTATCGACCACCGAAAATGTCTTCAGTGTAGGGCCGGCACTCGTACTCCAGAAGGAAGTGTACGCCGACGACCCTCCTTGAATGACATCGGTGCCCGTACAGGCCGCAGCCATCTGGATCAGCGGCATCAAGCCCGCTCCGAAGAGCAGGGTACGAAGAGCAGCCATCGTGTACCAATTACCTGTCTATCCATGTTGGAGAGTAAGGGACAGAGCTGAACATATAGTGAGGACTTGTTCAACCTCTCCTGGTCTCCTGGTCGGGCTCGTATTCTTTTTTTGGTTCCCTGTGGCCTTCGGATGGATCGCATTCACTAGAGGCGCAAAGAAGGCGAGTTTAGGCGACGGCGGGGGGAGCGCCTTACACAATCCAGCAATTTAGGCCGACCATCCACCAGATTTGCCCCTGAACGCTCACGGTCAAGTCCGAAGAGATGGCAAGTCACTGGATCTCGCTCTGATTAAGCTCGATTAGGTTTCTCGATCCTTGCTGTGCCCCACCGAAGCCAGGGGAAGAGGAGGTTCCCAGGCCATGCTCCTTCTGCACATTCTGCCCATTCTGCACGGGTTCCCACGTGGGAATGAGGCCGCATGATGCTCGAGATTTTCAGTCTATTGCTTGACTATTGGCTCTGCTGCCCATGCCACCCTGAACTAGTGATGTGATGCTGCTGAACGTCGGAGATTTCACCCGACCGTGAGGAGTAGTCCCGGCTGCGATCGGGCAAGGATGTGGGGAAGTCTCCCTTGCCCGTGGCGTGGTATGTACATGTAGATCGAAGGACATACTTATACTCCGTACGTGAACATACAGCTATCGGCAAAGATGCATTATATGGCCTGTTCGAAAGAATGGTGTAGGTTCGGTCAGTGGTTACTGCGATGGCGCTTGACTACCTCCCTATCCCGGGCACCTTCTCGCCGTCCCGTCTAGGACTCACTATGCTCGATTTTCCTGGGCAGCAACCAGAATAACATGCTTCATAGACAAAGCTACGAACGACCTCAATCCATGCATCTCGGACATACCATCTACATCCATGCGGTTCCCAAAGACGATTTCGACTTAAGCAAAATCGCGACCGTTGGAAACGAAGCCATCGTTGGGGATCTCCGGCTGCGGACTTAGGGTTTCCGCGAGGTCCTCACTATTCGAGTCGACCACTCCATCTTCTCGCAAGAGAGGATCTTGCTGGCTGGCAGTGAAGTCTCTCATTTTCTTGCTGCATGGCTCATGCTAATGATCTCCAGAATCGGCCTCTGTGCTCACTTCACCCACTGAGCTGGCAGGTGGCCTTAGCCTAGGTGGTCTGATCCCCAGGCCAACGGTCGCCGTTAAAAATCCCCTGTGGAGCCAGGAAGCCATCTGGAGGACGAATGTTGGCTGCTTCGCTTGCCTCGGCTTACGCTGGCAGTGGGTAGGCCCGGGCTAAGGCTGCTGATCATCTCAACCTCCAATGAGGCTGTTCACCGAGCCGGTCGATGGGGCCTGCAGTCATCCTGTCATGGTGAAACGCGGCTGAATGCTTAGGAAGAGCCAAGCAGGGATCATTCTGAGGTCAGCAACACCACGGTCTGCGTCTGCTATTAAAGGCCTTCTCCATCCACCACTGCTACATTTTCTTTTCGTCCTTTTGATACCTCGACACCAGCGAGCATACATCCTCTGCATCTCCTGCCATGGTCTTTTTTCCGCCCAAGTGGGTAGGCGAATTGCCTCCCATCCCTGACACGGTGCCCCTCTGCGACTTCATGCTCGACGAGCGATATGGGCGTGCCCCCATCGACCAATCGCCCGCTCCATACGTTTGCAATGTCACCGGCCAGGGTTACTCGCCAGCCGAGATCGTCGAGCGGGTGGATTACATGGCCCGGGCCCTTTCTCGCGAGTTGGGCTGGGAACCCAACACCGGGGCAGCAGAAGACAAAGTCGTTGGAGTCTTTAGTATGAATACGGTGAGTCAACGGTCCCCTGGAGTCTCACCCGGAGCAATACTGACGTTTCCTGAAAAGATCGACACAATGCCTCTGTCCTGGGCGGTGCATCGATTGTCGGGAATAGTCTCGCCCGCCAACGCTGCGTATTCGGCCTCGGAATTAACCTATCAGATAAGGGACTCCAAGGCCACGGTGCTTTTCACTTGTCTACCCTTGCTAGCCACCGCGCTAGAAGCAGCAGCCAAAGTCGGGATCCCCCGTCAGCGCGTCTTCGTGCTCGAGACGCCCGTCGAACCGGGCCAGTCGGCCCCCGCCGGAGCATCGGAGTTCAAGACGGTATCACAGTTGGTCGCCGAAGGCCAGACGCTGCCCCCAGTAGCTCCGTTGAAGTGGCAGACCGGGCAGGGTCGCCGTCAGCCAGCATTTTTGTGTTATTCCAGCGGTACTTCCGGGCTGCCGGTACGATATCTCGTACAGCCAAACCCTCTCTCTGTCTTCCTGGCCGCTGACTGTCCTCTTTACAGAAAGGCGTGATGATCTCCCACTACAATATGATGGCCAACATCCTCCAATTCAAGCAATACGATGAATCATCGGGGATGCGCACCAAGGGCAAGTCCGAGGTGACGAGCTGTGTCTTGCCCATGAGCCACGCCTACGGGCTTAACTATGTCGCGCACTACGCGGCCTACCGCGGCGACCAGACGGTGGTGTTCGCGCGCTTCCAGCTGGAGAGCCTCCTGGAGGCGACGCAACGCTTCAGAATCACCACTCTCCTCCTAGTCCCACCGATCGTGCTGCGCATCGCCAAGAGCCAGGAGCTGTGCCGACGGTATGATCTCAGCAGCGTGGTAGGGCTCTTCACGGGGGCAGCTCCGCTGGGAGAAGAGGTCGAAGCAGCGGTGCGAGAGCAGTATCCCGCCATGAACATCGGTCAGGGCTATGGTTGGTGCTCACCAACACAATGATACATTCCGATACACCACTGACCCAGTGCCATCCATTAGGAATCACCGAAGCCACCACCGTGGTCGGCCTAACCCCCATCATCGACCAATGGGCCGGCTCCGTCGGCTGTCCGATGCCAGGCTCGCAGTGGAAGCTCCTCGACCCCGACGGCAGTGAAATCACCTCGTACGACACTCCAGGCGAGGTCGTCATCTCTGGCCCCAATGTGACGATGGGGTATCTCAACAACCCTAAAGCCACCGCCGAATCTTACCGGGACGGCTGGTACCACACTGGCGACGTGGGCGTGATGCGGCTGAGCCCCCAGGGCAACGAGCATCTGTTCATCATCGACCGGATCAAGGAACTGATCAAAGTGAAGGGGCTGCAGGTGGCCCCCGCCGAACTGGAGGCGCATTTGTTGGCGCACCCCGCCGTGGGCGATTGCGCCGTCATCCCCGTGCCCGATTCCGAGGCCGGCGAGCTGCCCAAGGCGTTTGTTGTCAAATCGGCGCGGGCTGGCACAGATGATGCCGCCACCGTCCAGGCGATTGTCGCGCATGTGCAGGGGACCAAGGCCCGACATAAGTGGCTCAAGGGCGGCGTCGAGTTTGTGGATCTCATTCCCAAGAGTCCCAGTGGGAAGATCCTGCGACGGTTGCTGCGCGATCGGGAGAAGAAATCTCGACAGGCGAAGCTCTGAGTGGCGGTGGTAAAGTGGAAGTGGAATGAAGGTTGACTAATCGCGCGAGTATTCAGAGTCACAAAATAATGAAATGCAATTCCCAGAGCAAAAAAGATTGACCTACGCAGGGCTCGAACCTGCAATCTCTTGATTCGTAGTCAAGCGCCTTACCATTGGGCCAGCAGGCCAGTTGCTGAGGAATCACATTCTTTCCGCTGATATGGTTTACATCGAAACTAAATCCGCTGGACAATCATGCGACATCTTTGCACTTCATCACGCACCTTGCAATATCCCAACTACACGTACTTGACACTGGATCGACAATTCGTCCTGTCATTCTACGAGAAAGTAATACTGGCGCTCGGAAAACATAGTTGGACTGCCTAAAAGCATCCCTCTTTCTCACAGTTGTTGTCCGCTAAAGATATATATGTGCTCGGGTCAAGCTGAAATCACGGGCGTTCGTGGCGCATCGTATCTTTTTCGCCCAATCTTCAAAATGTACAAAGACAGGCAACTACTCATTCAATACACATCACTTGGAGTATCAATCAAAACATAGATTAAGTAAAATATTTAACTAGTATACAGGAATCTCAAACCTGAATTCAAAAAGAGGATGAAGAGAGTGGATGCCTCAGTCAGTAGGGCAGGCCTTGGCACTCTTCGAGGTCTTGGTCACAGTCTCCGTCTTGGTGACGGTTTGATTGACAGTAGACGTGCGAGTGCTGGTCGCCCGCTCCGTGATTGTCACCGAGGGTTCAAGGCTGAGAGTGGTCGTCTTCAGCACCGTAGTGGTAGGAGTCGCCAGAGTGACGGTCTCCTTAACAGTGGTCACGGTGGCCTTGGTCTTGGTGATGGTGCTCTGGGGCAAGGTGACCGTAGACTTGATCGTGGTGGTCTTCAGGCTGGTGACGGTCACCGTCGCTCCCGGCACAGACACAGTCGAGGTCTTGGTGGCCGCCGACGTGATCGTGTCGGTGATCGTGCTGGCCTTGAGCGTAGTAGTCTTTGCAACCACCGTGGTGCTGCTCTCGGTCAGAATGACGGTGACGGCCTTGATGGTTTCCGTGGCCACTTTGGTGGTGGCCGACACACTGGTGATGGTGCTAGTGGAGGCCTTGAGTGTCGAGGTCTTGCCAGTGGTCTTGGTTGTGGTAGATGTAACGTAGACCGTAGGCGAGGCGAGCTCGTCAGTCGAGGTCTTGACATAGGTCGTCAGGGTGGTGTACTGAGTGACTGTGGCCGCGTTTACAGCAGCGCGGGGCAGAACCAGAGCGCGCTTGGCGTTGGCGGCAGGGATACAGCTGAGGGTGGTGGTGACACTCTTCGTGGTGGTCTTGGTGGAAGTCACGTCAATGGTGGTGGTGGTGGCCTTGGTGCTCTTCGTGGTAGTACCGCCGCTGCCCTCGGTGACGGTGGTGTACGAGGTGACCTTGACGGTGCCAGGAGTAGAGGTCTTAACGCTGGTTGTCGTGCTGGCCACGGTCTCGGTGATCGTCTTGGCCTTGGCAGACGAGGTAACGGTGCTGGTGGCGGTGACCGTGCTCTTGACCGTGGTGGTGACATCGCCCTCGGTGACGGTAGCGGTGACCGTGGTGGTGTCTTTGACAGTGGTCGTCTTGGTGCTAGCAGGAGCCGTGATGGTCTCAATATCCGAACTGGTGATCACCGTCGATTTGATGCTCGTCACCGTCGGTTCGACGATGGTCGTGGTGCTGGAGATGGTGGTCTTTTCGACGGTGGTCTTGAAAGACTCAGCCAAAGTCACGGTAGTGCCAATGTCCTGCGTGACGGTCACCTTGACAGTGGAGGTACGATCAGCAGGTGTAAGGGTAGTGAAGGCCGTTTCCTTATCAGTGACAGTCACAAGGGTAGTGAAAGTCGCGGTGGGAGTCGCGGTGGCCAACACTGAAGTGCTGGGAATCACGCCGGTGCTGGTGACTGGCAGGGTCGTGGAGTTGCCCGGCACGAAAGGGGTGCCATCAACCAGAGTCAAGTTGATCCAGGAAGTCGAGGCGAAGAAGTTGGTGAGCTCAAATTGGGCGACCGTACTGGCATCCAGAACTGTCGCAAACGACGCCCGATCGGCGGTAGAAGATCCAGGACCATAGTTCTGGTATTCACCAAACAGAACACCATCGGTCTGTGGACTGCTGGAGGACCACTGCTCCCAGCCAGCCGCCTCGACGCAGGAGTCAAGGTACGATTCGACGTATGCCACGCGAGCGTAGTTGTTCCAGGGGCGACCCAAAGAGATCTCGGACATGCTGCCTGCTCCAGAAGCCGGGGTGATGGTGCACTGGTCGAACACAAAGCCGCCAACCGTGGTGCTAGTAGTGCGCTTGTCGGCCGTCAGGTTGATGCCATCCTCGTTGGGAGAGATGGTCGAGTTGAGGAAGTAGCCAGATCCAGAACCCCAGATCATATCGATATTACCCTCAATGTAGCTGTTGCTGGCGAAGAAGTAGCCGTTGATCAACAGCGCATCTTGATTGCCCGTGACCTGGCAGCCATAAAGCGAGGCGTACTTGCTAGACTTGACGGCGAACCCGAGGGAGGCGTAGTTCTTGGTGGTCCCGTAATTGTTCACGAAATTGATGTTGACTGCCTGGAAGTAGTTGCCCGTAGCATATACGGTGGCGCTGTCCGAGTTGGACTCGTCGGCCTGCGTGTCCACACCGTGGTTGTACTGAATCGTTACCTGGTTGCTCGAATAATCGAGGTGATTGTCCGAGTATCCCATGAAGATCGTAGTGCCGGAACGGTTGACCACCAACTGTTCCTCGTAAGTACCAGGGTAGATGAAAACCGTGGGTGTCACCTTGCTGGAGGTGGGCAGAGCGTTGAGTGCACTTTGAATGGTATCATAGGTCGTCACATTGGCAATAGCCGTCTTCGACACAATGTAAGCCCCAGCCGGAGGAGTCGTTCCATCATAGGCAGTGGTTGAGTTCGAACCAGTGGTAGTTGTAGTTGTAGACGCAGGCTGAGGGGTGACAATAGAGTCCCAGTAAGTCATATCAATCCAGTCAGTCGATCCCATAACCTCGGCCAACGTGTATGTGTCCGAGGTCAACAACGTACAGTACTCAAAGGCCTCACGCGACGCAGCATTATTCTCCCAGTTGCCGGGGCCAGAGTTGTTATACTCAGCGAACGTGACATAGTCGGTGCGAGGATCAGTCGTGCTCCAGACCTTCCAGCCAGAGGGGTTGATGATATCCGTGAGATAAGAGTTCTTCACAACCACAAGCGCATATTTTGAGTAAGGCCGACCCAAGTAGACAAGCTCGGTCAAGTCGACCGTGGCATCGCTGGCTGCCTCAAAGAGACACTGGTCAAAGATATACCCACCAACGGCGGTCGATGAGGCACGGCTTTGGGCAGTGATGGCAGACTTCTGACGTTTGGCACCAATAGTGCAGCCCTTGAAGTAGGCCTTGGAGTAACCCCAGATGAAGTCGATGGCACCCTCGATGTAAGACGATTCGTAGTATTGGTAGCCAGTGGTACTGCCGGTGAGCAGGGTGTCTTGCCAGCCAACGAGGCTGCAGCCGTAGAAGCCAATTTCAGAGCCATAGATCGAACCAGCGAGAGTCACGTACGACGACTGGGAGCCGTCCAGGTTGGCGGTGTTGATGATGTTGATGTTGTACAAGGCAATCTGGTTGCTGGCGGTAGCGAAAGTAGCTGTCTCAGCATCCGAGTGACCTGTCGGCAAAGGGCTGACAGACAAGCCCCGCGAGTAGGTAATGGTGACTTGATTGTTCGTGTATGTAGCACCGGGACTGCCAGACTGATAGCCAATGATCATCACTGGGCCATCACGGTCCACTGACGGCACTTGCTCGTTGTACGAGCCGGCGTACATGAAGATGATCTGAGTGGAGGAGTCATCGGGCAGAGAAGCCAGCGCGTCGGTCAAACTGCTGTACGAGCCGTTTACAGCACCGCTAGGCGAGACGAGCACTGCGCCTGCGGGGGGCACAGTGCCACTAGTCGGATGCGCCCAGGTGGCAGTGGCGGTCGACGTCGACGTGTTGGTGCTGGTCGCGGTTGATGGTCCCGTTAGACTGTATGAAGGCACATAGTTATAGGCAGTCATGTCCAGCCAAGTAGTATCGCCGACCCATGACGATAAGCTATACGAGGCTGCCTGGGTGGCAGTCAGGTTGGTAGCGAAAGAGACGCGGCTCGAGGACCAGGCTCCAGGACCGGAATTGTTGTATTCTCCGAAAGTCACATACGCGGTGTTGGGAGAACTTGTCGACCACTGCTCCCAGCCAGCAGCGTTGATGTGCTTATCCAAGTAGGAATTCATGTAGACTGCAATGCTGTACTCCGAATAAGGCCGTCCGAGGTATGACTTGCCGTAAGTCGACCCATAGGTGCTGGTGTAGGTGACATAGCAGGTATCGAAGACGTAACCGCCAGACGCGGTTGATGAAGAACGACTCTGCGCCGCAATGCACGCCCCTGGAGTGTTTGTAGCGATGTAGCATTGATGGAAGTAGGCGGTCGAATATCCCCAAATGTAATCAATCGACCCTTCTATGTAACAATTAGAGAAGACCTGCGTGCCCTTGTTGGCGAGCAAGGTGTCTTGGAAGCCGATAAAGGAGCAGCCATAGGCCGCCATGTTAGTGCCATAAAAGTCAGCAGCTAGCGCGGCTGTGTTGCTGGTCTGGGGATAGGTGTTCTGGAAGTTGATGTTGTACAGGGCCAAGCCGGTGCCGTCAGTCTTCTTTGCGTTGATGACAGGTGTACTCTCATCTTTGCCGGCACTGGTGAGCTCTCCGTTTGAAAACTCGATGGTGACCAGGTTCTGGGTGTAGTCATTCTCGAACGAAGTCTCACCGCGCAGAGTGACCTTTCCAGAGCGCGTGATGGAAATTTGCTCAGTGTAAGTACCTGCAAGGATGTAGATGGTGTAAGCCTTGCCGTCACTGGGCAGAGCAGCGATAGCTGCAGTGACATTGCGATACTGTCCAGTGGTAGCATTCTGCGAGACCACGAATGTCGAGGTGCTCGTGGCTGCCGCACTCGTGGCTGAGGCTACGGCAGACGAGCTCGCTGTAGCAGTGACAGAAGCACTGGCAGAGGAGGACACGGAGGAGCCATAAGCAGAATCCGGGAAGCCGGAAAAGGGAGCAATGGCTGATGTATCAATCCAGCTCGTGCTGCCCAAAACATCAGCAACAGAATACGCGCTATCATCAGACAGGATGTCCACGACACTGCTCCGCGAGCTGGTGGAGGCGCCAGGGCCAGTGTTGTTATACTCTGCAAAGGTCACACTGCTGCTGGACGACGAGATTAACCAACCCAGTGGCGCGATGTGGGCATCAAGGTACGAGTTCAAAACGGCAACATGGGCGTTGGTAGAGTAGTCCCGGCCCAAGTAGGTGCTGCTCTTCGGGACGGAGCTATCACTGGGTACAAAGGCGCAGCTGTCGAAAACAAATTGAGATGGCCCATAGGAAGTCTGGTAGGATTGCGCAGCAATGGTCTGACCGGTGGTGGTTCCATCCGAAATAATGCGAGAATTATACACGTAGATACCACCGTAGCCCCAGATAAAGTCAGTGGTGCCCTCGATCTGACAATCAGAGAAGTAGAAGGCACCGTAATTGATCAGCAAACTTCCCTGAGAAGACTTGATGCCACAGCCGTAGAAGCCTAAGACTTGAGCCTTAGCAGCGACAGCCACAGCAATATTGTTCTTAGTGGGCGTATAGTCGTTCTCGAAATTGATGTTGTAGAAAGAAATCCCCTTGGCATAGTATTGGGACGCTTGGAACGTTGCGGTAGATGCAGATCCACCGCTGCTAGACAGCACTCCAGCGGTGTGAACGATGGTGACAGTATTGCTCGACTGGTCCAGCGCATTCGTAGTCTGCCCGCGGAATACAGTAGCTCCCTCACGGCTGATGGTAATGGCTTCCTCGTAAGTACCTGAAAGGATGTAGACGTACTGGGTAGTAGAATCGGAAGGCAGAGCAGCGACAGCCGAGGCAATGCTGGTGTACTGCGCACAACCCCCAGAAGGACCAACCACTAGGGCACTAGTAGGTACTGTGGAGGGCAAGGAACATCCAGTGGAAGACGAGGTGGTTGCAGACGAGACAGCGGAGGGAGAAGCAGACACTCTGACCGCAGCCGACGACACCGTAGTCGTCCCAGTGGCACTCGACCGAATCAAAGTCGAAGCAGCGCGGGTGGCTGTGACCTGAGATGCGGGTGCCGAGGTGGCACTGATGCTGGACGAGGCTGTAGTACCAGTAGTAGATGTTGATTGCTGGATGACATCAGCACTCTCGATAGCGGCCAGAACGTCAGTATCGACCCAATCGGTGTTGGTCGCGGCGAATTGATAATAGACACTAGCAAAAACCTGGGCTGGGGAGAACCGAGTGAGGTCAGATGCACTCAGCAGGTGAACATATCCTGACCGCTTGGCTTCGTTGTTCGCATACGAGCCCGCGCCGGTGTTCTCGAATTCACCATAAAAGTTCCGAGAGTCCGTAGAGTAGCTGTCGGTGTAGGCACCCGTGGCTGTGATCAAGCTGCCCAGAGTTGAATCCCGGTAGACCACCACGGAGCCGTAGCCATTGTTGGCCGCTCCAAGGTAGACGTTCTTCGTGCTGGTGCCGGACTTCTGCTGCACCGAGCAGGAATCGAAGACGACGGTGGAGTTGTAGAGGACCGAATTATACGTAGTACCTCTGTTGTAGACAATCAAGGCACTATTGTCCACGGGTACGACTGTAGTATTGTACACATACAAGCCGGGATACCCATAGATGATCTTGTCCAGCGCTTCGATGTAGCTGTCGGCAATGATGGCTAGACCTAAGTTGGCATTGATACCCAGACTCCCAGCCGAGACGAATTGACAGCCATAGAACGCGTTCTTGGAGCCGCGAATGGTGGCAGCTGCATAGCTGCCAGTAGCCGTGTTGACAAAGTTGATATTGCGGAAGGTGATACCAAGAACATTAGACGAAATGGTCAGAGGACTTGTGGCCGAGATGGTGACCTGGTTCTGGCTATAATCTCGCTGGCTGGGAGATTCAGCGATGACGGTAACAGTTGCGGTAGCCGAGACGGTCACGGCTTGAGTGTAGGTGCCGGCCTTGACGGTCACAGTGGGGATGCCTATCGACTGAGCGTAGGAAATAGCATCTCCAATGGCGGTGAATTGGCCGGAGGTGTCTGTGGCAACGACGACAGCGGTGGAAGATGCTGGAGAAGAGTCAGCAATGTGAGAAGAGAAGGAGATAAATGGTGGAGTTAAGACTGACTCGAAGCGGATGTCGTGGCAGCATTCCCAGAGGTCGATGCAGTAGTCACTACCCGTGTAGCAGTCGCGGCATCCTGCGTGCTAGCCGAAGATGCTGCAGCCGCAGTGGGGATGACTGCCTGAGAGGTGACTGAAGAAGAGGAGGGTAGGGCAGCAGCACAGCTCTGGGCCAGAGCCAGGCCGGCGACGCCCAAGACAGACCAGACTTGCATGGTGGTTGTCGTTACTTGTCCGATCCTGGACCACGATCAAGCGCGGAACCAGTCGGAAGGTAGTAGTAGGGACGAACAGGGATAGAGATTCCGGGCCATGGGCCATGGGCCATCATGAGGATATTTATACACCGGGCCGGGAAGTGAGGGCATTCGGCCTGTAGGTGGCGGCGAAGAGTTCTGCAGGCCAGGGGCAAGCGTAGCCGAGAAAGTTCCAGGGTAGATCGACTCATGGTCCCAGTGACACCACGATGGGGGTCAGGGCACTAAAGCCCAAGATGGGATTTTGATCCGTTTACGAAGGCGATGAAGACTAACTAATAGATTGCTTGATTGCTGAAGAGCAGCTGCCAAGCACGTGGCGTCGGAGTCCAGCCGGAAGAAGCCCTAACGCTTCACGATTGGTGGCATATCTGATAAGCACCAAGCACCAGTTTGCAGCGGCCGAAAGGACGATAAGCATTGCGCATGGTTCGGGCCAGGGGTAGGTAAATTTAAGCGATTGGCATCCGTGTCAATCGGTTCCTGGCCTCGTGTCTTCTCCCCTTCCTGACCGGAGATCATTCGCTTCTCGCATCTCTTGCATCAATGGACGAATGACTCCCTTGGAACAATAGTCACGAGATGATGTCTGTTGCCCTCTCTCTCCCGCTCTTTGTCTCTCCAGGTGGATAGGGATTGTTTCTTGCGTGGACAGGTGCAAAATTTGCTCTCACGATCGCAGGCCCCTTTCTCCCCGAGTGACCTTGGAAGGGACCGGGTGTCAGGAACGCCATAGACTTGGCTAGATGCTGCGAAGATGCGGCCGGGCTTTTGGAGTGGCTAGATCCAGGGTGTCGAGTCTGTCGACTGGACGAACCGAAGTTTGGCTGGCAGCGGATTCCCGGTTGCGGGCTGCGGGTCTGGCATTCAGCACCGCCACACTGACCATCGACCTGACCGGGAATGGGATTCTCCGAGCTGGCTCCATTGAGGTAGTCCGCCGGTCGTGGCGTTTGGATGAGCCAGTGTTGGTGGGTGCGGTGTCTCCGATGGAAATCCGATGGATATTTGACTAGGGACTTAGACTACTGTGTAGGTAAGTAGTCGATGGTGCAGGCGAACGTTCCAAGGATAACGGAGGCTCTACGTAGCAGAGAAGAAGAGAAGCATTTTGGCAAGAGAATTTCGAAAGAATGAAAGAATGACTGGGAAAGCTTGGATCATGTGGAGTGCGTGGAGCGCAGGAGAATGGATCCAATGGACAGGATGGGTGTTTTGGTGTAGAAGAGAAGAGAAGAGGGAGAAAGAAAGAAGAAGTTGAAGGGATTGCCTCAGGCAGTGGTTATTATGTATTATGCTTTCCGCACTATTGCAGACAGCCCGCACGCTGACATAACTATGCATAGCATAACTTGCACCGCGGGCAGCTCCACCCGGTTCTCGACTGGGAATAGCGGCAGCAAATTTTAGCCACCATTGCATGCAATCATTATCAATCCAACTCGCGAAATCTCCCGAGTCGCTTCTAAGCTTCCCTTTCCCGCCAATCATCTTCGCCCGACCCCTGAACTCAGGGTCATGCAATTTCGACAGACTTCGATAATGGGTGCGCTGAGTGGGGCCAGACCCTGCCTAATACGAGGAGTTTCACTTGCAAGCCCAGCAACAGCAAAGCAACAACAGCATTAGCATTGGGCAAGGGCACCAGGGACCGATGTAACTCTTATATTCGTTGTAGATCGCCCGCTCTACAGTTCTTATTCCCTGCAACACTACCTAGTAACCATGAAATCTACCGTCTACTCGCTGGCGGCTCTGCTGCCCTTGATCCTCCCGACCCAAGCCGACGACCTCTGGGCGCAGGTCAGCTGCTTTACCTCCATTGGAAATATGGAGAACATGGGGAGCTATGAGTTCCAATCGGTCGGCCACTGTACAACTCAATGCGAGGAGATTAACGGGGTGTTTGCCGCGGTGCAAGCGGAGCTCTGTTACTGCGGAACTGCTGCTCTCGACATCCAGGACATGGCCTTGGCCGACGACGATAGTGCTTGCAATGCCGCATGCCCCGGGTATGCTGTTGATACGTGTACGGATGAACTTTTCTTTCCCGAGATAGTGCCTGTTTATCTTGCTGACCTGACCTGACGAATAGGTGGCGGGGATGGTGTCTATTCCCTGTGGGTTTCGCAAGAATATGCCTTGAGCCTAAATGACGACGACGACGACGACAATGGCGATTATGGGTATGATTATGAAGATGAGGATAGTGACCTGGATGGCGACGAGAATGAGGACGGGGAGGATTCCAACAATGACTCTTACAGTGGCTGGAACAACACTTCCACTGCTGTCACAACCACCACTGCTTCCTCGACCACTGCGTTGAATGCTGTGTCAACATCGCCTAGTGTCAGTGGCCTCACTTCACCAACAATTGCTTCGGTCAACCAAACCGCGACGGGCAGTGCTGCCATCACCACGACTACTTCTACCTCGGGAGCCAGTCGCCGCTCTAGAATTCTCTTCTTCTAAGGGTGCAGGGGAAGGACTGCGTCAGTTTAGTGGTATATTGATAGCAAAATAAATATAGCGTAGAATCCTCTCTCATTCGTGGAAGTTGGCTGACCGAGGATGACGCGATCTGCAGGCTGGATGGCATGCAAACCCTAGTCATTCTTTTATTTATTTATTTAGAGTACGGGTCCTGATCCTACTCAGCGCCCGCCACATTACCTTTCACCAGGCCCTTGACCTTGGAAAAATCTGATGACACAGCAAGCAAGTATGGTTCGTTGGGGAATTTTAGGTGCGATGGGGTGATTTCCAGCACCAGCTACAGCACAACTAAGCGCTCATCCCATCTTGATTAGGAACCGGCGACAATGCCACCAGTTAGTCGTCCATCGACAACCCCCAACCACTTCCAAGTTGCCACCTTTTTAACTCAATATACCTACCATGTACAGAGTTCGTCAAAGACCTTCTGATCGACCCTGCCACTCGCCATGTCCACGATGTCACCCATGAAATTGCGGCGGTTGCTTCGTCCAGCGCGATAGAGAAAGCCGAGAATCTCCTCTCCACTACCAACACCCCGTCCACCGCTCGCGCCTACGGTTCTTACGAAGCCCTAGTCACTGATCCCAACGTCGAGATTGTCTACGTTGCGTCTCCTCACTCACACCATTTTGCCCACACTCGTCTGGCCTTGCTCGCCAATAAACACGTTCTCGTGGAGAAGGCTTTCACAGTGAATGCCGAGCAAGCCCAGGTGCTCGTGGATCTGGCCAGGAAACGAGGACTTTTCCTCATGGAAGCGCTTTGGACCCGGTTCTTCCCTCTCACACGCCACGTACAACATCTCGTCCGAGAGGGAACCATCGGGACGGTTCAGCGGATCGTGGCCGATCGGAACCTGGGTCGCAACGTGGAGGAGCTGTATGGCACTGAGCATCGCTTGGTCAACCCCGCCTTGGCTGGCGGCGCCTTGCTGGACTGTCGGTATCGCCCGTCCTCAGCCGAATCCCAGTCTCCGTGCTAACATGAGATTTCGTTTTTAGTGGCCGTCTACCCCCTGACCTGGGTGTTCCTCTTCCTGAGCCCCGACCGGCCTCTCGCTTCGGTTCCCCTGCAAACGGCCGGCTCCGTGATCCGGTACAAAGAAACCGAGGTAGATGAGACCGTAACGGTCGTCCTCACCTCCCCTGAAACGAAGACGCAGGGGGTAGCGACGGCTAGTCTCCGAGTCACGGCCGATCCGCAAGAACCAGGCGTCCGCATTTTTGGGACAAAAGGACAGATCCAAGTATTTGGACCCGCCGCGCGTCCGGATAGTATCAAAGTGGTGGCTTATGGGTCCGCGAACGACGCTTCCACAACCGCATTTCCGATTCCGGTGGGCCATGGACTATTCTGGGAGGCAGATGAGTGTGCCCGGCGCGTCCAGGCTGGCGAGCGCGAATCGCCGGTCATGCCCTTGGCGGAGACGCTTTTGATGATGAGGGTGTTTGACCAAGTTCGCGAGCAGAATCAGTTGCAGTATCCGGATGAGATTGAAGCTATTGCATAGGTCCTGGGGGCACCATATACCACTTTCCGTTCTCAGAGCTGTCGGGTGATTATGAGGATCGCAGCGTGTGAATGTGCGATCAGGCTTATCCCGTCAAAGTATATCATGATCTAGGGTCACGATGAGTAGTTTCTATTCCCTCAGCTAAATTCTCCGGTGAAAATAAAGATATCATGGGGAAAGGACAATTTCCGGACGCACTATAAGAGGTTCTTCGCAATCTTACCGGGTTATACCCTCAAACAGTGATGAGTTGACATTCTCCTCTTGATATGGCCTCTCTGGGCATACTCGCCTTCCATTTGATGGAGTGTTTTGGTTGGGCGAGTTGTGGACCCGGTTATTACACTCACTTTCACCAGCGCCGGAAGTCACGTCATGGTGTATATAAAGATTCATGCGAACACCCCTGGTGGCGATCATCCCCTCTGTAACCCCCGCATAGTCTGCTTCCACACAAACGGAAAAAGCCTACACCATGATTTTTCCCTTTGAGAAACTCCCTGCGATCACCCAAATCGAGAAGATCGCTCAGATTTTCGATGAGGCCGAAATCAAGCACATCGTGTGGACCGGCTCCATACTTCGGCTATACGGAGTGGAGGATACCCAGCTGGGCGTGCCGCACTACATCGAATTCGTCGTCGAAATTGCCTCTATGGTCCGTGCGGTCCAGCTTCTTTACGAGAAGAGCTTCAGTCGTGGTCTGAACCAGGTGTGCGGCCGATCGGGGGGTTTTCATGATGTGGGAACCGAAATCGTGCAACTTTCCACCGGGGGCGCGCCGCATTTGGATCTGTACCTGCACACATGTTCCAAGGTCCTCGGGTCATGTGTAGTCCCCGAGGATGATGATAAGATCTGGATGAATGAGGGCCAGTGGGAACTCCCTAGGTTCGTTCTAACCAAGCTTAGAATGCTGAAGCCAGTGTACTATATTAAGATGCACTTAATCCAGTGGGCGCGGCGGTGGTGTTTGGAGCCGGAAGAAAGCTATCACTGGTTCATGGGCGCGCGCATCCTGGACTATCTGATCTCAAGGAAGCTCAAACCGGAGGTCATTGGCTATGAGTCTCTGGACCATCACTTGGATGGAGTCTGGCGCGCGGTGCATGCTCGAGAGCCTTTTAAGGAGCTTGAGGTGTATGTGCAGCGCATGGCGCAGGCCTTGGACAAGGCAGGCATCCTCGCGCCTTTGCCCACCCCTCGGTGGCCAGAGAAACTGGTTCGCGACATTTACGATGGTGATGTGCCTGAGTACAGTGCTTTTGCCGGGGGATCCATGGCGACCACGTTTGGCGATAGTTTTCATCCCACAATCGCGAATACTTCGGTTGCGAGTAGTGTTGCAGCCCCTAGTGATCCCAGCACGCCTGTGACTGAGGAAGAGCCGCCAGCGCCCTCGAGGGCTGTGGCAAGCACTGCCACCCCGGACTCCGATAATGCCGCGGTTCTTCAAGTTCCTGGTACCCCTGAAACTGAGTGGATTGCTCAAATTGGCGTTGCTGAAGAAGGTGACGTTTCCGGTGTTCCTGGAACTCCTGAAGAAGCACTTGTTGCGCAGGCCAAGGTGATTGGTGCTGTTGAAGATCCGACTGATCCTAGATCGTCTCCAGGCAGCCCCGAAGCCACCGCTGATCCTGAAGCCGATGTCGCTGCTTCTGATCCACCTGAAGATCAAGAGGCCTATCTGGTTCTCCCTGCCAACGTTTCATTTGGTTCTCTCCCCGAAACAGTCGCTGGCTCAGATGCCGACCCAGGGTCTCCAATGGCCACCGAAGCAGATGAACCTGAGCAATATTCTGCAGGCTCTTCTATGGTGACAGAAGAGGACGTGGCGGCGCCGGTTCATGATCCTATGGAGCTTTCGTCTGCACATCCCAGTGCTAAGAACTCCTTCCGTGACATGGAGACGAGTCCGGGCACTCCGAAGAGTCCGGACAAAGATAGGGCTGAGCGCATTCCACCTTCTTTGACTTCGTCCACAGACTCCGAGCCAACGTCCTCTGTGGAAACAGAAGTGGAAGTGACAGAGGCACAACCCAGCCTGTTTGCTGTCAAGGACTCGGCTGTCGATCCCACTAACGATGATACCAGAGATGATCCCACCCCGGATGACATTTGTGCGCAGTCCTGAGTCCTGCTGACCGCGGAGGGCGGATTGGCAACGGACGAGGGCAAGGAAAGTACAAAATACCAAAACAAGAACCAAGCTGACCTCTAACCCGGGTAGATTCAGCACAGCATAAACCAACATAAACCACAAAGAAATTGAGATACAAAAATATGATCAAAACCAGAAATGTCCCATGAAAGAAGAAAGAGAGAGAGATAAGCAGGACAAAGTTACACTAACGGCAGAAAGACCCCAGGATCTTTGTATACGATACCACAAGGAGTACCATCGACTGTAGACTGGCATGCGTACACGTACTGTAGAGTCGTGAGTGCAGTACCGTAGTTCGTATCAAGACATGTGGATGATGGTCGGGCGATGGATGCCTCAGGAGTCAAGTGCTGCCTGACTGCCTGACTGCCTGACTGCCTGACTGCCTGACTGCTTGACTGCCACGGTCGCACTCGGCAATTTTCGCCGGCGTTCACAAGAAGATCGGCTTGTAAACTCACTGCCACATTAACCCAGCTACTTACACACCACAGCTGACGACGGGTGGAGCAGCAAGACATCCTCAAATGAGGTTACATTAGCCGATGAAAATCACCCAGTCCAGTACAGCCACTGGATGATAACTTTGCACCATGAACCTAGCCTGCCTGCCTGCCTGGCGGTCCGTCATGCAGCCAGCCTCCACCAGTCGATACGAGAGGCCTGGAATCGAGCCTATGACAGTTGTGACACTCAGCTGAACATCGCAAGCCACAGCTCAACTAGCAAGAAAACCCGATGAGCCATGGGCCATGGATGAGCCACGGATGAGGTCCGCACCTTATTTGATTTCCGCTATAAAAGCTTTTGCTCAACCTCGGCCTCCCGCCGTCGGGGGTTGCGTTCACCAGCAGAAACAACCACCATGTTGAACCTGGACTACAGCCTTTCGAACCTTCAGGGCAAGACGATCCTCGTCACGGGCGGTGCCTCGGGCTTCGGGGCCGCCTTTGCCACTCGCTGGGCTGCCGCTGGCGCCCAGGTGATTGTTGGGGACATCAATCCCGCCGGAGAGACGGCCGTGGCGCAGATTCGCTCCGACTCCTCCAACGACAACGTGCACTTCATCCATCTCGACGTCACATCGTGGGCTTCCCAAGTCAACTTCTTCCGACAAGCGGTGCAGCTCAGCTCGCACGGGGGGATTGATGCCGTCGTGGCCAATGCTGGCGTCAACGATCGGGACGAGGCGAGACGGCTCGAGTACCCTACTGTGGATTACTCGAATGACCCCAACCCCCCAGCGCCCAGCATGAAGACGGTCGACATCAATCTGACGGGGGTCCTGTATACGGTTCACCTGGCCCAGTGGTACCTCCCTCGGAACCCCGACTCGCTGCCATGCTCCGAAACCGGGCAGACCGCTCCGCGAGATCGCCATATCCTTCTGGTCGGATCAACGGCGAGCTTGCACCCGCTCATCACCCAGGCACCCTACACGATCACCAAACATGCGGTCCTGGGCCTGTTCCGGTGCCTGCGCGTCACAGCCCCCGTTTCGGGCGGGATTCGCGTTAACATTATCTGCCCATATTTCACCGACATTGGCATGTTGAATGGGCCAGGTCGCATGATATTAGCTGGAGTCCCCATCGGGCAGCCGGAAGATGTGGTTGAGGCGGCCACGTATCTCATGGCCAACCAAAAATGCAGCGGGCGCTCTCTGGTTACTGGCCCCCGGTTGAAGCTGGACCTCCCCGACCGTGCGTACTTGACCCGGGATTCTCTCGAGGAGGCTGTGCAGTACACGATTGCTGCCGGCGAGGATTCCGAGAAAGGTGTTTGGGAGTGCCAATTGCACGATGTGGAGACCACGGACATCTTCACGGACCGGATGATGAAGGCCGTGAAAACGGTGGTGGCCGCTCGGGGATGGATTGGCTGGGCCAAGGGGATGGTTGGGGCGTTGCTTTGGCCGCTGACGAAGAGTTCGCCTAAGGCATAGTAGATTTATACATAGTTGGTGAATCCATGCAATTCGACTGACTCTTCTGACTCTTACCATTACCAAGATACTTGTATGACTTACTACTAGGCTTGTACACTGTTGCTCCCGACCGCGGCGGGCGCGTACTACGTATGACTGAATTGATGGGACTAGCGGTGTCAGACTCGGGACGATCCCTCGATAACCAGTTAGTTAGGCTTAGGGTGTAGCACTTTCACGGTTACAGCTTCATCTATCTACCGACAGCAGCGACACATCCCACCTTATGCTAGTCTTTGCAGTCTTTGCAGTCTTCGCAGATCCTCGCTGCCAACCCAGGGCAATGATCATTCATGATCCACCAAGCCCTTTCCCTCCGCTAACCACGATGGAGCTTGACAGCTCGAATTCGCGGCACCATCACCTGCCGAATTTATCGTATCACCACCCAGTAAACCGGGCACACCATCATCACCATCATCGACATGTGAGAACCTCCGAGCCAGATTCAATCTCCTTTCGGCTACCCTGATACACGGCTTATTATTCTCACTCTTGTCTCTTCTGCAATTGTTCACCATTCTCTCGAATATCCCGACAAGCAAAAATGGCCCAATCCTCCTTAGATGACATTTCGCCCCCCTTCGAACACTCATCTGGGCTTTCTCCCTCTCCAGCGGCGGCAGAACTGCCCACAGCCACTGAGACGATGGGTGCGACACATCCTCACGATGATGTCGATGACACCGGTTTCCCTGCCCTCGTCCCCATTGCGATCGTAGGTATGGCGATGAGGCTACCGGGAGGAGTGACTAACGCCCGTGACTTCTGGCAAATGCTGATCAACAAAAGAGATGGCCTTTGCCGGGTACCCAGGGATCGGTACAATATCGACGCCTTCTACCATTGTGACGGGGTTCCCGGGACCATTCGGACTGAACACGGGTGTTTCTTACAACAAGACATCGCCCAGATGGACACCGGTTTCTTCGGCATGTCGAAGGTCGAGGCCTCCAAATTGGATCCCCAGCAGCGAATGTTACTGGAGGTGGTGTGGGAGTGTATGGTAATGCAAAACCTTGGTGGGCCAGAGACATCCGGTTTGCAGCCTGGAGCCATCCCTCAAATTCCGAGGGCCCAGATTTAGGTGAACAGGAAGACAAGCTCCGTTACTTCCTCGCCGAGATTGACAAAGATCCATCCATCCTCAACGATCCAGATACCGAGAACCAATTCACTTACGAGCTGGGGAAGATGATTGCGACCCCCATGTCTTACCCAGAGGACATGGAACTGGAAGAATTGGCTGCTATTGCTATAGACTCGCTCATGGCGATTGAGATTCGAAGCTGGTTCCGCCGTCACTTTAAATTCGAAATCTCCCTCCTTGAGATCGCGAACGCGGGAACCGTAGGGGGACTCAGCAAGGCAACGATGAAGATTCTCCGCGCCAAGTATGCCTCCGAGGAGCTGAAGCCTGGTGATGGAAGTGCCATGCTTGATGCACATCGTGGCGAGGCTGACAATGCCGAACTATGTCTACGGGATTGGGAACTGGGTCGAGACCTCCACCCAATCGCGGAGACAGCGCCAGAATGGCATGCCCCTGATGAGGGCCCTGTTTTATTCACCCGCGCGACTGGCTTTCTCGGGGCCTACCTCCTCTCATTACTGGTCGGTCTCCCGCATGTGCAGCAAGTGGTATGTCTTGTAAGAGCTCCCAATGCAGAAACAGGTCTCTCGCGAATCAAGAAGGCATTTCAGCGATATGGCCTCCCGCTGGATTTTGAGTCGAAGTTGAAGGTGGTTGCGGGGGATATCGTCAACCCCATGCTAGGCCTCGGAACAAAGCAGTACGCGGAGCTTGCTGAATGGGCGAGTGTGGTGTTTCATTTGGCTGCTGTGGTAGATTACACCCTGCCTTGTTCATACCACCGCGACGCCAATGTCATGGGCCTGCTCCATTTGCTTCGTTTTGCCAATACTGGTCGTCTGAAGTCTTTCCATTATACTTCCTCGATCAGTGCCTGGGGTACGCGCATTTATCTCACGGGCGAAATGGTTCCCGAGGATGAGCGGCCACCTTTCGACTTGGACGCTCTCGAACAGCTTTTCGGCTATGCGCAAAGCAAGGTCGTAGCAGAACAGTTGGCCTGGAACGCGCTTGCCAACGGCTTCCCCGTCACCATCCACCGACCCGGCTATGTCACTGCTCATAGTGTGCCGGGCATGTCCAAAGCGTCCGACTTGGTGAATTATTTGATGAGCAGTTGCATCCGCCTGGGCAGCTATCCGGCTGCGCCTAACATCCGCAATCAATTCACCCCGGTTGATATCTGTTGCTCTGCTCTTCTGCGCTTGTCTCTGGCCCCTGCCAGCCTTGGCCATGCGTTCAACATTGTGCGGCCAGACCAGAGTCAAACCGTGACGTTCGAAGAGACCTTCGAGCTGCTGAGTCGCGAATGCTCCTCCCCACTCCGCCGCTTGCCGACGGCCGAATGGATCGAAGAATTCTGACAAGGCGCGGATCCGCGACTGACGCAGGGTTCGTCCATAATGGTGGATACATTGCACGACTTTATCAACTTCTGGAGGCTCGATGCTGGCACGGATGCATACTTTGACACACGGAAGCTTCGAGGAGCGTTGGAGGAGTTTCCCGGATTGCTTGCGGTGCCCAGCATGGGTGAGCTGATGCATACCTATTCCCGTGCTTGGGCTAAATCATAGCGAGGACGGTGGTACATGCAGAGTACCCTGGTTGAGACTCACAATTTTAATGTACTTCGATGATGACTGTACTTTGCTCTTTGAGGCTCTTTGAAGTAATCCGAGGTGGTTATACCGAGTGGATGTTGTACGTCGGTAGACTGTCATGCTCTGAAATTGGTTCGTTGTCAAGACACCGATTTTCATTGCCTTTAAATGCTGACCTGCTGCGTTACATCTATTCTAATCACCCTTGTATTGCTGCCAATATGTGCGTAGTTGTGTGGAGATCGGAGTCATGTCATCGCTCACTGGCAGCAATGGAGCTCCCTCGGATAACAGAATGGCGGTTGATGCCTAACCACTGAGGCATCAACAAGACCGGCAGCCACCACCTCCTCATGCCCTACCCTACTTCCATCTCCAGTGTTCATCAGCCTAACCTTCTTCAGCCCTACCATGTTCTGGCTTGAGGCTTCACGTGTCAAGCTGAATGCGAACCAGCGGTCAAGGGTTTCGATGATTACTGATCACGAGCCTTCCCAGCACATCATTGGCTTGATGATGCAGGATACGAGGGCGATGATCCACCATGACCTCTTGTGAGCTATCTCATGAAACCATGAAAGAGCCTCCTTTCTTTCATGACAAAACATAATCGGGCCAGAATAAGCCGCCATCGCATTCAGCTAGAGGTATATATGGAAGCTTACCACCCCTCCTCCCGTCTCAGTGTAGATCATCAGCGCCACCCCTCAGCAAGTCATTCACCATGCTATCCTTCCTGCGCGCTCAACCCCCTCCCCGAATCAACCGGGCCTCCCAAAATCCTATCGTGTATGAAAATGGCCGCTCCTCCGTCTCCTTCTACGCCTCACACGAGAACTACGTCTTCCGCACGACCCTGCCACCACGCGACAGCGACATCTCCATCATGGAGCCGCCCTTCCACTACCACATCCACCAAACTGAGACCTTCCGCATCGTCACGGGCAGCATGAACCTGTACAAAGGCGTGGACCCGAAACCCTGGAAACAGCTGACAGCTACCACTACCACCACCGACGACGACGACGACGCTGAAAACCACCAACCCACCGCGACGATCCCGCCCAAGACGTACCACCGCCTGCAGAACGCCTCCGCCACCGAAGAGCTCGTCTTCGACGTCAGGCTGTCCCCTGCGGAGTACGAAGTCGAGGAGCGCTTCTTCCGCAATTTCTTCGGGTATCTGGACGACTGCAAGATTGCCCAGCAGGCGCCGAGCCTGTTCCAGCTGATGGTGTTCCTGCATGCGGCGGATATCCCGCTCGCGTTGCCGACGCCATGGCATGGGTTAGGAGTAATTGTAAGTCGGGTGTTCACGATTGTGGTGGCGGCGTGGGGCAGGTGGGTGCTTGGGTATCAGATTTCGTATCCTGAGTATTATCAGGGGAAGAAGGGGTTATAAAGAGAGGCCGTGCTTTGTGAGGAGGGGCTGAGCTTGTCAGATGCAGTATGTAATTGATGATACTTGTTATTTGCGGGTGGGCTAGCTGGAGTTTTTCTGAATGTGTTTTCCTTTGGGTCTATGGGTATAGTGCTGTGGACGAGAGTTGTATGGAATGCTGTCGGAGTCTCGTCACGGAAACTGCTTAGTCCCATAATCATCACCGAGAGCACGTCTCGCACGGCTGCTTCTGGGGTACTGGGGCCGCGGATGTGCGGGCCATACTCGCGAAAAGCTGTGAGCATGCCTGCCAGGCCTCGCATTTGCTCGGGAGTCGCTAGGTAGAATTAGAGCTCCTTGATGGTACGACAATGCACCGGTCACAGGGTACGTACCGTCTGTGAAATAGCCGGTTTCCACCATGCCGGGAGAGATACTCATGAACAACACCCCCTGTTTGGCATACTGTACACACTAAACTTGGCCACCGCGGTGTTCAACCCCGCCTTGCTGATGGCATTCAGCGACGCGATCTCCACATTATAATTCGGGATAAGGCTCAGTTCCTGACCGGTAAAAAGAGCGATGACCTTCTTGACTGGTGGGAATGACACAAATTGACATCAGCAAGCCGTATAATTGCGAAAATATATCCCGCATACACAGTTGATTCACCCCATCCTTGGCTATAAGTGAAGAATGGAAAATGGCTGAAGAGGCTTTAGTGAAGTAATTGACAGAGCTAAGAGTATGCTACACTGGAGAATTCATGCAGTCCATGATTCCAGAGAGATGAAGACTCTGTTGTTGCCAGGTCTTTCGACGATAGACCATGACATCGCTGATGCAAGCTGGGCCGATAAGATAAGAGGAAGGTCGGCGTGCGACGGCAGAATAAACCAAAGAGCACAAATACCACAAACACCACAAACACCACAAACACCACAGACACCGAAAGGGTGGACCGCATGACATCATCAGATCGATCGATCGGAATGCGACGCGACGATCGACCCAGTCCAGACCAGCAGGCGATTCATCTTTCTCTCTCTCTCTCTCGCTCTTTCGCACACCAATCTCACTGTTGTCTCTGATGTCAACAAAAGCAGTGCTCGCTCGTCCTCAATCGCGCCCGCGCGCGCATCATCATCATCATCATCATCCAGCAGCATGCCTCCGGAGTTGAAGAAACCGACCGGTGGGCCCGTCGTCCTCCTCTGGCACCGAACCGACCTTCGGCTTCACGACGCTCCAGCACTCACCGCCGCACTGGAACTCGAACCATCCATTTTCATCCCCGTCTGGACCTGGGATCCCCACTACGTCTATCGCGCCCGCGTCGGTCCCAACCGCTGGCGGTTCCTGCTCGAAAGCCAACAAGATCTCTCTGCCGCCTACACGAAACTGAACCCGAAGCAGAGACTCTGGCTCGTGCGCGAGGCGCCCCAGACCGTGCTCCCGAAGCTGTGGAGGGCCTGGGGTGTGACCCATCTGGTCTTCGAGAAGGACACCGACGCCTATGCTCGGGATCGAGACAACCAAGTGGTGCAGCTGGCGGAGAAGGCGGGCGTGACGGTGGTCATCAAGAGTGGGAGGACACTGTTCGATTCGGACGAGATCGTGCGCGTCAACCACCGCAAGCCAACGATGAGCATCACTCAATTGGAGAAGGCGGCCGAGAAGCTCAATGGCGGGGTGCCAGACCAGCCGCTGGCGGCCCCGACCAGCGTCCCGGATCCGTGGGAGGAGAGTCGCATGGACCTGAGGGGATTGAACCAGGACATCCCTGACACTGAGCCGGATGTGAACTCGGAACACAGAATCAAGAAGTCGGAGACACAGTACCATAATATCATGGGCCCGAAGGGGGACTTTGCGGTGCCCACGCTCGAGGAATTGGGCATTGATCCGTCGCAGGCGACGACGCCGCATCGCGGGGGCGAGTCAGCGGCTCTCCAAATCCTCAGCGATTGTATTGAGGATGAGGACTACGTCGGTACATTCGAAAAGCCCAAGACTTCTCCTGCCGCGTTCGAGCCTCAGGCTACCACGTTGCTATCGCCGCATCTCCATTTTGGAACCTTGTCCGTCCGAAAGTTCTGGTGGGAAGTCGACGCCGTGCTTCAGAAGAGAAAGAGCGAGAAAAGACCCGTCGCAGCTATCCCGACCAACCTGCCGGGCCAACTCCTCTTCCGGGACATGTATTTCGCAGCTCAGGCAGCCCTGGGGTATGCCTATGCGCAGACCCAGGGGAACAAGATTGCCCGCTTTGTCCCTTGGCATCTGCAGTCCAACTACTCCCACGTCCCGCGAGGCGAGCATCTGCTGGATGGAACATACACGGTGGACGACCCCGAGGCAGAAACCTATTTTCGACGGTGGAAGCACGGGCGCACCGGATTCCCGTGGATCGATGCATTGATGCGGCAACTGAAGCAGGAAGGCTGGATCCACCATCTCGGACGCCACAGTGTCGCGTGCTTCTTGACCCGCGGAGGCTGCTACGTGAGCTGGGAACGCGGCGCGGAGGTCTTCGAGGAGTGGCTGGTTGATCGTGGGTTTTTCCTCTATGCACGCTAGCAAAACAGACAAGATTCACTAACGAACCGCAGACGAGACCGCCTCGAACGTCGGAAACTGGATGTGGCTCTCCTGCACCGCATTCTTCTCTCAGTACTACCGCTGCTACTCCCCAATCGCCTTCGGCAAGAAATGGGACCCGGAAGGGCGGTTTGTGCGGCGCTACTGTCCCGAGCTGGCGCACTTCGACAAGAAGTACATTTACGAGCCGTGGAGGGCGCCCATCGCCGACCAAAAGAAATGGAAATGCCGGATCACCGGCGACGGGTCGAGCAATCGAGATGAGGCAAGCGGGCTGCAGACTTACCCGAAGCCGATGTTTGACTTCAACGAGCGGAGGGACTTCTGCATTACTCAGATCAAGCATGCATATGAGATGAATCTCTACGGGGATGATCCCAAGGTTATGGATGGGTCGTGGAAAGAGCTGTTTGACTTCCATGATGAGGGGGGGAAGGTGGTGGATGGGACGACGGGTCAAGAGGCGAAGAGTTTAACGGATCACACTCGGAAGCGGTCTGGTGGTGATGGGGTGGTCGATGGACAAGACGGGGCTACTTCCCATGAGGTTCAAGATGAAGAGCCCAGCCCGAAAAGAAAGAAGGGATAGAGTTCTCACGATTTGAAACCAACTGATTTATACATGGATATAGATATATATATATATACAGAGTAATACACAAGAATGATATCATACAGCCATGATTCACAGAACAGCCGCCACCAAAGCCGCCACGGCAGCACCGCCAAAGATCAGGGTGGGATCGTTCGAAGCAACTGCACCGGCTCCAGTGCTGATAGTCGTCGAGGCAGCAGATGCCGCGGAAGTCGCAGTGGTGCTATTAGCATCAACACTCGCAGACTTGTGGCTGGCCGATGCGGTCGTGGCGGTGGTCGAAGCTCCGGTAGCGGTAGCGGTAGCGGTGGGGGAAGCCGTGGCCGAGGCAGTGTCGGAAGCAGTGATGCTGCCCGCCCCCGCGGTGATAGTCACCGGCATCAAGCCACTGGCAATGTCGTCGGTGTCGAGGGGGATGGTGCTGGTTCCCGGGAAGTTGGCGCCCGTCCCTGAGGCCATTTCAACGCAGGAACCCGTCGTAGTTCCTTGCAGAGAACACGCAACCGACCAGTAGAAGTCCTCGTCAGGCTCCTCCATCAGATAAGAGGTGGTTTGCGGGCCCGCGATCACGGTCAATCCGGGCCCCATGCCGCAGTCGGAGCTGTCGGTTCCCGGAGGACAGTTGATGTAGTAGGTGGTTGCTGTTGCGGCCTGTCACGTAAGTTAGCCGATGCTGCAAGTCGTCTACTAGAACAAGCACCCAAGGCACATACAACGCCCATGACAGATGCCACCAAGGGTTGAGGATCAGCATCGTAGATGAACATGGAGGTGACGGTGGTTTGCGCGGAGACCAGGCCGGCGGCGGCAGCCAGCCCCAGAAGCAACTTGGCGTTCATCTTGTGTAAGGGGGAAGAAATTGAGGAACAATGGCGATATCAGTGTTGTGATCGGAGGTTTTACATAGGTTTTAAAAAGAAACAGTGGCAAAAGCTGGAACAAAAAGAAGGGGGCGCTTGATCACTGCCAGGTGGTGCCCCCATCATGGGTCCAGGCGCCGGCGGCCTGGAAAGTCCAAACTTACCCCTGCTTGGCAAACCCTGTTACATGAAGGGTTTAGTCTCTGGATTTAGAACCCTGATTTGGTCTAGCTCGGTCTAGCTCGGTCTGCAAGGCCCTGAGGCTAGTCTCGAGTAGGGGCTGGGCTGCCGTTCGGGTGATTTCCTTTCGGCTATAGCCGACTTGTCCACTGCCGAGTGCAAATCGCACTCAACAAGCTCATGGATCTAAGACAACTGAATGGAATCAATGGAATCAATGGACTTGTTGTGGCGTTGTTGTGGGATAGAACCTCACTGGATGGTCATGTGGGGAACGGACGTACTCATGCAAAGTCAGAAAACTGATATGCTGTCATCTCCGACCGAATTACACTAGGCACATGAGTATTGCCTCCCTCTCAACCCTTGAAGAGAAATCTGTCTCGAGTCTGAAACACGAGAATCAACCAACATTAGAGATGGTAGACTATTTGCATCAGTTAGACAGGCACTGGTCAGCAATTTAGTCTGATCCCAGAGATGTCGGAGGTGGTGCCATTGAACAGCCAATACATCATTGAATGTAACATTCTCAGACGTTAGTTACACCAAGTGCTCTTGTGTCTCCTGCAGCGGGCCGAGGAAGAGGAATTCCTGTCAATCCTGTCCTTCCCAGTTCCGAGATTACTGTGAACTTTGGACCAACCGTACAGTCCAGTGAATGCATGTCAGATGGAGCTTGACTCCATGCAGCCAGTAGCCCCCTCGCTACTCCCCGCTAACCCCTCGCTAAAAGGAACTATCGGAAATGTTGCTCCGCCCGGGGGCCCACGGCGCCTACGCTTATCAAGTTGGCAACCGCTGATTTGCAGACGGTTAAGGCACCAGCAGGAGGCTCCTGGGTACCTAGTCTGCCTCGTTTGACTCATTGCCTATCTGGTCAAGGGAAGCCCGGCGTGAGGGCGAGCCTCTGCCCCCTCCTTTCTCCATACATAAGGCGGGTGGCGCTCCTAGAGCGTTTCTGAAAGGGTTGTTCCCCGGTGATATTCTGCTGATTCTCTACCCCTCATCATCGGCAGACCTGATTATCCTCCCTCCCAAGCTCCACTTTGACAACATGCGCGCCACTTTCCTCCTCGCCACAGCCCTGTCGGTGCTGACGGTCAGCGCCGATGAAAAGACCACTACGGTGGGCATTTACAACCCGGACTGGGATGTCACCGTCCCCAAATACGGCGGATGGACCAGCACGGCGGCCAGTGTCGCGGGGGTCAACGCCAAGGCCACCACCTACCACCTGGGCTGTCTCAAGGACGCCCCCAAGACCGACTGTGACATCAAGCACTCGTGGACCATCATCCAGGGCCCCTCGACGGTGAGCGTGTCGGGCGAATACATTGCGTCGACCTCCGGCAAGAGCACGAGCTACGACTACACCGTGACCCGCACGTACGAATGTTCGCTCAAGTCCTGGAGTGAGTCGGCCAGCTGCACGATGAGCCTGGCCATCACCGGCACTTTCGATGGCGGTTCATACGCGTCTTCCACCTCGACTCATTCCACCTACGGCCCGACCAAGACCTTCGCAGAACTGGTGGTTACGGGCGGACTCAAGTCGCTGACGGAGCCTGCCGCCACCAAGACGGCTGATGCGGCGAACGGCAATGGGGCAGTGGGCGCGATGATCACCGCTGCTCCTGTGGTCGCGGCTGCGGCGGTGGCTGTCCTGCTGTAGCCTACAGAGAGGATGGGGGGGGGGGGTGTGTGCTTTGGATGTTTATGTTGGCGAATTGATGGAAATGAGTCTGGGACTGAGGATAACAGATCCAACGGGGCATCTAGCCTCGTAATATGTGATACATCTATACCCCGCTTTCTCTGCTTGCTTTTGCGTAGTTTGTGGATCTCCTCCCAGACCATATAGAAGAGATCTCTAGCGAGGTGGAGTATGAGTCTAAGTGAATGGTTTACATGTTGGTGGTGGTGTGTATGTGATGTTTGCATCCTCGGTGTTACTTAGGTTGCCTGGTTGCCTGGTTGCCTCCTGGTTGCCTGCCTGCCTGCCTGCCTGCCTGCCTGCTACACCACTGTTACTGAGATTGACGGATCTGTGACAATCTTGCCAAGTATGCATACTGGCTCGGAACCTGATCTGCGATACGTCGTTCATGTCACGCTCTCCCACGGTGGACCAGCCATCGGGCACCGGGAACAAAAACTGACGCAGAAGAAGTGCCGGGATTACTTCCCCCGGGAATCATCGATTTAACTTAACTCACTAGCTGTTTAGCATAAGCCTATGGCCGTCTGTTCTGAGGACCTCCCGCTCGTGCTCATGCACTGCTGCCTCGCGATTCTTCATCAGAACAAATGCATAAGGGGTGACTTGCCCATACAGAAAGATACTTCCGCCCCTCATGACCGCAACCGTGGAGGTACCCCACTCTACCAAGAAAGAGGGACATTCATAGTTTGGCTGACTGTGTAACCAAGACTGTCGTATCTCACAGAGCTCACAATCAAGTCAGCGCAGCAGAGAAAGCTTTGCCCCCGCACTAATCAGATCTTACCAGTACTCGGGTTTCAGACAACAACAAGGTCTCTGCCGATTAGGGGTGGACCATGATGAGCACGGGAATTTTGAAACCACCACTGCAACCTCACTCAATGATGTAGCATTGGAGATTGGAGAGGAGATCCGGACTGGGTAGGGTGGCCAGGGTCATCACAGAAGACGGTCTAGTGTGGTGTCGTCTGGGCTAGGGAGCATAGCTGGCTTCGTACCGTCAGCATGAGCGGATAGGCACAGGACGGATCTTTATCTATCCTTGCACTTAATGTTATGAACGGTATCGGAAGCGACTTTGGGGCGCATGAACTATGTAGTCAGAACCAAAATCCGCGTGGCAATATCTCCGGCGCTATGGTGGCGTGTGGCAAACGAGGATCACAGCTCCTCGCTTGGCTTCACTTCCATGCAGCCGTGCAAACAACGGCTTTTGTTGTCGCGGGCTTAGTGGTGGAGCTGACAAGGAAAGCCTTGTTGTCAAAGAGCCATTTGGGGGGGGGAGAGATGATGGAGATCGGATTTCGATCCCAGCTGGGCAGTGGGATTTGCTGTCGGCTGTTGCGGGGAGATGGCGTTAAAGCACTGGCCAGATCGTGGGATTCCCAGTCGATCGGTCCTGGCCTCGTGAGTAAACGGCAATAAAATTAAAAAAAGAAAAAAAGAAAAGACCGATAAACGGGGTATATGGCCGACGTTACACACTCGAGTCGAATCACAAGCTTCTTTTCGCATCCCCATCGCAACTCATCCTCCGCAACGATGTCGCAAGCATGGTCTCCCATGCCTTGTTTCTCGACGTGCCCTTCTTGTAGAACACCGCACGTGCGTACTCAGAGACAGATGCTTGCCACATTTGGCACACTCTCTTTCTGTACCCAAGGGGTCCCTTTGTTCTCATCTAGTATAAGCACATTGTTCTCGTGCCCTCGAAAAGGAAATTCCGTGCTGAATAGGCAATTTCCAGGACACAAGCATATCAGAACAATGCATGGTCCATCCAAATCTCTTTCATCGTCATGAGACAATGCTTTGGCCTTCTTAGTCTCTGAGACGGGCTTGGTCTATATAAGGGAGGTTTGTGCCACCCCGATCTGAGACATCACCATCATCAGAGTCAGCAACCACCCACTACAACTCACATTCCGATTCCCCTACCATCGAGACCACGACACGATGTACTACAACCAATCCAGTCCCCCACCACCCGCGCCAGAGCTTCCCTTCTCCGAAGGCAATGGCGATGCCGAGTCCTGGGTGCAGTGGGTATTCGATTCGAACAAGATTCGCACCTACCTGACCGGGGATCAACCCTTGTCCATCATGGGGGCGCCCATCAAATGCTTTTGCACGGCATGGGCTGTCGAGGATACCAATATCGACCGGGCAGCCAAGATTCTTGCTGCGACGGGCAGATTCTACCCCTGCAAGGACCCCGAGCGGCGTCATTGCTATGCAGACAACAAGGAGGCGCAGGACGAGCGGTACATCCCTCTTCCAGCGTATCATTTCCATACAGACGAGCGTTACCCAACGGTTTGTGGCGACTTTGAGAGTTAGACAGGGCGCGTTTTCCTTTACCGCATGTCCGACGTGCACTCGCCTGCAATTCCGAGCCCGCCTGCAGAGCCTCTGGTCCCATTGGAACAGGCGACCCACTATGGCTACGACAGCGGCAGCTACATCTCCACCTCAAGTGATTACCTCCGGTTCTCGGCCCTTCATAGCTCTAAAAACCGTGGGTATCGAGACACCCCCTATGCCCACTTGAACTGCCGTGGTCGCCAAGACCCGGGCAAGTATCCGGTCAAAATGCTGCGATACGATCAATGCCTCGAGAACCTCGTGTTCTTGATGCTGCGTGACCTAGGTTACCGGGCGGGCCGTTGGTGGAGGTACCAGTTCGAGGTGCTGATGAAGTATGCCTTCGAATTCTCCGTTGGGCCCTCGCCCATGCACCTGGAATGGGATCCCTCGAATTTTATATCGGAGATCTCGCCTTCTATCCAGGGCTGGGTGACACTGCACGAGCGCACTGGTCGCCAGTCGACGAAGAAAAAGCGCGAACTGAAGGAAGCTTTTGGCCGCCTCTATCTGGAGTACAAGAGCATGGGCGTTCTGCGTGCACCGCTGAAAGCACCAAATGAGGGTGACCAAGCTTGCATTATTGATGGGAAGCTCAAGCAGCTGGGTCTTTCTCTGGACGATGGGCCTGCGCCTGTTGGCTGGGTAGATGAAAATAATCTCGAATTGGATTCCGACGGCGAAATGCTATACTGACTGCCCAGATGTGTCTGATGAGCTGCTCACTCTCCGGGAACCGTTTCCGTTAGTTCTCCTTTCAAGTAATGATTAGACAATACAACACAGCTTTCATGCAATTACTTTTTGAATTATGCCGACGATCATTGCAGTTGCGTGATCATCACAAAGGCAGGCTGCAAAGGATGTACCATGATGAAGGTGCCATCAAAGGAGCAGAGCTCTTATCCGCTAGGTTTTAGGGGCTCATGTCACAGCTGACAAGCCCGGCATATAGATGCTCTGATGCTCTTCACTCTCAGAGTCCGACCCCGACCCCAAGGCCCCTCGGATGGATATTGTTAGTCGTCCTCCCCGGCTATAAGTTCGAAGCCATCTTCTTTCACTCCGAAGTAAAGCAGTCTGACCTTTTCACCAGAATTCCCTCACTCTCCCAGCCCTAACACATTCTCGATACTTCGGCGTTAGCGCTCAGCGCAGTGGAAGATGGTGGCAGGCATCCTACTTCAAGGCATACTCGCGATAGCCTTGACATTGAGCAACATCTTGGCACGATGGTTTAACGAATTTGGCGGTCGTCTGGTTCACGCTGGCATCAGACATCTATGTCTACCTGCTCCGTACCAGGCCGACGCAGATATCGCCGGGCCTGTGGTGATTGAGCTGTTTGAATGGCTCCGAGGGGACCCGAACTGCGCACCTATCAGAGTCACTATTCTCGGCGGTATTCTCTCCTGTTACCGTGAGAAGGATGGTATCCGGGTGACTAGGCACACGCAACCCGATCCTGTTCTGTTCCCCACTGATGTGCGAACTGCTAGTACAGTGATGTTGGCCTTGAATCTCCGACGGCTCGGAAGCCGATCCTCAAACGTCTCGAACAGCAAGGCTCGCCTCTCATCAAAGGAGAAGGCGACGACTGGATCGATCAGAGAGACGAGAGAACGTTCAGCTTCAGCTTCCATTCCATGCACCGTATGATCTCCCAGGACAATGAGAAGAACAATTCCCTCCTGGACTTCGAGGACACTTCTCGGCGGACGCCCAGTGGAAGTTCCCACCACGCCCATGCCGACTATGATCTGAGACTGAGACCACTCGAGACCTACCACCAAGCGTTGGGAGGATTGCCCGTCTCCCCCGTCGGATCCATCTTGTTGCCGGCCTACGTTGAAGCTTTGCAGTTGGCAGGAAGAAATTTGTCACCTTTCTATCTTCGGAAGCTCATGGACGAGGCTTCCACCAGATACCCAGCACGGCCACGTACCCAGACCATCTGCGAAGCTTCCGCGAAGATGTATTGGATGTGGAGATTGGGGATGCAGGGCAGGTGATTGAGTCCCACGATAGCCCACCCCGTCGCAGACAATCCCCCCTCCGTCTCTTCTCAAGTTACTGATCTTTTGTTTGCTTTCATTTCTGGCCAGACTGTCTCGATGGAATAATTGGGCGAAAGGTGGCGCACTGTTAGTTAGGAGCATGACGTTGATACTAAGGCAATGCATTTGAATCACAATCTCGATCCTAGAGTACGACCCAGTTAAGCCCGGCCACCGATATTGAATCAGAAGCCATCGTATGCCCCGCCCCGTTTTTCCACCACGTAATGGTAGCTCGTCCACAGTGGTGAGTAAAATCTTTCCTAGAAGCATATGATGATGGGCTAGCCATACTGAACCCCGTCACTTCCCAACAGCCCTCCGCCGCAACCAACATGGCCAGCCATACGGCACCGCGGTAAAATGGGTCTCGAACCGCCACGGCGCATCCGAGTCGACCTGCGCAATCTCATAATCCCGGACGAGACAGGCCGCGACCTTGGAAATCTCGAAGTGCGCGAGGTTGCGACCGGGACATTGGTTGTACCCTGCGCTCCACTGCCCGGATGGATGCATGTCAGCACTACAAGCACATTTGAACAGATAGTCCGAGGGAGTAGAGGAACACTCACGTGGATCAAAAACGGATCCATCTGCTTCGCCCGATCCACATCGAGCCACCGTTCGGGGTTAAATTCATCACAGTCCGGGCCGAAGAATTTGGCGTTGCGGTGGTACACCCACGGGTTGATGCTTAAGAGGGTCTACACAGTCTCTGTCATTAGCCTCTCGGGTTTGCAAAGGGTATAGTGTACTGCACATACCCCCTCACTGAAATGCCTGTCCGCGATGGTGATTCCACCCGCGGGCACAACACGCGGCAGTCCAGTCCCGGTGGCTGGATGGTAGCGATATGTTTCCCGAATCTGTGTTGCGACGGTCAGAATCCTACATATCTATACCCCAGTTACAGGAGTCAAACATACGCAAGCCTGGAGATAAGGCAGCTTGGTAGCCTCCGCGTACGAGACGATGGGACTCAGCTCGCCGCGCGCCTGCGCCTCGTCGAGTTCCTGGCGCAATCTGGCCAGGTACTGCGGATGACGGATCAGGTGGTAGACAAACGCCTGCAGGGTGGCACTGGTGGTATCGGCGCCGGCGCCGACATTGGCTACGCAGGCGCCCATGATCTCCGACTCGGCCATCCGTTCCGGGTGCTGCTGGCGTGTGGTCAGCCACCGCTCCATCATGTCGAGGCGTGGAGGAGCCGCGGGAGGCGGCGTATGAGCAGGAGTCTTTGCCTGGCTCTGGCGTTGTCGGTGGTCGATGGCCGCCAGACAGGTGTCAAAGATGTGGGAGGTGGGCTGCAGGCCCAGGTGGCTAAGCAGCGGGTTGCCTAGCGTGAGGTTATGCAGCCAGACGTAATGGCCCATGATGGCGATGTAGAGGGCCAGCGCGCGGCTGTTGGCGATGGCGTGGCGGATGTCGGTGCCCGTCGCCAGGAAGTCGAACGGACTGGAGAAGGTCACCTCGCCGACCACGTCGAAGGCAAAGTAGTTGAACCATCGGTCGAACTCGACAGGCTGCCCGGAGGCGATCGACCGGTCCAACTGCTCTTCCAGGCGAACGAGGAGAGCGTCCACCTGTGGCTCGGATTTGATGATGTTGGACAACGCGTAGCCTGCTGCTATGTTCCGCGACTTGTGGATGTGACGCTGGGGGTTCAACTCAGACATCTGGTTCACGTAGTGATAGTCGGGGAGACTGAAAATTGAATACCAGGAGCCCTAAGTGTTTTTAAGCCGGGTTATGGGATGCAAGGCGCACAATAATGGGCCTTATGCGATGTAGGTTGGTCGTACCTTGGCAAGATTTGCTTGGAGCAGTAACCGTATGGCATCTGGGTGACAGACGCTAACTTCGTTCTCGGAAATCCGGACGAAGTGACCTGTGCGCAAGTAAGACTCATCTCTGCGCGGCAGGTTCCGGATGATGAACTCTACCATGTTTCCGATGTAATCGAATCATTTCCTGCTCGGTGTGGCCCTTGATAAGCTGATAGACCTGCCAGAGGCTGGACACGGAGGCGAGCCATGGCCCCGGGATGTCCCTCAGTGAAGTAAAATACCGCCGTTTGACAGCCACGAGGACAAAGCTGGCCAGGACGATGCTCGCCAAAGTGGAAAATGAGGCTAGCAGGTTGGCATGAAACCAGGTCAGCAAGTCCGACAGCTGCATTCTGAGGTCTCTGATCCTCCGATCCGAGTGGGTGTGGTGTTGTTCGTAAGTTCTGTGCAGAATACAGGCAGGCCACGGTCGGTGGATTGGAAATGCTGGGAAATATAAGGGTGGATGCAAGCGCTGGCAGCGGCTGGTCGATGCCCACCCGACCCGCTGATCGGTGGGGCTTGAGGCCGGCATCTCCAATCGGTTGTTTGGGGGCGGGGGCGCTAAGAGGAAGGCTAATGCCACCCAGCAACCCATGACTGATGGAGCAAGTGAGCTAAACAAGAGCTAAGCTTAGCCAAGCTGTAAGCGAGAAAAGGTGGGTTAGCCGAGGGAGATTGACTTCCTCCATCTCCGCGATGAAGTATATGAAGTGAACCTCACTTTGTCCTGCGGAGGTGAGAGTGAGAGGACCGTGGCTTCAGGCTGCTCGACTGCTCGCCTGACTACGAAACACTCACATATTCACCTATCTTAGCGTTGTCTCTATCTCTCCTTGCCCGCTACTCTCTCGAACACCCCTCTGCTTCGTCTTCTTTTGCATTATTTTCCCAGCAGAGCCTAGCTACTTAACACGACTCAATTGTTTGCTCGACATAAGCTCACAGGACCTCAGCCATGGACAGACAGTCGCCAGAGCCAATTCCAATGGAGTAAGTGCGAACATATACGCCCATTATTATCACCACCCCAGCCTGCTCATCAACTGCAACAAATCTAGCATCCTCACTTCTGAACCAGTCAAGTTCACCGTCGGACTTTCTCTGATATTCCGCTTGCCTATATCCAGGATATCGTCAGATTCACTGCGACGAGGTGATGAGTCTGAAGGACTGTCACCCAATGCTGCTTCATTCTCGGTCGACAGGCGAAGATCTGAGAAACGCCTTGTCTTTGCGTTGTAGTTTTCCTCGGACATAACCTCCATTATACAACGGAGGCTTTGATTCTACATTCTCGTCAAAAGCATCGAGTGAGAAAGGGCTTGGCGATGGGGTGAGAGGTGCTGCTCTTGCAACCCTGCCCAACTCATTTTCTACCTACCATGGCTGTTGCGCTTCTCATATCACCGTGGTTTTCAATCCCGGGGATATCCTTGCTATTTTCCAGATGCGCTTCGTTCACATCACGTTGGCTGATGTCTTTGCCTGCTGTGCTTTCTCAACATGACAACTTTGAGGCAAAGCTTGAAAGATCTAAAAATATTACGATGCAATCAGCCAATGCTATGAAATTCGAGCCACCGACTGTAATTCCCTCGCAAGATTACATTAAGGAAAACTAGGAAGGTGGTAAGCATTGACTCAATCGTAGTAGATAATGGAGCACGTGACGCGAATCTACCTTCCCCGCAGCGGTGCATGCTGACAGACACCAGTGAAGTCTTTTCGCTTGAACGTGAGAATTTGACCATTCCAGTAAAGCCTACAGAGACATGTAACCGACCTACTGTATTCAACACAGGATGAGACCCAAAGAAACCCATTTTTGCATTACTAAAATGTACATTACCCCCTCCAATAAACATGGCAGCCATCTGACCACCGGGCATCACACAAAAGAAAAGGTCTAATTACACTTCCCCATCAGCCCGACCCTGCCCACTATGAAGCAAAATGCGGCGCATTGATGAACAACCCCATCAGACACCCACCCAGTGTCCCTGCAATGGGCAAGGTCAAAATCCACGCGGTCAACAACAGCCCCACCCGCTGCCAGTTCACCGCGCGCCATGTGCCGTTACACAGTCCGACGCCAACCGTGGCGCCTGTGATGCACATCGAGGTCGACACGGGCAGAGAGTACTGCGAGAAGACGAGAACGGTGAGAGCGGCGCCGAGTTCCATCGAGCAGCCGCGGCTAGGGGAGTGGTAGGTGATTTTGTTGCCCATGACTATTACCCATTTCATTAGTACACGCACGTAGGCGAAGGGATACACTAGTAAAGAGGCTAAACTCACCCTTCATGATGTTGTACCCGTAGGTGATCAAGCCAATGGAGATACACGCCGACAGCACCGCCAGCTGCCACACTGGAACGGGAGCCTTGGCTTGGGCGGCACTGCCGGTGCTCCAGGCGGAGTAGATGACGGCCCAGGGCCCAACGGAGTTACCGATGTCGTTGGCACCGTGGGCGAAACTGGCCGTGCAGGCCGTCAGGACCTGGACGAAGGAGTAGGTGTGCTCGACCTCGTTCGGGTACTTGGTCGCGTGCGCGTAGACTCGTTGCATGCGGTCGCCCTCGGGAGTGCCGTTGATCCCGCTCTGAGCGGCGTGGATGTCGTAGTGCATGCCGTACAGCAATCCGCAGACGATCATGGCGGGAATGCGCTTGGCGAGAATGGCCATGTTGCGGAACTCGTAAAGCTGACCGGGACCCATCGGGTTGTCGCGAAGGGTGCGCATCGCCCAGCCCAGTGGGCCGCGTTTCTGCAGCAGACGGGCGCGGAGACGGCCGTCGGACTGGGCCATGAGCTCCTTGTAGGTGAGTTGCTGGGCTTCAGAGGCGACGAGCTCCTTCTCGCCGCTGGTGGAGGCCTTGTGAACGGCGTCCACGTCGGCGTCGGCGCCCTTGAGGGTCTCGGGCGAGCCGGGCGGGGAGGGGAACTCATCCTCTTGGATGACGGCGTAGTTGGGGACCTTGGCGGACTCAGAGCTGGGGTTGGCGGGTCGCTGCAGAAGCAGAGGGCCGTAGACGAACATCCACCACTTGACGTTGGGGTCCTTCTTGATGACACGGGCGTGGACGAAGGGGAGGAAGAAGATAGCCGACAGCACTGCCACCCCGGCGCCGGTGCCCATGGTCACGGCCGCGATGTACCATCCAGGCTTCTTGCTCAGACCCAGGCTGGGCGAACCCTTGTAGACAATGGAGAGGGTGCAGACAGTGGCGGCAATCAGGAACCAGAGGGGAGAGGTGTAGACCGACCAGGGAACAGGGTTCTTCCGCATGTGCACGACCACCTTGATGAGCATGAAGATGATGGAGCCAAAGCAGCCGGAGATAATGGGAGCCATGCCTAGACCCGCCAGGATGGCGCCCATTCCCTTGCCGTCGTTCCATCCCCATTGTACCTGGGAGGCGCCGACCGTGGCCACACCGACACCAGCGACCGCGGAGATGAGCGAGTAGGTGGAGGAGACGTGGGCAGAGTGTCGCGTACACCACATCACCCAAGAGGAGGCAGCGGCCAGGGCGCAGGTGAAAGCCAGCATCTGCACCCCCGCGTTTCCCTGAAAGGCGGAGTTGGGGATGATTCCGTTCTTGATGGTATCGGCGGTACGGGCTCCGACACAGATGGCGCCCAGCATCTCAAAGACGGTTCCGAAGATCATGGCTTGACGGTAGGAGACGGAGCGGGAGGAGACACTCGTGGCCCAGGAGTTCGCAACATCGTCTGCAGGGTAAGAACGAGCGGGGTCAGAGATGGAAACCATAACACGGAGAGGATTTCCGGCAACTTACTGGCACCGTTGTTGTAGGCATCCAGCATGGCAAACAGAGTGCCGATGGCAAAGATGTAGTCGTATTGATGCAGCGTCATCGTGGCTAGAGAAGCTGGGATGATGTCGCGTGAGGGGATGGCGGCTGCTGCAGGAGAGGAGGAGGCGTGAAGAGAGGAAGGAAAGAAGTAGGAGGGAGAAGGAAGGAGAGGTGAGTCTTATGTAGCCATGGCTGGAATGGCCGACTGGCTGACTGAGTGGCCAGGCTGAAGATGGGCTTACCAGGATGAGTGTTGGTGGTGGTGGTGGTTGATGAATTGTGTAGACTATGGGACAGTGGCATCTGACAGAGTGGCGTGTGTTTGACCAGGAAGCATTAACCAGTTGGACCAGTTGAACCAGCATCTTCCCTTCCGCACGTTCCTGGCCGGCCAACGCTGATTCGAGCAGGAGATTAAGCTGCGGTCGAGGGTTGCTTTGTCCACGGTTTAACCCCCCAGAATCACTTGGCATGGGCTTGGCGGTGTTCGGAGGCTGGCTTGGCAGCTCTTGGCGCCCAGCGGAGCATTTGGGCCAATCACAGCCCGAACATGATCCACGTGGGGTCGATTCAAATCCGGGGAGAAGCCAATCATCAATGCGGTTGTCTCCATGTTCGAGTTCTCAGGTAGTATACGGCTTATCGCTTCGTACCACAACCAGGATCCCTCCTGCTGTGCCCGTTCTTGCTCACCACGGTACCTCGCCACCACCACCTCCTCCCTTTCAGGCGGTGCAGAGTGTAGGATTCTCGACCTGAGCACGTGAGGTGGAGTGCCCCTTTCCCACGTGCATGTCCTCTGCCCAACCTGACTGGTCTTCGGTGGTTGCCTCCAGGTAAGACGTTCATGCATCACGATGGAGCTGAGTTCCGGGCGTGGCGACGACCGATCTGGATCAGGATTTCATCTGCATCACGGCGTCTGCCGAGAAACGGACCATGCAATCACCACTGGCAGTCCGTCCACTCCCGTTCTTGCCATCGTGCATTCGGCTGTCGCTGCTCCGCGTGGGCGACTCACCTCCTGCCTTGCCATGCAGGTGCTGTTGCCCTACACGAGTGGCAAGCCGCCCATCCACAGCTCGGGGGAAACCACCTCCCAGGTTAGCGGCATCATGCACGGTTGCCTCCTTCCAGACTGGTCTGATACCCGCTGGGAGTGGCCACGGTGAAAGAATGGTCTCGATGCCCACATGCCTCAGCAATATGAGACATAAGGTGGCAGCTGTGGGGGGCGTAGCTCCTCATCAACCACAATTACCTTCTGCCACTCTCGCCAGTGGCAGGCTCTCGCACATCGGACTAAACCTCCGATGATTGTGTCCACGGACAGTGGATATCCTGCCTTGATCGGTTAGCCTTGTTGCCTTAGGGCCGGCGTTCCCGCCTCGCTTGTGCAGCCCTGCCTTGCCTCTTGCGACAGGCGGAAAGTTCTTGAAGCTCAATCCTTCTCAGCGATCGGTTCACTTCCATCTCTTAGTCCGTCTCTGATAGCCAGGGAGATGGGTAGGACTGCATACATGGTGGGAGTTCGAGCAATGAGTCCGCACCCAACCAGTAAGTATATCACTTTCCTACCACACAACAAGGCGGTATGCTAATTCACCTGGCCATCTACTGCCACAGAACCCCGACTGAGATCCCATTGTACCACATCACCAAGACAACACATCAGAGAGAAAGTTGGAGATTCGAACAACAATTCTAATCCAAGCCAGTAAGTATGGCACTGCCTCCGACGCAACAAGACGGTATTTTAACGTACCTGGTCATCTACCACACAGATCCCGTCCTATCCTCCCCCGACCTTCCACTTCACCAACCCACTAAGACCAAAACAACACAGCAGACACAGACACAGTCACAGCGACGAAGATCTATTACTATTATAAGTCTATCGAGAACACCGCATATGTACACATTCACCCCACCTTTTCACACCTCCGGCAGACCCCTTAGTTCACGGGGATGTTGCGCTCCAGATACCCGCTCCAGGTGGGCAGGCTGCGCTTCCAGGGAGTCTGCGAGGACAGCTGCAGATCTTCGATGGCACTGGCGTACTTGATGAGGGTCGCCTCGGAGAAGGCAGTACCAAACAAGGCCAATCCATAGGGCATGTGCGAGTCCTCGTTGATACCGGCCGGCAGGGTGACCACGGGATAACCCGCCTGGGCGGCGATCTCGACGGAGGGGGCAAAGTCCGGCGGGGCCAGGAGAGCGGTGATGTTGCGGCCCTGGTAGCGCAGCGCCGCATCAATGCCCTCCTCCCGACTGGTGCGTTGACAGTACGCCAGCGCCTGCCAGTAAGTCTCGTTCATCACACCCTTGGTCGCCAGCGACGCCAAGAAGCCATCCTGTCCGGAGGCAAAGGCCGGGTTCACCCCGGGCAGGCCACCCTCGCTACCGGCGTTATCGATGTTGTACTGAACGATGTCCTCCAGCGAGCGGATGTTGGTGTTGTTCAGCTCGGCGAGATAATCCTTGATGTTGTTGTAGAAGTCGACCTTGACGTAGGAGTACTCGGACTGGTTGGGGTAGCCCCGAGAGGTGCCGTAGTCCCAGTTCCAGCCCTCGGGGTCGACAATCTCCTTGTAGTGGGGGAGCTCGGTGCCGTTGATGATGGTCGCACCCGCCGACTCAATCAGCTCCAGCAGCTCCATCAGCTGGGCGTTCTGGGCGGCGTCGTTGTACTGCCAGAACGACATCCACGGCAGACCGAACACGGCGCCCTTCAGAGCCGACTTGTCCGTCAGGAACTGGGCGTACCCACCGGTGGGGGTCTTGCCCTTTTGCGCGGCGGTCTGGTTGTCGCGGGAATCGACGCCGTAGATGGCGTCCAGGGCGTAGGTGGCGTCGCGCACGGTCTTGCCGAAGGTGCCGACCGTGTCCTGGTGCAGGGACTCGGGGATCACGCCCGCACGCGAGGTGAGGCCGACGGTAGGCTTGATGCCGACGATGTTGTTGCGCTCCGCCGGGTTGATGACTGTACCGCATTAGCAAAGCAACCCTACTATCGGTTGTGATTCACAACATACCACTGCCATCAGTCTCCGTTCCCAGCGCGAAAGGCACCTGGTTGGTGGAGATGGACACGCCGGAGCCGGAACTGCTACCGCCAGGGTTGACGGTGAAGTTATACGCGTTGCGACACTGGCCACCACGGCCCGAGTACCCCTCGGAGTAGTCGTTGGACCGCATGTCCGCCCACTCACTGAGCGTCGCCTTACCCAGCAGGACAGCCCCGGCCTCGCGCAGACGGTGCACGACGTGCGAGTCACGGGGCACGACGGAGCCCACGAGGGCCCAACTACCGGCGGTGGTCTCCATCTTGTCCTTACTGGCGATGTTATCCTTGACCAAGAAGGGGATTCCGTGCAAGGGACCGCGCACTGTGCCCGCCTGCCGCTCCGCGTCCAGCGCCTCGGCGATGCTCACCGCATCGGGGTTCAGCTGCATGACCGCACTGTGCACATCGACACTTTAGCCCTATCCTTGCCCCAGGCTTTTATTATTCTGGAGAACACTCACTTGACATAAGGCTGAACCTGGTAGATGCGCTCGAGATAACACTGAAGCAGCTGCACCCCCGTGAAATTCTTGGCCTCTAGCTCGGCCTGGATCTCGTCGATGCTGGCTTCCTCGAGCTTGAAGCCATGGCAGAGACGCATGGGGAAGAGATCGGAGCCATTGGTGCCCAGCTTGGGGAAGTCATAGGGGTAGGGCTGCAGATCCAGCTGCTGGGTGACCAGGCTGTCGTTCTGCGCCGACGAGGCGGCGGCCACCACGGCCAAGCCGACGGCCAGGAGTCGCGACGCGATGGAAGGCATTTCCGGGGATATGACGTGGGAGGGAAACAGTGAAAATCCAAAAAGAAAAAAAAAGAAAGAAAAAACAACCGAACGAGAAAGGTAGGATTATGAGTAAATCGTCGATTGATGGGGCTTGGGCCGAAACGGCGACCGACGATCGGGGGGATCGGGGAGATCGGGGGGGGATACAGCGATACCGCTGGATGCAAGGGGCAAGTCTCGAGAGCAGGAAACCAATTCCCTGGTCGGGTACAATTAATCATTTATACTTTGTCGACATGAGACAATTAATCTCTACTCCGTATGGACAAGTAGACTAGCCGATGAGGCCACCGCGGACGGACACCGGGTGGAGCGTCGGCCGAAGCTTGATCAAGCTGGCTGTCGAGACGCCGGCGGATCTTCGGCACCGTCAGAAGTCAGGACGTACGCAGGAGGGAGTCGAATTGAATGAGAAGGACTAACTAATTATGTGAGTTGACTTCGGAAGTATGTGCTTGGTTTGCTCTATGTTTGGGCCGTAATATGCAGTGTATCTTCTCGAAGCCGCCCAGAAGCTTCTCCCCCTGAGAGAATGCAAGAATAATCGTCACCGACTCCCCAACTCCAGTAGATTAATTAATCAACGGTTTCCCTGTAGCCGAGGAGATCCGAAAGAGTAATTTCCACGTAATCTGAGTGCTGACTCCCCCACCCCGCACTAACCTTCATCGGTCCTCATTTGCCCTCACTTCAAGCGGTAAGCTCCACTGCGGCCCAGTTCACAGGAGAAAGGGAAAACCGTTCCATGGATTCCCTCGTCCGTGTCCTGCCAGGGCTGCTCGTTTATCGCGTTTAAGGTAATCGATCGTGTGTCGCGCTCCCGGGAACGTCATCAAGACGCAGAAACTGCGCCATAGAAAAATAAGAGAAAAGAAAAATAAAAATCATGCGACCGAGAGAAGAGAGTTTTTTTTTTTCTTCTCGATTGTCAATAACAACCACCAAGACTGTGAAGAACCCACGAACCTGGTCGGATGGTTCGGTCGGCTGTTTTCCCACATGGCAGGATCGGCTAGTGAGAGAACTAAACAGGACTAACCAGGACTAACATATAGTGTGCTGCTCGCCTAGCCTATAGCCCTAGGCTAATGCACTTTTATCGTCCCCAGGAGGCAAAACAGACTGGACTAGACTGACTAGTTCGCCTCCCGGTGGACTCGTCCATCGGACCATGGTTCGCATCCGCATTCCTCCTAGTTCAGGGAGAACGCAAGGTGCCCATCATCTCCCCGAAATTCTGGTTCGTCGGAGCATGCAAGATTGCAAGATCTGGCCCAGTCTGCCTATTACTTCTTCACTTCGTCTTTTCTCTCTCCCGTCCCCATCCTGACTCAAAACAACGACTCCATCCCCGTAACTCCGGTGGTCCCTGGCAAGCCTGCCTGCCTGCAGCAACATGGCCAACATCCCAGCTGCCATTGAAGCGGCCGATGCTGCGGGTCGCATCCCCGCGGGGATCAGCCTGGAATACCTCGCCCAGTCGCGCGATCGCCCGGTCAAGATCGCCATCATCTTCGTCTGCGCCTTGACCACACTCGTGGTCATCGCGAGATGCTATGCCCGCATCTTCTTTCTAAAGCGATTTGGCATGGACGACTCCCTGGCCGTCTTCACTCTGGTAATTCTCTCTGCGGTTACGGGTCGGGAAAGCTTACACTGACTAACGGCTGGCAGCTGCTGTACATCACCGTGGTCGTGCTGTCCATGGTCCTCATTGATCTGGGCAGCGGCCGTCATATCGAGTACATCGAGTACGTCCTCTCATTGTCCCAGGTCAAGGAGACAGAGGTCCTGGACTTCGTCATGCACATCTTGTACACGACCGCACTGTTCATCTGCCGCCTGTCCGGTCTGGCCTTCTACCATCGGTTGGCGGCGCGACACGACAAACTTTCCCTGGCCATCAAGCTTGCCTCCATCTTCCTCGTGCTCGCCTTCCTAACCCAGTTCTTCCTGCTGCTCTTCCACTGCTTACCGGTCACGGGGCTCTGGCCGTATGAATGGCAAGCCGGGGCGAGCCAGTTCAAATGTCTGAGCTGGGGCGACGTTTACTCGGTCAATTCGGGGTTATCCTTAGTCTGCGATCTGATCATGTTGGTTCTGCCGTCCATGTTGATCTACATGCTGCATGTGTCGCGGCAACGGAAATTCCAGCTGTCACTGATCATGTTTCCGGGTGTTCTGTGAGTTCCCTGCCTAACAAATTCCTTTTTTTCCCCCAAGTCCCAAACTGACCAGACATTTCCCGCAGAGTCCTCGCCATCTCCTGCGCGCGCATCTACCTGGTGGCGGTGGGCCAATGGTCGTCGGACGGCAGCTGGGCCTACGATCCGATGCTGGCGGTCGAGACCTCCGAGATCGGAAGCACGTTGATTGCCCTCTCCATCCCCGCCCTGAAGTCCCTCTTCGGCTCCTACTTCAACCACCTCAAGGCCTCCTCCTCCGGCGGCGCCACCTCGTCCAACAAGCGATCCAGTCGGTTCCACCGCGGGTACGGCCGCACCTGGGAGGGGCATATGGAGTTGAATAGCCTGGGCCAGGCAGCGGCCGAGGCGGGGTCATATCACGTCGACGTGCAGACGGGCAAGGGGGCGATCGCCACCCCGGAGTCAACCTCGCTGGGTGGGCCACGCACGGGGAACGACAGCTCCTCAGAGGACTTGCTGTCGCCGCAGAACGCGAAGCATGCCGGTCGCGCGGCCGGCAAGGGGCAGGTTATCATCCAGGAGACGGTGACGGTGATCGAGAGCGAGAATGCCGATGCCGGACGGAGCTCCTAGGCTGCATTTGAGGCTTGTCTCACGGATGCAAATTCCGACAGCTGGATTGGGTCAGCGCATCGCCAAGGAGTAGGTGCGGAAGACCATAATATGTAAGGCATCCAGGGCGAGAATGAGGTCATTATACGGCCAAAGGGACTGGCGCTCACTCCAGTCTCCCTTCTCATGCCACTCAAGAGCATACAGACGTTCGACACTTTCGAGAATAGCAAGCAGCCATCTCGAAACCAGCCCACCAGCCGCCGGAGCAACATCACCCGGCCAGGTCTCGTTTGGTGAGTCGGAACCAGACTTGCAACCGGGGAATTGAATTTGAGTGGGACTGGTTGTGGTCGGAACCACCGGCGGGTCTAGACCTCCCATTGACCTTGGTTTACATCCCGGCATGGGAGCTTCATCAAGTTTCAGCGAGGCAATTCGGAGTCTCGCTCTACCCGATCGCCGCGCAAATTCTCTTCGCCTTGCGCATCAGATAAATATTATCCTCATAGTCCATGGCCGCTTGGTGCAGCCCAGCCCAGATTGCAAGTTCCAGGGCATTCATGAATCTTATTAAGCCACTGCGCGTGGTGGCTTGAACCCCGCCTCTAAATATCCCTCCTACGTACAGTACATAGTACTACTATTAGGTTGACGCAGAGCAGCCCTTGGGACAAGGCTGGGACTCGGGGCTATATCCAGTCAGAAGCATCCGTAGTGGCAAGTGCCAGGTAAGACCGACCTGCCCATCGCTTGAGCGTACTTCTACAATGCTTCGGCTAGAATACATGAATAATCCCACTGTGGTTTGCTTAGCTATAGCAATTTGAATGGGTAAGCTCTGCGGCCATTATGATATCTAGACATTACGTTCCTAGGATAGGTGTACTGCAGACCTCAATCGGGGATTTCAGTCTCTGAGTACTGATATATCTTGATCCTTACCCGGACTGCCTTTTGCTCAAGGAACCTTTACTTTCCTTGCTGCTCTTTTAATCTATCTCTATAGATACTGTAATCTTAGATTTTCTCCCGTTAGCGCTGCTACTAATCCTTAGCTGACTCTAAGATCAATGAACTAACTAAATAACCTAACAGTGAGTGATACCTTCGTTGCAAACAGTTCCGACCGGGGCGGGGCGATGCGCAGTATTCCCAACATGGTTTAGTGCCACCCGCGCTTATCTATGCCGAGGATCATCTTCGGTCTTCCCGCTTCAACCACGGAGTACGGAGTACTCGGTGTACGAACCAGAGTGCAGTGCACTATCGCAACGGGCTTGGGTTTCTTTGTTGCGACATACAGTACTCGTAGCTCGAGGCGTTATGGAGGAGGAAACATAGTTTGCTCCACTTGGGTGCCGTAGACTGATTTGTCTCGATTGCAACGGTCAGTCTTTCTCCTCTTTTACCTCCTATCGCTCGAAATTACGTCGCAAGAATCTTCATAACAGCTGTGAAGGGAGGCCTCCATGCAAAGGAGGAAGAACAGCAAGCTCAATGTTCCTTGGCCGCAACGTCAAAAGAGATGCACCTGTCATGTGACCGTGGCCCACGTGATCAAGGTTACCAGCCTTGCTTAGGCGCCTGGAGCTTTTCTCCTTCCACAACTATTCACATCACATTCTTCTGTTGGTGGCAAGGGAAGCTTCTTTGTCATGAGCTCTTTGAGATTGTCTCTTTCTCGCGCGTGATCTACAACGGTGACAGGTCTTCACTGATTGCTGTTTGATTCGAAGCCCTCTTGGTTTCTAACAAAGTATATAGCCATATCGGGGAGCCGGAGACCATCGTGGTACTAAAGATTGCCAATAACAATGCGCATTATACCGGCTATAAGCACGAGGTTAAAGAGTATATTTGCAACGCAAACCCCTCACATTGTGGTCGCCTACTACTCCGCACATTGCTTAACTTCCTCGAAGTCTAAGGTCCGGAAGGTTCTTATTTGTGTTTTGTATACCCGTCTCTGAGGGAGCTTCTATTAATGTATCAGCAGCGCTTCGTCGATGGGAGGATGCTACTCCCTATATCAAAACCTACATCGGTACTCTGCTTATAGAGCTTTACTTTCTCCACCAAGAATGCAGAGTAATCCATACGGGTAAGTTATATTGATTCTTGTTTTTCTATGGGTAAACACTGAGCTATGCTGTCCAGATATAAAAATCAAAGAATATCATGATCTTCTTTGAGGATCTGATCATGCTCGCTGATTTAAAGAGTCGCAGTTTGAATGGCCAATAGCGTCCAAGATCGACTCGACAGGACGACCAGTACACTAATCCCTTGCTATTCTTGTTGCTTTTACTAATACCAGAATCAGTTGTGTAATCTTGTAGAAGGTAAGAAGCTGTTTCAGCTTATCCACATTCAACACAGCTGCTATGATGCAAAGCTTCATGTCGCGCAAATAATAGCCTTACTTGGTCCCCCGCCTTCTGAAATCCTGCAGAGGTATCATTAATGCGCGAGTTTTCGTTACCGAGACCTGTCTGACGAGAAGACGGCAGTATATACGAGACCGCGGAAGAGTACTTTTATACACCGTTCTTTAACAGTTATGGTAGGCTTGTAGGATTTGTTATCTCGGTTATATAGATTATCTAACTCGTAATCAATAAACATTTCAGGTTGCTCTGAAGATCTGATTCCCGATCGGCGTCTCGGCGATACGGTTTCCTCCACTGCACACATGCGTGGCGCTTTCAGTGAGTTCCATTTTTGCCTGACTCCGTCCAGTCGAAACCTTCGTTGCGCACATGGCTCGGTGTCATCTCGGAGGGCTGGTCGGCCGACGACCGTCTTAAATCCCTCCGTGTGGAGGAAAAGAGGTTGCGCAGAGCGTGTTTCAGAGAACGAAGACTGGGGCTTCGCCAGAATTGGGCTTTATTGCGGTCAGGGCACTGTAAATGCCGAGGTTCCCGGAGATTGGGGCCCCTGCTGGTGGTATGTCCGCCATTCCTGCAATGTATGGTATAATGGTTTAGATGGACACGTCCACTGAACAGAAAGAGTTCGAATGCTGAAGCGACCACGGGAGAAGCCTAAGCTTTACAATGGGGTCTGCTACACACCTGCTGCTATGCTTAGCCATGCACATGTTCCACACAGGCTTGCGTACAAAAGCTCTATGACTATTGCTGGCTTGGCTCAGGTGCAGTCACGAACAATTGCACCCAATGGTTGAGATGGTGGGCGCAGAAAGGTAGCTTCGCGCGTGCTTATTCAAGCCATTTTTAGCCATTCTATGCGGGATAGTGATTGGGACGCAAGTTGGGGCCACCATCTCTGATGTTCGACACATATAAGGCTAATATAAATGAGAGGGATCACATGATCTCACTGTACTTCTCTCAGCCTTGCCTCGTCCCTTGTTTTCACCCCCTCTCATCCATCTCTTCATCTCTTCATCTCTTCATCTCTTCATCTCTTCATCTCTTCATCCATCCATCCATCCATCCATTCATAATACTCTATGACTCGAACAACACCAAATCACTACTGTTCAATATGTGGCATTCTGATTGCCCGTACCTTGGTCATGCCTGGCACCGTGCCAACCGATCTGGAATGGTACCGGCAGCTCCGTGTGATCCAGCTTCGCGATGATACATTAGATGGTTCATGGCTAGTCACCCAATCTGCCACTGTGAGCGGCGTAGGATATGTCAATCATTCCAATCGAATGCATGCCCCCTCGCACCATGATTGCTGTTTCGACGACGACGGGGTTGGCAGCCTGATGTCATACATCCGATTCCGCGACCCGGCGTCAGGTACCTGGTCATTCGACGTGCATGAATTATGCTGGCAGATTCTACTGCAGAGAGTCCCGGGGGGCCGATCCGACCTCACCAAGGTTTCCACTCTCCTATTCCAGATGATGTTTTGTACCACATGGGACAAGCATAGATACCTTCGTCCTGATCATGACTTCGGTGGCGCAGCCCAATTTCAAAAGCCGATGGGGGCTGTGATTCACGATATGATCGACCAAGGATTTGATTATCTCTCGGCTTGTCCTTCACAGTTCCGCGATCTGGCAGAGATTCTATCGTTTGCTACCCCGGACACTCAGTTCTGCCCTCAACAATCCACGCATAGAGCCTGGAGGCCGTCTTCGCGCGATGACATATTCTCCTCACTTCCAGTCGAGGTTCTACTTATGATTGTGTCCGTCCTCCCTTCACCCGACATTCAGCAGTTGCGATTGGCGTCAAGAAGTCTTGCATCCGCGACTGATCCGTCATCGCTGCCTCAGTTCTTCTGGCGCACCAGGTTTCTGGCAGATGGTGAGATGGGATTTGCTTGGCCCGCTAACTCGACGGGTGATCTCAACTGGCGTGACGCTTACTTTACGCTGAAGCATGCTTTGAGCGATACCTCCGGCTCCAACTTTGCGCAGGCCAGAAACCGGCGGCGAATATGGAGACTCGCTGATATCAATGCGGCTCTGCTTTCTCAGTTCTTGGAGGGAACCGACCTTTGTGGCAGTATCTGTACCAAAAACGCAGGTCTGTCTCATAGCCCCAATACAACTACTGAAAATGGGACACACGGTAAAATGCTCAGCGCCCAAGTCTCGGAGGACTCTCACCGGCTACTTTCTGTAGGAAGTCTGAGGCTCCACGATAGGACCGTCATTCTACCTTTGGACGCCTCCACTGTCAAGACCATTCGTGTTTATGTGGTTTACTTTAACTTGCAGTGTTTCATCTCCGGTCTGGAATTTGAACTTCTGAACCTTTCTACTCAAGCGCTTTCCGACATTGCTCTGGGATTCACGCCACCCAATGCGGGCCATTTGATCCAAATTGCCCCGTCCGTTTGTGTAACAGGATTTGAACTAGAAGTCAGTTCGCGAGGCATCACCAATCTAAGAGTGCTCGTTGAAGGAAGCGACCACGGTGCATGTCCGCCGCAGTGGGTGCGAGATCAAGAGACGGACCGGGCCGATATCGGGTTGGGAAAGCTGAACTTCGGCGCTATGAAAGCACGACGAATCCGACTGGTCGCTATGTTTGATGTAAGTTCGACTGCCGCATCGTCAACGTGTCTGCTGATCGATGGCACGCAAGGCATTCAAAATGATTGCCTTGGGATTTACCGAAGCCAGTGACACCGTTTCGGAAAACGACAACAGTTTCACACTCCAACCAATGTGGACACCCACCTATCCAAGAGAAGCCGTATCCCTCGTTCCTGAATTGCAGCCAGCATTGCAAGGGTACAACCGTATGCTGAATATTGATTTCGCGGGTGCCAACAGTCAGAAGCTTTTGCAACTCACAAGGATAGTGATCCATATCCTCAATGACTCGGCACCCATTGTAGGATTCACCTTCTATTCCGATAACCGGACCTCTACCCACTTCGGTCGACAGGGTTCGATGGAAGTATCTTGGTTGATTGATGGACCCGGTGGGGAGTATGTCACAGGTGTCACAGTCGCGAAGTCCACCAAGGATAGTCGAATCCTGTTACTTCGGGTACTCGCATCTCTTCGTTCGGCATGCCACTGAGACTGACGTGAATCAGATGCGCACAAACCTTGGAAAGGAGCTCATAACGGGTTGGGATGAGCTGAGCCGCTTTGAAGTGTCGGACTACCGGCTAACACTGCAAAATCAGCGCCTCATAGAAAAACGCCGCCATGTACACACAGACCTGATCGCTTGCTGGCCATAAGGAGCCGATAACATGCGGAAAGCCTGCAATCAAGAACCCAGTGGTCAGGTGTATTCCCTCATCCCGCAGCTTCTCGGCGCGATTCTCCGCGGTGGAACAGGCAGACAAATACGCAATCCAGGCACAGGACGTCGCTTGATCAAGGAGCTGAGAGACGGTTAGCTTGTCTACCACGAAACCAGAACTACTCCTCTTCTTCAGAAGCATATGACTGTCAGCCGGGTCCTCGGGATCCGAGTGCCCGTGACAGGCAAAATGTACCAGCTCGCACGTCGATATTTGGGCAAGAATCTCGTCGGCAGAAGGCCCAGCCAGATGGTTTACATGCATGGCGTGTCTGACGGTATCGATAATGGCTTCGGCTTCTCGACGGACCCCATGGAGTGTGCCATGACCCGGGGTATCCGGCATCGTGGCGATCAACAGAGACGGGCTGTCCTCTGGCTGGATGGGTGCCTGGGCCGCCCTTCGCTGAGCGTTGCGCCGGGAATTCTGAAGAGTCTTGATTGTCGGGGTATATGAAGAGATGACGCGGTCGAGACAATTCTCCTTTGCCCTGTTCTCGTCGTGGGGACCGGTGGTGTAGTCGCCGGCGGCGTGGAAGGGGAGTCCACTCGCCGCACCCACGCCAATCCACCAGACTCGGCTTTTGTGCCGAGAAGAGATGCTGTTATGCGACGCGAGCAGCTCAAGGATTGGCTTTACACAAGTGTACCATAGCCATGACAGGAGATCCACATCTTGCGCCTCTGGCGGCAGATCACTCTCTAGATCTCTGGGCCCTGACTTCCAGGTGCACCGCATTCGCAATAGTTGATGACGAAACTGCGGTACAGAATGGCTGATCATGCTATCGAGCGGTAAATGTTTGATCCAATCCGTGTGATAAGAATAGCATCGGATGACATGCAGGTTACATTCACCACAACAATTGGCCCCTCGCGGGAAGAGTCGATAATCTCCGGAAGTGTTACCGGCTGCAGGAAGTTCTCAAAGCCCGTCTTCTCACGGATGCGACTCTCGCACTGTTGCAGAAGTTGAAATGCAGCTCGACGGTTGTTAATCGGCTGCGGCTCATCCACATGGATATCACGCAAGGCCTTCTCCCGAAGCATGTTATACCTCAGGGCGAGATCCTCATGCACCCGGTGCAAGTTTGACAGGTCTCTTTGAAGGTCAATCAAATCACCAATAAGAATACCACGGCTGATCTCAATTTTCAGAAGTGCTTGTGTCAGAGATCCACTCCGAAGTAATGCGACGCAGGTGTGACCAGCGAGACCGGACAGGCTTTGCAGACTGTAAGTCTTGTCATCATGCTTCAGGTCGCGGCTGCTGATAAGAGGTATCTGCGGAAATATGAATTCTTCTGCGAGTCTTCTAGCCGCTGTCCAGTTTAGGTGATGTATTGCGTGATGCATGACGCATGAAGCACCTCGTACACGATCTATAGGCAGGGCTTGATCAGATTCATAGCATCGCTGGAAGCTCCGTAGTCCACGACGGTAGGCTGTAGTATCATTCGTGCGAGAGGCCTTCGCGAGCCAGAGGTTCCCAAGTATCAACCGATTTGAGCTCGTATCGTCAACATTCAGACCAAAGAAGGCATCCATTGAATCGATTGCTTTGTCAAGGTCGGCGATGTCGTGGGTCAACCCATAGAGATCCTTATATAGTCCACCAAGCGCATGTAAAATCTTTTTCTTGTAGGGTGAATTGAGGCCATCATACGAATGAGCGCGTATAGTCTCAACTTCCTCGATAGAGGCTCGCAGAGCCTGTGTCTGATCAGTCCGGTTTGGATCTTCTGTTGCCATCCACACAGCCCTTTGTATGATCAACCCTATTTGTTCGGCGCTACCGCTGATCGCGGCATCTATTGCTGTGTTTATCAGCTTTTGTGCCTTGTCGAAATCTTCATGTCGTCCCTGACGCTGCCACCTCGCCATCAAGTAAATAGCCGTGCGCTGTTCTCCGGGCAAGTCCTTTGACCCCTTCAACGGAAGTCATTCTTCTGCCCTGGCGATTGCGAGATCTAGGTCCCTGCTATGCCCCGTTTGAGTGTATCGGCGATAGTATTGGTCCTGAAGCATCTCAAGGAGCACCCAGTATATTGGTGAATCGACCTCCGCGAGAGCAAAAGCTTGCTCGGCCTTATCAAGAGAAGTGTCAAACTTTTCTCCTCTCGCGAACTCGGCAGGAGCGTACGCCATATACATCTCTTCCAAGCCACTTGTGAGGATTTGAACAAAGGAATCCTCCTTTGGGACCGCGTGGCGAACCTCTTTGTAGATATCCAGGGCCTTTTGCAAGTCGTCTGTGTTCCCGGTCTCATGGTACCGCGTATTATAGACAGAAGCAAATACCAACGAGAAGACGAAATTATCATGCCCTCCAAGATCCCCGATTGTCTCGATTTCGGTGATGATTCGGTCGAGGTCTGTGCTTCGTTTGGTTCGTTCATATCGTATTTGCAGGTTCATAATCAGGAACATTCGGTACGCGTGCGCCTCTGGCTTAGCTTGGACTGCCAATTGGGAGTATTCGATTGCTTTGTTGAGATTTTCCTCCTCCTCTTGACTTGTGGCGGATCGTCGCGCCTCGTACTCAAATGCAATATTTCTCAAGACATCTGCCCTACCAGGGTCATTATCCGGCAGCCTCGACAGTTCTTCCTTCTTGCGGAGGATTCTTTCGGTGATCATATCTGACTTCTGGTGTCCGGATCCACCGCTCTTTGGATCCACACAAGTCCACCACTTATTGTCAGCCTTTCTAGCAGCGATAAAGGCATCACTAGTCTGCGTTACTGCATTTCCGAATACTAACAGCGCTTTTTCCTGCATGACTTGTTGAATGGTTTTGCGTTTAGTATGAGGCCTTGGCGTGATACCTGTGGGTGTTACAGTCCTGGTTATCTGTCCACCCACATTTAGTTCCGACTTTTCATTCCCCCAAGAGTTTCTATACACACCTCGCAACTTCCCGCTTGAGCTGGCATCGAAGTCGGAGCCGATATCTTTATTCGAGCTTCTTTGACCGCATTTCTCCACCCTGGAAACTTTGATGATTCGTTAGCAGTTCTCCTGATGCTTGGGGCTACTGCATGAGCATACCCGTACTCTTGCCCAGATCACCAGCCGATTGCCTTCCTCGATGAGGTTTAGCAAGTGCTCAGCGCTCTTCTCATGCTCATCCCCGCCTCGCTTCCAGGTCACGACTTGTTGCTGCCATTGTGATTGAAGAGTATTCTTCACCAGGGTCGTGCTGATTTCTCCGCTCGACTGGGCATGGCCCATGGGCAGATTCTTGAAGTATAGCCCTTGCTCCTGAATCCACTCGCCAAATTCCTCTGGACTCGATCGGACGTAAGCCGGGTCGCTCAAGTCGTGGAACAAGTTGGGATCGGGTTCTTCGGCCCAGGCGCCTAAAATCGAGACTTCGAACCAGGACCAGAGCCCATTCTGGGGGTTTCCATATCCCTGATCGTGGCTGGTAATATCGAACTGGATGGCAGAGACCTTGTCGGGAAGTGGGCGAGAAACGAGGTATAACGCGGTCCACTGATGAGGGACCGAACTCGACCGGCCAGGCGGGGGGAGACGCACCACTTCGTTCCTGCCCCCCCAGAGTGCGAGGCCTTTCAGCATGGGGGTAGTAGTTATCTTCAGTCGGGTTTCTGTGTTATGCGGGTGATGGTGGGAGGAGATGATACACGAAGGGGGGGTAAGGCTGGCGTATGTAGTGTGATGGAACAGCTGGAGGCCTGACTCGGTCAGGCGGATACGCTATATACTAGATTGACTAATGAGATCAAGCAGCTAACGTGTGGCTGAGACGCAGCGTTGATGAACTGATTGGTCAAGGATGATCTTTGACCAGAAAGAGATATTACCTATTTCTTTCAGCCAAGGACTGTTTCCTCTTTCTAGGCGGGCCGTGGCGCTGGCACTGCCATGTCATCCCGTCTACTGTATATTTGCTTTTATCCTGAGATATCACTATAGACATCAAGCCTGTGAAGCATATTGTTACGGTTCTTGATTATCAAGACTACAATAGGGGCTTGTAACAAACCTCCATACTATCTGAATAAAACTACATACTAGACTAGAGTGGCGATCAACCGGCCGGCATGCAGGTCAGCTTATACCTTGCATGGCCTTCATCTCCAAATCTAGCCGAGCAACATAGGTCACCTGACATGTTCAAGAACGTTACGGTTGGTTCGTCATTTACGTACAATGAGACAAATAACGCTCTCGTCACCTCCCCTCAGTATCCCCACCCTGAGGCTGTAAAGAACCCAACCCGCCTATGTTGAATAAGCTAAGTGGTCCCTTGACAACCTTCTTCGCCCGCCTCCGTCCCCCACTCCTTCTATGCCCACAAACGCGGCAGGCCTGCAGACTCGACAAACCATGCCTAGGCATAGTTGCAGGCGAACGAACTCCACTGCTTAGGCTGGCCAATGGTGGCAAACGCCCCCTCCAGCGCTCCACTGCTGGAGCCGCTGCAGCCGACATCGCTAGAGAGAGAGATCAGTCCCGCCATCCACGATAGCGATCCTTTCCCTAGTGACCGTAAACACTTACATCCAGAAGGTACAGACATTGCCATCCCAGACGCTGACGGACTGGACTTTATCATTCCAGCTCGCGTCCTTGCCGGCGAAGGAGACTTTCGGGTGTCAGTATGCTAAGAAAAGACGGATTCGGGGGGAGAGCCAGGGCAAGGGTGAGAAAATACTGCATTGGTTCACATTGGTGCTCTGATAGTTTGTGCAGGTGCCCGTGAACTCGGTGCCGGTGCACATGGTGCCCCAGGTGATGGAGGCGGTGGCTCCGTGGAGGAGGCTGAGGAGAGTGGCGGCGGCTGCGATGGACTTCATTGTGATAGAGGATGAGGAAGGTGGATGCAGGTAGGCAGATACGTTGTTGCAGTGTGAGGAGGATTCTTATCGAGGGTGATGAGAGGAAGAAGTGGTCTCGTCGGAAGGGACTTTATATAGTTTTCCAGATGCCCCTGCTTATATATTCAACCTGGTTGTCTCTGCTTGAAAGACCAATATGGTAGGAGTCCCCTTTCTCCAGCCTCACGAACATTACACCCACTCGAGTCAGAGCATGCATGCTTCGTATAGGTCTCGAAATTGAGCAGATTCAGCTGGACCCTTCGGAACCTGATTAGGGCACGATTGGCTCAATCGTATTGTGAAGCTCCACTTGGATCTTTAAACAATCGGCTTGGTAAGCTTATACTCTTGCTGCACGGCTTAGCCTTGTGAACTAAGACATCTAGCTGCATTTCTTCAGCTAGACTATCTGAAAAGAGGCTGATACCCGAACTACAGAGTGGACGGTGTTCCTGCGTGGGTTCCGCGGGGCTCGCCGAGCTCGGCGCAGCTAACGCAATTAAGCACAAGCCGTCTCCGTGTCCGTCAGCGAACTAGACCATCGAACACGAACCCTTCGGCCAACCCGACACTCCACTCTACCGACTTTGTCTCATATGACTCGGGTATATGCAGGTAGGTAGCATCGACTGAGTCAGGTCGGGGCCTGACGATTGGGCCGGCCTGGAGTTCGCGGGGGTAGAACCAATCTATCTATGGAGTTATCACAATCTCTGGGCTACATTGTTCTGACAATCCGAGGCCGTAAGAAATCATATAGACAAGTGGTATTGTCTAATGCAAGATTCGACCCCCCAAAATTGCAGCGGTGATTGTTGCAGCGAGGGTTTGAGCCTCCAGTATGTCGACGGTAGGCTTCGAGGCTGAACTACGTGATTGGATCATGCGAGGGGAGTGTGAGGGCGATAGTGACTGCGTACCCACGGCTAGAGGGGTGTAACATTGATGGAAATATGACTAAGGTAGGACCACTGGTGGCTGGTGACATTATATCTCACACATCTCACATGATGATTCATTCTACAAGTTCTACCCCATTCAGAAGAAGTAACGCGAGACAGAATTCCATAAAATTAAGCTAGGCACAAACAAGGTCACTTCTAAAAAGCTAGAGACGTCCACTACCTACCCCAAAATCCATAATATAACATTCCTAAAGAGCCCGAACCCACTCCAGAGCGGTCTCCGGCTCCAACCGCTTCGTGTAATCCGGATCCAAGAACACATTGCGCACCACCCCGTCCGCGCCCACGAGCACGGTCGCCGGGATCGGCACCTCCAAGCTCTGATCGCCGTACTTCTTTTCCCAATCGACCCCAAAGCCGGCCAGGATCGGACCGAACGCCTCAGGCTGCTTCCAGACGATCCCCAGCTGGCGGGCGAGCTGGTTCCCTACGTCCGAGAGCACGGGAAACTCGAGCGCGTGCTTCTCCGCCACGGACAGGGAAGTGTCAGGGAGGTGCGGGGAGACGGCAGCAAGGGTGACGCCCGCGGCGGTGAATTCGGGCAGGCGGGACTGCAGAGCCCGTAGCTCGAGGTTGCAGAAGGGGCACCATTCCCCGCGGTAGAAGGACAGCAGGAGGGGGCCCTTGGCTAGGAGACTGGTGCTGGTGACGGCGTTGCCGGTTGCATCTTGGAGAGTAAACTCAGGCAAATTCTGGCCAGGCTGAATGGCTTTGCTGGCGTCGAAGGAGTCTTGCAGGGCTTGCACGCCGGAGTTGAAGGTGTCGATGACGGGGGCTGGGGCCGCCTTTTGGAAGTCGGCGTAGGCGCTTTGGAGGGAGGCTTGAAGAGACATTTTGAGGCTTTCAGACGGTTTGAGCTCGAGATAAGTCTGGACTGATGGGAATGAAGACTTGGGATGTTCTGCACAGGTGGATTGTGTTATGCGATGGTGAGAAAAGTAGCATTGGGCCGGATATCGCGTTGCTCTTTATAGCTATCATCCTGCGACTAGAGCTGCACAAGATCTTTGACATGATGCACTCTTGCTGCTTAGCAAGATGATGCTTGGAAATCCATGCGACCTGAGGATTAGTAAGTTTCGTGAGATCTACCTCAACCGCAGCCGAAGTGCTGACGGAGATGTAGATTAGATCGGGGCCGTAGGGGCGGAAGGGTCCCTGCCATCGGGGTCGCTTACCTAGTAGGGACTAGTCTCGCCGAGCTCGGCGAGGGCCGCGCTCAGCCAATCGCCGCACATTCTTGGACCCGACCTTTGGGGAGGTTGGCAATGCATGCTTCATCAGCAGAATGTGGATACGAAGAGTTGGGTGTGGTCTATTCATGCAGATATAAGGATTTGAGGCACTTGGACGCTTTCCTTGATTACCAATACTACCACGAGAGAATCAAAGGGTTACTCGAAGTGCCTCATGAGCCTCTGGTCGAGGTAATTTGATATAAGAAGCTGCTTGACCTCGCAATAACGAATAAAGACTCATTCGCCTTTCAGCACACCCCAACTCTATGATCCCCGGCCATAAAATTGCAAAAGAAAGTGCTGAGATGTCCAAGTTGATTGTCATCACAGGTGTCACGGGAGTCCAGGCAAGTGTGCTTCCCACGAATCCAAGGCATCTTACTTACATTCTACAGGGAGGCTCCGTCGCAAGCACATACCTCCAGCTTCCAGGATGGAAGGTCCGCGGTGTCACCCGCAACCCATCTTCTCCTAAAGCCATGGAGTTACAGGCGCGAGGCGTCGAGATCGTCTACGGGGACCTGAACTACCCTGACAGCCTGGAAGCCGCATTCCAGAATGCAAACATCATCTTCGGCGTGACTGACTTCTGGACAGTCTTCCAAGACGCCGAAAGCATGATCAAGAAACGACCGGACCAGGACCTCACGGAATATTGCTTTGAAGTAGAGGTCCAGCAGGGGAAGAATCTGGCGGACACCGCCGCCCGGATCCCGACACTGGAACGCTTTGTCTTCAGTTCCATGGCGTCCGCCAACAAGTGGAGCAAAGGAGAATTCCCCAGAGTCTTCCACATGGACTCGAAGGCGGTAGTAGTTGACCATGTTCGAGGTCTGCTGAGCTTGAAAGACCGCTTCTCGCAGATCCAGGCACCGATCTACTTCAATCTGCTTTGGCAATGGGGTCTGCCGACAACACCGAAAAAGGTTTCGTCATCACTTGTGCTGCGTGAGGGAACACGTATTGACGCTCTTCTCTAGCAAACCGACGGCTCCTATCGAATCTCCGGGGTTGGCCCGGCCGACATTCCCGTTCCGTTTGGAGACGTGCAGAACGACTTTGGTCGGTGTGTCAAAGCGGTAGCGGATGGACCTCCGGGCCTGAACCTTCTGGCTGTTGGGGATGTTTTGTCATGGGAGACGTATCTTGACATCTGGTGCCAGTCGCAGGGGGTACCGAACGGTGGCTACCAACTTCACACCATTGAGTCCTTCGAGAAGCTCCTGCCTGGTGGACTCGGTCGTGAATTTGGGGAAAACGTGCTTTTCGCGCAGCAGTTCGGATATGACGGGGGTGATCCCACGGTGGTCCGACCCTCGCAGGTAAGCATATTGCCTTTACCCGGATCTTGGAAACAGCACAAGGTTCTAACAGGAGATAGTTCGGCATCAAGATGACTTCCTTCAAGGAGTACTGCGAGCGAACTGACTTTAGCTCCATTCTCTAAAGCAAACAATATGTATGAAGCCAGTTGTGCGATGGTCCATAGCGTCTTTACCGTGAACATGATACTTGCAATTTCTGGCATCCTTTACAAGGTCTCTGTCCATCACATCTGACTTTCCGCTGGCGGCACACGCCGCAGGCATGCGTCATTCCCGTAGTTGGAGTCTCAGTCTGTTCCTCGAGTGTCGAAGTCGTGTATTTGCAAGTAAGATTATGCTTGACACAGTTCTGACATGGTTGCTGCTTGTCACATTTCACCCTTCGTCGGCGGCAGTGAAGGCATGGCTGGAGCCTTGTTGTATAGCGATGGGTACCCGGGACATCTGTGAAGGCCGCCGGAGAGGTGGATCGTTGGGCCTCCTCCCACAGCCTTTCTCCGGCATGATCGCATGCACAGTCCAACCAAGGGAAGGTCTTAAGCTGCGCCCGGAGGACACGCCAGCTGGAGATTGAGGTAAGACTGACGACGGTCGTAAGCTTTTGTGCAAACCACGATCTTTCGATGGTGTGCTGCGCGGCTATGCCACCGATCGTAAGGAGCCACACGAGAAGCCCATTGTCCGCGTCGAGAGTGCATTGTTCGAATAGAGATCCCTCGCTCAACTCCCGGCGTAGAAGCCCTGCGAGACCGGGAAGTGGCGAGCCGACAGGGGGGATGGGGAAAATAACCCCGACGCTAAATATGAGCAGGCCAAGCCTGCAGGCTTCATACCCGGGATACCATTCTCTTCCGTCGCATTCCGCTCCTGTGGGCAGCGACATGACATGGAAGTGGACTAGGTTCCGGATGTCACACAACAAGCTGGTATCGTTTGGTGCGTTGTCGCCGTTCACATATGCGTGGACCATGCTGCAGTACATGACGAACCCCTGCAATACGCACGCGAGGGCAGATGGTAGGCCAGCAGTCTGGAATTTCTGCACCCCATGGTCCCACCATCCCCCAGACGAGCTGAAGTGGAACCGCCAGTCGGAATTATCATGCCCACGGTTGGAATAGAATGGAATCTGGGGCTTGGTCAAGGTTAAAGTGGAGTTTACCAAGGTCCGGCTAAGTGCAAGATTAGCGAGGCTGCTACCAAAGAAACACATAAAGACCCTACTAGAAAATCGCCAACGAGGCTCCCGGAATCCCGACCCTTTGGAGCCCGCCCTTCAAGGCCACTAGCTTGCAGAGGCCCGCCTGATGAGACATGTGCGGCACACGCGCCCCGTGAATATTGAGCCATTGTAGGCCTTGTAGCGGGGAATTGAATGGCGAAGAGCCGGTCCAATCTCGCTCCTGAAAGGCATGATCCACTGCTTCAGTTAACATGAGAACGGCCAGGATACTGGCGTCTGTTACTGCAGTCGCAGCGTGCCGAAGCGCCTTGTTCGCTCTCGTCGCTGCCTCTTGCTGACATAAGATTAACAACTGCTTGTTCTCTAGGACCATCGAGGTAGGTGTGCTCTTTTGATTCACAAGGCAATGCGTGAGCCTATGTGTGACGGTTGAGAACAGCAGCGCATTGAACAGCACTGGGTTCTCCAGGGAGACGGGCAGCCAAGCATCCAGATAAGGGTTCTTGGCTCCTGAGCTCGGGATCATTCGAGGCGTCATGATGCTCAACCCTACAGCCAAGAATAAGTGGGGAGTAGAGTTTCGGGGATCTGTAATGTGGTATACATACGATACTGCAAGCAATTGCTGACAATGTCCGAGGGCAGTGTGGAGGGATATGTTCTGAAGGGGTCTATTCCACCCCCTGTGACCGCACCCATCATCGGAAGGGTGGAAATACCATCTTTGGACGAACTCCGTCTTTCCTCCACCTTGTCCTCGTGCTCGTTAAAGAAATCGTGGTTCTCCATGTGGGTGATCAGTCAGTGGTGATACCGATCTTGGTACACTACTTCCGCTTGGTGTTATCTGGCTCGAGATTGCAAGCTTTTATGTGGCTGATGGATGGAGATCGGGGGTGGGGGGCGGGGGGCTGCGGCTGGAAGACGCTCATGCCCCCACGCTAGTCCTTAAGAGCGGCCGGTATAGCCGTTCAGCTGGTGCAAAATCCATCGGTAAGCAGGTGCTTTTTATATCGCTGATGAGAAAAAGACTCGGAAATAAGTAGATTGATTCGATGTTTCATGTCGAATTAACCTGAGAAGGTAATGAATAGATATCTGCCTCTGTCATGTAGACGAATGTAAAGAAAGCTGTCAGTGGCAGAAACAGCCAAGCCAAGAAGGATTCCGGTCTACGGGCGCCCAAGCATGCCGTAGACGCAGTCACATGATTTGAAGGTGGTGATAACCTCTTCTACCATGAGGTCCGTTGTGATAGCTAAACTAGATGTGTGATAAGGCCTTGCTGATCCTATCGTCGGTTTCTCGCCAACGCCTCATAGACCCCATGATTCTGCCGATTCTAACATTGCACCGGTGTTGGTTTTTGTATGGGAAATCTCAGGGTACCTTCCTGATCGGGGATAGAGCTAGCGCCCCACCGTCTTTCCCTGCCAGGGCCTAGCCAGATAGCAGGGCACGCACTGGGCAGGTGCCCCCTGCATCCATGATCCCTGATAGCACCATCATCTCTTGATCGTGATCTCAACGAAATTCAAAGGCGGTGAGCAATCTACTAGGCAAGAAGTCATGTGAGCCTGGAGAGTCAATTGCTGTAGCACCAGCTTCCAACTTGGAAAACTTCCTCAGCTTTTGTCGACTCTCAACAAAAACCGCCGCAAGCATGTGATTGTGAGCCCGGACCAACAGTTGACCCGCAATCACATGTCAGGGGTTCCACCTGTCAGCGCCATCGACCAATCGATACTCGACGATAATAAGACGGAGGTCGGGTGGAACCGCTTGGCCCCCAACCAGCAACAACCAGCAACAACCAGCAACAATCGGCAATGCGGAGAGACCACTGGGAGCAGGTCAGGTGACTCGGCAAAAGGAGGGGAAGAGAAGGAGTCCCGAGTCCACCACGGTGAGAAGAGAGGGGTGGCATTTCCGCCACTGATGCATGCACGACCAGGGGACAATTTACGGCCATTTGCTACCATACCACTGTCATCCTTAATTGACAATAATAGATAGATAGCTACTAAAGTTATAAGTACCTGGCTGAAACTTTATGACATCCACGGTGCAGCATCGGTACCCTGCTAAGATGAACACGTCTCGAAGTCCTGGAGCAACCCACCCACCCACCCACTGGATGGTGCTGGCGAGCCATGGATATCCAGTTTTGCAAATACGATCGATGGATCCATGATGTTGGGAAGACTAACCCAAACCGGTTATGCCAGGATGTCTCAACTCTCTGCCCACAAAACACCCGGGGGCCTTCCTCCCTCCTCCACCTCCACCGCTCTCAATTTTCTTTCTTTCATTACTGTCACTACTCAATCAACAACAAGTTCTGTCCTGCTCGGTGAGAAGAAAGCTCTCCTTCAATTCCTTCATCAATCTGCCGGTGAGTCTGCAGTGTAATGCAATCCTACCTATTACTGCATTCAGCTGACAACGCATGCCTGCCCAGTTTCTTTGAATAACCCCCGAGCTCCACCCTTTCCTCTCGCCTCCTCCTCCTCCTTCCTCCCTCCCTCTCATGCGTCCACATTCCCTCTCAATTTAACGCAACCATGCCCTTCATCGATACCACAAAAGACCTATCGGCTCTATTCTCTCGTCAAGTGAAAGCGACCCCCAACGCGGTAGCCCTCGAGGATGACAAGACCACTTTCACATACGCGGAGCTCGATCGCGAGGTCGACTGCCTCTCCCGCCGCCTCCGCACATATGGAGTGAGCCGAGATACGCTGGTGGGCGTGCTGTTGCCAAGAAGTGCCGATTATGTGATTGCCTGCTTGGCCGCCTTGCGGGCGGGAGGCGCCTTTCTCGTCCTGGAGCTGGCCTACCCGCCAGAGCTGCTGGCTGACGTGATTGAGGACGGCAACCCAGCGGTCGTGATCACTCACCGGGCGGAAGTGGGCAAGATCAAGAGTAATGTGCCGTTGATCGTCCTGGACGAGCCGGCCGCACATGCAAATGGTCACGCGACCGAGCCGGCTCCTCTGCCCGCCGACGATGATTTGGACCGACTGGCATTTGTCTCCTACTCGTCTGGCACTACAGGCAAGCCCAAGGGCATTGCCAACCCCCACCGAGCTCCAGTGCTTTCCTATGATTTGCGATTCGGGGTTCAGGACCTGCAGCCCGGCGACCGTGTTGCCTGCAATGTCTTCTTCATCTGGGAGATCCTGCGGCCGCTGTTGCGAGGGGCCACCGTGGTGACAGTGCCGGACGACGCGAGCTACGATCCTGCAGCATTGGTCGACTTGCTGGCAGCGAGGAAGATTACAGAGACCCTGATGACGCCCACCTTGCTGGCGACCGTGCTGCAGCGTCATCCCCACATCGACGAACGTCTTCCCGAGCTCCGCACGTTGTGGCTGAATGGGGAAGTGGTCACGACGGATTTGGCTCGTCGCGCGATCAAGGCTCTCCCGCAGACTCGTCTACTTAACTGCTACAGTGCATGCGAGACGCATGAAATCGCCTGTGGGGATATTCGGGAGATCCTTGATGAGGAAGCGACATACTGCCCGGTCGGTCCGCCTCTAGATCCAAAGCAGATTTACATTCTGGACGAGAGTGGCCAACCGGTCGATGCGGGAGTCAGTGGGGAGCTATTTGTGGCCGGGCCACTGCTCGCCCGTGGATACCTCAATTTGCCCGAGACCACCGCCAAAGCGTTCTCTCCCAACCCCTTCGATACACAGCCCGGATCTCGCCTCTACCGCACCGGTGATTTGGCCCGGCTGCTGCCCTCGGGACTCCTCGAAATTACCGGTCGCGTGGGATCCATGATCAAGTTGCGAGGATATTCCGTGGTGCCAGCCAAGGTCGAAAGCGAGATTGTCAAGAATCTCGCGGTCGGTCACTGTGCGGTCGTCGCTCATGGCGAGGGTTTGGAACGACAGCTAGTAGCCTATATCGTGCCAGACAGGAATGCTGCCGGTCGGCCGACGGTTGAGGTCAACGAAGCCGGGTACAGCCCTGCGGCGCGTCGCATTCTGGCGCAGTCCCTTGCGCACTACATGATTCCCGCTTTGTGGGTCGAATTGCCGGAACTCCCCACCCATGATGTGACGGGCAAGGTTGACCTCAAGCGCTTGCCTCCCCCCAAGACTGATGTTCATACCAACGGTAACGGCAAAGCGGCGGATCAAGATCCGATCACTCTGGACCAGGTCGCAGCCTGCTGGGCTGCAGCTCTCAAGACATCCAAGACTCTTCTCACTGCCACGGATGACTTCTTCGACCTAGGAGGTCACTCCTTGTCACTTGCCGACCTTTCTTCACGCCTGTCTCGGCACTTTGGCTTTCGGGTCCCTATTACTCGACTGGCGGAGACCACAACCCTGGCTGGCCACTTGGAGACCGTCCGTGCGATTCGGGACGGACACACAGCCGCAGTGCAAGCTGATCTTCCAGCTGTTCTGCGTGCAGACGCTACTCTCGACGATGACATCCGACCTACGAACCCTGCCACGGTTTGCTCCCTTGACAAAGCCAACACCGTCCTTCTGACGGGTGTGACTGGTTTTCTCGGTGCTTTTCTCCTGCACGATCTGCTGGAAAGCACCTCCGCCCAGATTATTTGTCTGGTGCGGTTTAATGAGCCTGCGAATGATGATCAGCCCGGGGGCGTGGCACGCATTCGCCGGAACCTTCTTGATCTCGGCTTGTGGCGCGATTCCGTGATGGAGCGTGTGGAGATTTTGCCAGGAAACCTTTCTCGCACACGTTTTGGTCTTTCAACGAAGGCGTTCGATGAGCTGGCTGCTCGTGTCGAGGTGATTGTGCATGCTGCGGCTACCGTCAACCTCGTGTACCCCTATGCCGCCCTGCGCGGGCCCAACGTGGGTGGTACGCGTGAGATTCTTCGGTTGGCGAGCAAGAGTGGCGCCACAGTGCAGTACGTCTCCACGAACGGGGTACTGCCCGCCTCGGGCGAGAAAGGCTGGCCGGAGGACACGTTGTTGGATGTGGAGGATGTTCCGACCAAATTGCTCGATGGATACGGACAAACTAAGTGGGTCGCGGAGCAGCTCGTTCTCGAGGCCGGCCGTCGCGGTCTGCCCGTGAAGGTCCACCGTGCCGGCACGATCAGTGGACATAGTACTACCGGTGCTGCCAACGCATGGGATCTTCTCTCCGCCTTGATTGTGGAATCGATCAAGTTGGGCTACGCCCCTGAAGTTCAAGGTTGGCGCGCGGAGATGACTCCGGTGGACTTCGTTAGCAAGGCCATCGTCCATCTAGCCACTCAGACTCATGCTGAGCAGACGATTTTCCATCTGGGTGACCCCAAGCCCGTGGACACGCGCGATGTGTTTGCTGCTCTGAACGAGCTGGGCTACCCCACAAAGCCTCTTGGCTGGGATGAATGGGTTACCCTGTGGAACGAGAAGCGCAGTAACGTCAAGGGTGGTGACGGTGGGTTCACCGTGGATATCCTCCGCAGTGGTATGCCTACTGTAGAATTTCTGCGGGACATTGTCGTGCTGGATAACGCGGCCACCCGACCGTTCCGGACATGCGTGGAACGGCCGAAGGTGGACAAGGCGCTGCTCGAGACCTACACCCGTCACTGGTTTGCCAGAGGATGGCTGTCAAAGCCTCCTGTGCGCCAGCAGGCGCTGAACGGAACTGCGAAGCTGGTCAGAGGTCCGCTTAGCGGCCGTGTGGCTGTTGTCACCGGCGCGTCGTCCGGCATTGGTGCAGCAGTGGCTACTGCTCTTGCACGCGAAGGTTGCCATGTTGCTCTTGCCGCTCGTCGTGTGGAAGCTCTCGAGTCGTTGCAGAAGCAGCTGGCAGCCCATGGAGGCAAGATTATTGCTAAAAAGACAGATGTCACGAACAAGGCACAGGTGGACGCCTTGTTCCACGATGCCACCCAGGAACTCGGCCCTATCGACATCCTCGTCTCCTGTGCGGGTGTCATGTACTTCACCATGATGGCTAATGTGCAGACGGATGAATGGGAGCGGACGGTAGATGTGAACTGCAAGGGTCTCCTGCACTGCCTGTCGGCTACGGTCCCGGGCATGCTGTCCCGCGGCGCCGGACACATCGTGGCCATTTCCTCAGATGCCGGTCGGAAGGTGTTCCCGGGTCTGGGCGTGTACTCAGCTAGCAAGTTCTTCGTGGAGGCTACTCTGCAGTCTTTGCGTCTGGAGACTGCCGGAACAGGGTTGCGAGTAACGAGTGTGCAGCCTGGCAACGTTGCCACGGATCTATTGGGGATGAGTACAGACGCGGAAGCGCTTAAGAAGTATGGCGAGCCGTCGGGGGCGGAGGTTTTGGCTCCGGAGGATATCGCCAATTCGATTGTGTATGCGCTGCGTCAGCCCGCACATGTTTCTGTTAATGAGGTGTTGATCGAGCCCCGGGATGAGCCGATTTAATGGGTCAATGTTGATAGACTATAGACATGCATGAGTGATGTAATGAAGGTTTCTCGTTTTGCCAATGGTTGGTATATCGCATCGCGTATCAATATCCCAGAGTTTATTTTCGATAATCAAGATCCTTACACTTTGTCTTCCAACTTCATGTTTCACCTTTTCTTTCGCTAATCAGTATTTCCCACCGATTCTTCAGATCAACAGTACATCACTCACCGCATTGCCTATATCCCCCTCTATGGGCCTAGACTCAGACCCATGCTTGAGGAGCCCCGAACCTAACAACCGACACATTCCACTCAACATTCCTTCCAACCACCCCGATACCTTCAACCCTGACGATAAATAAGACAACAAACCCCCCCTCCACCTTTTGCCACTCATCCAACCATCTTCTCAAACCCACGCGAGCACTCCTCCCAAAATGCATCTCCAACACCTAGCCACCACCCTCCTCCTCCCCCTCCTCCTCCTCACCAGCACCCACGCAACATCCACCACCCCATCCCCAAGCACCGACGAATTCACTCAACTGAACTGCCCCAACACCACAACCCCCACCGCGACACCTGCCGAGCAACTCGCCGCGTGGACTACCTTCACCAACTGGATGTACACCGAGCACCGTCTCACCGACGCACTGAGCCACTACGTTGCCGGGAAATACATCAACCACTCACCACTCGTGGCCGGCACAGGCGTGACCGAGACGGCAGCAGAGCTGGCCAATCTCGTGCCGGACGTGACCTCGCAGCTGCAGCGGGCGTTCGTGGGGTGGGACGCAGCGGGGAATACGTTTGGGGTGGCGCATACGCGGGTGATCCCGAATTCAAAGGAGGATGGTGCGGAGGGAGGGGAGTCGGCGCTGGTAGATATTATCCGGATGGTTGGGACGTGCATGGTGGAGCATTGGGATGTAGAGCAGGCGGTTGGTTCTGCGGGAGAAGGGGGGAATCCGATTGCTTTTTTTTAGGGCTCTGATTGTGTTGGTTTTGGAGATGTTAGGGGCTAGCTGGGGTGAGTTGGGGGGTGAAGGAGTGAAAGGGTGGTGTTATGGTTGAGATTGATGCTTTATGTTAGGATTGGGCTGGGGGTGTATATTATATACGTGTATACCGGGGAGCTGGTACAGCGATTCAATCAAGGGTGATGTTTGATATGTTTGCTCTGGGGGCGGTTCACTACAATTCTTGGGTAGCTTACAAGCTAGCTGCCTATTTAATTTCTGTTCTTGCGAACATTCTTTCTGGTGACTCTATGTACATTCTATATGACATCTGTAGGGTCATACATAAAAAGTGAATCTTAGACTGTAATGAGAGTTTGGAGAATATTTCTAAGTATTTTGATTTTGTTGGCTAGTTTACAGCTGAGAATATATTAGTACAGTACTCACCTAGTACTCTGGATGAGGTAACATTTTGTAAAATTGATCAAGCACCGTGTGGACTGACTGCCTTAACAAGTAGATGCCAGGTAACCTAAGAGCCAGTAAGACAGCCTTGAGAGCTGTATACAACTAAGTTAACCAACCAAGATGTAAAATAGCAGTCGCTTCTTGCTAAATGTAATTCTACGCTGGTCGTGAATTGAGATCCAACCAGCAGCCTTGAGTCGCCGACCGCCTTCTACCCGTACGATGTCCGATCGGCCAAAGTAGGAGTCGGACTTAAGCTCGTCTACCGGCACGCACCCCACCCGACATCGGACCAAAGCATCGGCTATTTCGATCTTGCCCCGCGGTAAAAAGCATCGGAGATCGGACATCTGCCATCCACCCCGCGTGCAGCATCCGCAACGTCGGGCCCTGAGTTAGGGCTCCCCGTAACATGTCTGGGGAAGCAATTATTCAGAAATGGAGATAAAATGCAAGACCTCCCACACAATCCATCACTCCTTCCTCCAGACAAACCACAACACACACAACCATCAACATGACCACGCAACCGCGCCTCAAACTCGCTCTGATCGGCCTCGGCCGTCTGGGAGCCATCCGCGCCGAGATCCTGGCCTTCAAGCAGCCTCGCATCGAGCTGGTCGCCGCCTGTGACACCAAGCCCGGGGCTGACGAATGGGCGGCGGCCAATCTGCCCGCCTCCGTGAAGTTCTTTGCTGATCCAGAGGACTGCATGAGGAACAGCGGTGCCGAGGCCGTCCTTATCTCGACGGCGACCGCTACCCACGCGCCTTTGATTACCAAGGGCCTTGATCTGGGTCTGGTGCGTTCTACTACCCCTTATGGACTTCAGAACCGCGGTGGAGACTGACTCGCCTCGTCCAGCATGTCATGTGCGAGAAGCCGATCTCGGTCGACGTGATCACCACCGAGGAGGTTCTCGCTAAGGCTGCGTCTAAGCCTCACCTCAAATTCCTGGTCCCCTTCTGTCGACGATGTGAGTGGACTTCAACCCCCTATGCTGTGGCAACTAGTGTTGAGGAGTGAGCTGACCCGCGCTAGATGATGAGTCGTACCGTCAGGTGAAGCAGATGGTCGAGGCTGGCGCACTCGGAGACATTCACGCAGTGGAGAGCTCCTGTCTCGACCAGCAGGACCCTACAGGTGAATTTCCGGCCTTCTGTTACTTCGTACCTGTGAACCTATCCAGCTAACCCACCGTGTCCCTAGGCTTCTTCGTGCGCTTCTCCGAGCAATCCGGAGGTATCTTCGTCGACATGGGTGTTCACGATGTCCGTCCCCTTTCCCTCTACTTCCTACACTACCCCATACTAACCATAATTCTGCAGATTGACATCGGCCGGTACTACCTGGACGTCAAATCCGGCCTCACCAACCCCAAGAAGCAAGTCAACCGGGTCGTCGCCATGGGCCAACAGGCCGTCTACGGCGAGCTCTCGAAGTACGGCGACGCCGACAACGGCTGGGGGCTGGTGGAGTTCGCCAACGGCAAGATCCTGACTTTCCACCTGGGGCGGACGCTGACCAACGGGTTCGAGGGGATGACGCGCGTGTGCGGCACCAAGGCGCACTCGGTGATCAACGCCAACTCGACCATCAACCGCGTCGAGGTGCGCGACGCCCACGGCGTGCGCACTGCCACCACCCCAGACGCCTTTGTACTGTACGACAAGTCCTTCCTCAAGGACCTGGAAGAGTTCGCCACCGCCTGCCTCGACGGGGCGCCCTTGACGTGCGCGCCCGAGGACGCGTACGAGGCCGCCAAGATCGCCACGGCGCTGCAGTTCTCCTTCCGCCACGGCGTGCCCGTGTACTTTGATGATGATGGGTTGGCGATTCTGGATGCGAGCAAGAAGGCATGATTTTAGCATCAGGAACGTGGTGGCTTGGGCTTCGTTATAGTAGCGTTTTGCATGTTTGTTTTTGTTATGGGTGGTAGACGCATAGACCTGTGGGTTACGAATCAAAAATATGTGCATGACATTTTCTGTTCGCTTCGAGGCACCTGAGATTCGTAGAATCGACACTTTAGACTTGATCTTTCTAGTACCAGAGTCAAAATACCTCAGAACAAACTGGCGTTACTCAAGGCTGGATTTGCTTGCACGTGGCTAGCATCTTTCTTTCACTTATTTAAGAAAATTTGATTATAGTTTCAAATCTTCAGATTCATTTTTTGGGCCGACCGAGACATATTCGAGACCGCAGGGAGAAACACGCGAATATACAATATCATTCTCCTTGATACTGGAATGTGATGCCGTTTCCTTAGGCCTCGCATGTTACTCACTCTTCTCCTATCAATGAATCTCTAGAACAAACTGATGCCTCTCGTCTTCTCCTTTCACCGACACATCTGAAATCAGCATGCTCATATAGGTGTTTTCTCCATAGTTCCACAAAAAACACAGATCGAGTGATTGACAGGCCATACGTAGAATCTATATACATATCTGCTATTTCATTACAACGTGTGAGCATAAGCCCGAAAATCAGGAAAAAATGCACCTCACCATATCTGTAGGCTGCTAGTAAGAGGTATAAACGAGTCAGTAGTAGCTACACAAAACTAATCACTCCGCCGCCAGAGTCTAATGCGATTCATCCGCCTAGCCCAGCGGTATACTCCCCAACAGATCCTGAAGAAGCATCGGATCCCAAAAGTCCTGCAACTACGCCAATACAGTACACGTTAGCTCGCACACCCAACCAAACAGAGGACAAGACAGGAAGATCTCACCAGCTCATTCGTCGAATCCGGCGTCACCATCGGCAACGACGAGCCCGCCACAATCATCGAAGTATCACCCTGCAGCAATCCGAAAGGATGATGATGGAGGTCATTCGGCGACGGGTTCGAGCCCACGTCAATGCCATGCGGCGAATCGGTAGGCGTCTCCTCCGCCAGCTGGATCGTCGTCCGGATCGTCTGCAGGCCCTGGCCCGCCCGCTCGATCAGTCGCGTCCGCCAGCCCAGCAGCTCGACATCCTCGCTGTCCTCGCGGTCTCGGTCCTCCCGCCAGCCCGCATCCTCCCGCGCAGCATCTGGCTGTGTCGAAGCGGAAGCGATCTTGGCCGACGCCCGTGCGCGCAGCTTCATCAGCCACTGCAGGTTCCGGCCGTAGCGCGGGGTATTGGCGCCGTGTTGGATCAGCGAGGTGAAGAGGTTGATTGCGGCGTCGAGCTGAGTCAGAGCGAAGGTGGCCATGGGGTTCCTGGGGTCGCACAGCACGAGGGTGCCCAGGCAGAGAGCGGAGCCGAAGACGTGGTACTGGGGTAGAAAGGTGGTTGTGAGTAATGTTCTGGCCCGAAGAAAGCTAGAGGGAAGCGCCTACCCAGAAGTTCCATTGTCTGGTGCTGACTGCCGGGAAACGGGTGTGAATGTCGTCGACAATTGCGATGATGATCTGTCGGCGTCAGCTCGAGGGTCTTGCATGTTGGGCGACCGGAGATGGGAAGGCTTACGGCGCAACGCTCTATCACGGTCAAGAATGAAGGCGCGTATACGGATCTCATCCGGTCGTTGATATCGTACAGTGCTTTTGCATAATATGGTCGATGGAGGTTGATGATCGTCTCTGAGATGTTGAGCGCTAGATTCATTTGCTGCCGAGTACTCAGTCAGAGAATCCGAGTTGGCATGGAAAAAAGACGAACCTGAAAAGAAATGGTCATCGACCTGCGGGACGGTTCGGGCGATGCCTCGATTGCCGCTTCGACGTGAGGGTAGCGAGAGGGCATTGACAGAAACGCGGCCCGACAACGAAGGGAGAACGGCAGATTGCGCTCAAATTCGCCGCTACAGAGCGTCAGCTTTCACGTCAGACTGTGGCGGGCGGGCACATACAGTCGAATGTCGAGGTCGGTCACAGCCGAGTACGGTGGTTTGTGCACCTTCATCGCCATATGGAGAATTCTGCGGTCTGGTTAGATGTGACGCTTCCCCGGAACGACAAGAGAAAAACAAACTCGGACGAAAGCTGCGAGAGCTCAAATCGAAGGATCGAATAGCTCTTTTCGCCGGTTGTGTTCTCCGGCTCGGAAGGGAATGCGACATCGCAATGCTCTGGATTCATAGCGCATCTGCCGGAGATTAGACATATCATAAGACCTGCACGGGGAGTTCATACGGCCGTGAGAAGCAATGTGCCTGGAAGGTGTCGGCGGCGTTCAACTCCCAGAATACCTTGCGTCTTTCCTCAATCACATCCTGCGGAAGATTCCAGCGGGCACCGTCCCGATGCATACCCATCTAGATATGTAAACTCTCCATCAGTGGTGGACTTCACTTGGAACTGTCATGCTTACCGCTTGGACCAACCGCATGACCAGACCCCAGAGTGGCCAGGCATTGTCCCCTCGGCCCCCTTTATCTAAATGTCTAGACCAATGTCAGTGAAAGAGTCAAACTGCGGAGCCATTCAGTAACGTACAAATGCAGATGCGCCATCAAATGCTGCTGATCGTTAGCGGTGAAAGATAGCGACAAGCTCAAGACTCACTAGAGTTTGTAGTCCGGCGACCATGTTGTTGGATAGGAAGCGCCCTTTCACCAGAGCCAACTCCGAGAGATGCAGCCAGTCCTCGGCCGATGGATCATAGTTAGGCATCTCAATGTTAAACAAGGTGCCTTGAGCCAGGACGATGAACACCAGCGCAATCTCCTGCGGATTGACCCGCGGAGATACGGACGCTCCCTCGGCAAACTTGTAGACGCGGTCGAAGGTCTTCTGGAAACTGGCCTTGGGAGCAACATTATGACTAAACCATTGTCAGCGTTGCCTCGTAAACCCCGTCAATCACACTCACTGCCAAGCACAATAGCGATAGTACGATCCCACCAATGTCTCCGCCTCCTCCTTGGCGGGCAGGCGGGAAAGCAGCTCCCGAGTACTGACGTGTGAGGCTGCCACATTGAACGGAAATGCGATGGGAGTGGTACCAGGAGTCAAGCGATAGGGCTGGGATGGAACCGAATCTGGGATCTTAGGGGAAGGAGCGCGGGTCACCGGGGGACTGTCCGATGCGTCTTGGGTTTCCGACTACGTAGATACACAACTCAGTGGTGGCTGTGAACGAGGCTCAAGCAGAGATGACCTACCTCTTTCAACCATTCACTGCCAGCCGTCGGGCCCAGGTACTTGGACCGACCTCCTTTACCCAACATCAACGTGCCGTAGGAGCCGTTCTGTTCGGCAACGCCAAGGGGCTGTGGGACGGGATTCTGGTAGCCACTATCCCTTCGAACGCTGGGCCCAGATAGGTTAATTCGGCCTGAAGCAGCTGAAGAAGATTCGTGCAATGGGTCGGACTGTAGCGCGTGGGCTAGAAGGGCGAGTTGTTCAAAGTCATCCCGTCTGTTGCCGTTATGCGGTGGTTGCCGTGAGTTGCGGCCCGAATGGTCGGCGGGCCCCTGCTCCGCGGCAGTATTTTGGGCCTGACCGTGATGTTGTGAAACATCACGTTGAGATGGCGTGTCCCAGATGTGTATGGATGGATGAGCCAAGCTAGGGGTGTCGGGTGAACGGGGTGCACTGTCTTCCTTGGGAGGGGGATGTTCAGCTTGTGCAGGGCTCTTGCGCTGTTTTTTGGGTGTATCCGATCCTCTGCCATAGCAGCCGGTTAGTATTATGCAGGCATGCATAAGCACATGGGCGTGAACAAACCGGGACGGTGTAGTGTCGGCTGCACCTGGGTTGCAGAATGAGGTCCGGCGTCGGCGGACACAGTTTGAGCACGGCACTGCAAGGTTCCTTCTTTCAGCCGGTGGGCACGGTCTCCATACGTCAAACTGAAGTTACTGACACTGCCGATCACATTTCATCTTCAGCCGGCGACATTCTGCAAGAGTTATTGGAATTAACCTTTCTATACGTTTGACCGTCACATTCTACAAGGAAAGCAGCACTGACCTGCACAGCTGAGGGATGGGCGCTGTCTTCGCTGCTTTTTGGTCGGTCTGGGATCGTCATCGGCCTCATGGCTGACTCTTCCCGATGGCTGGGAGCGGTCCGATCCTGGGTTGTTGGTCATCATGCCATATGATTCGGGTTGCATGAATGAGATGAAAGCGGGTGTTGTCGATGACGGAAAAGCCGAGGAGGGAGGCGGAGAGGCGAGAAATATGTCCGGTCATGTGACGAGCCACATCCACCCCCACATCCCCGCAAAATACGAGAGATTACCTCCGATGCCAATTCCCGATTGCTTTATCTCCGGTCCCAAGATGGAAATGGCCCGATCTACCCGAGAGACGAGTCTCTTGAAAAAGGTATAGAAGACGCGACTGGAGAAGCAAAAAAAATTGAGCTCGACAAACAGACATCACATCCTTACTCATTAGACTTGTTTCGAATTATTGTTTCAATTGTTCCCTTTGTTTCATCAGCCAAAATGGTTCTCAGAGTTCAAGAATCGGGCCTGGACAACCAAGTAAACCAGGTCAGCCTGACCGACCTTAAGGCCCAGGTCGTGGTCAGCGAGCTGGATACTCCCTCCTCCAAGCCCCCTGTCGACGACAACTACATGTATGACTTCAAGTACAACCACCCTCTTCCCACCTCAGACGTTCTGGGAATTGAGATCCCCTCCGACTGCGACGCTCAGAAGGAGGCGGAGACGATTGTCGCCCGCCTTTCCGAGAGCATGGGAGCTGGCGATGCGCAAGCATTCACCGATCTCTTCCTCTCATATGGTAGGTCTTACTCTGTGCTCGCATACGGCATGCATGCAACCAACTGACATGACATTCCCTCAATACAGGTGTCTGGCGCGACAAGCTGTCCTTCACCTGGGACTACCGCACATTCAACTTCCACCCCGCCATCCTGAAAGCTGCCCAGGACCTTTTCCCCACCACGAAAGCCACCAACTTCAAGTTCCTCAGTCCCGCTCCCGCGGTTTCGCGCCCGTACCCCGATTTTGCCCAGCTGCAGTTTGTTGTGTCATTTGAGACTGAAGTTGTGAATGCTTCAGCGGTGATCAATGCCGTTCTCACCAAGGAGGGGTGGAAGATCTACACCATGCACACTGTAGCCGAGAAATTGAAGCAGTTCCCAGAAGTGCCCCCGGCCGACGGGCATATGACCGGCCCTATCAGCTGGGAGAAGCAGCGGGCCGCAGAAGTGGAGGCTGCCAATCCGGAGGTTCTGATTATTGGTGGAGGACAGAAGTGAGCAAGTCCCTTCTCCATGCCTACATTGCAAGTACTGACGCCCTTACCCCACAACAGTGGTCTCGCGCTGGCCGCCCGATGCAAGGCACTGGGCATGGACAGCCTGATCATCGAGCGCGGCGACGAAATCGGAGACGTCTGGAAGAAGCGCTACGAGTACCTCTCGCTGCACTTCCCTCACTGGGCCGACGACCTGCCCTACTTCCCCTACCCCAAGCTCTGGCCCACGTACACTCCCGCCCAGAAGCAAGGCATGTACATGCAGTGGTACGCCGAGGCGCTGGAGCTGAACGTCTGGACCAAGTCGGAGGTGGTCAAGGCCGAGCAAGACGAACAGAACCGGTGGACGGTCACAATCAACAAGGGAGGCCGGGAGACTCGCGAACTGCACCCCAAGCAGGTCATCATGGCTACCTCGCTGTGCGGCGTGCCCATGACCCCCCCGGTCCCCGGTATGGCTGACTTCAAGGGCGTCATCCGCCACTCAACCGCGCACGACAGCGCACGGGACTTTGTCGGGAAGAAGGTCTGTGTGGTAGGCACCTCCTCCTCCGGCTTCGACACGGCCTTCGACTGCTCGCGCCGTGGCATCGACGTCACTCTCCTGCAGCGGTCCCCCACCTATATCATGTCCCTCACCCACTCCGTGCCCCGCGCGATCGGCAACTACGGCCCCGATGCCGAGGGCAACCGCCCCAACCAGGAGGAACAGGACCGCTTCTTCTTCGCGACGCCGACGGGCCCCGGAGAGGAGCTGGCACGCCGCAACGCCAAGGTGCTGGAGGACCTCGACCGCCCGCTGCTGGATGCGCTGCACGCTCGGGGGCTGCGCACTTGGCGCGGCCAGCGCGGCACCGGCGGCTCCACGCTGGGCCAGACCCGCAACGGAGGCTTCTACTTCGACGCGGGTGCGTGCGAGCACATCATCAACGGCAAGATCAAGGTAGAGCCGGGCTACATCGAGCGCTTCACGGAGGACAAGGTGATACTCAACGACGGCCGCGAGCGCGAGTTCGACCTGGTGGTCTTCGCCACCGGCTTCTCCAACACCATCGACTCCGTGCGGGCCACGCTGGGCGACAAGATCGCCAGCCAGTGCGGACCCATCTGGGGCATCGACGAGGAGGGCGAGTTCAAGACCGCGTACCGGGAGACCGGGGTGCCCAACCTCTGGCTCATGGTCGGCTACCTGCCCTACACCCGCTTCCATTCGAAGCTCATGGCGATGCGCATCAAGGCGCTGATGGAGGGGGTCTCCCCCGCGCCGTACAAGGCTTAGACTTAGACTATTGTGCTTTTTTGGTTTGTGCGTGTACATAAATATGATTTATTCTCATGATTACGAACTTTCTTGCAATGTGTTGTTAGTCAATGTCAGACTTTTCTTGATATCAGTTCTTCAGGTGCAATATTGTAGGGTAGAAGTCTTTAAGAAGAAACTGTGTCCGAAGCTAGTCTAACACACCTCACGTCAGAGACCAAGTTCCATTCGAAAAACTCAAAATTGCTTCAGGATTCACTGTGTAGTTCAATCTCACTGCGGAATAAGTCTGAGATAGCGCGGGTTATGTAGGGTCCATGATACAGCAACGAGCTGCCGCAAAGGGTTCCTTTACCCAAATTCGAAAAAGACTTATGACTGAGCTACCCTGGAATGAGCTCATAATCTCAAGGGCGGAAGGTACTACCATCAAAATTCGGACACCCCAGTCTTTATACCACGTGCATATACCTAATCGTTATCAACAACACACCCGGAGGTTTGAACTTTAACGAGGTCAACGCAGGCCCAGACTCTTTACTGCGCTCGGGGCAGAACTTCAACCTGCGCCGGATTTTCTCCGGATTCCCCCGAGCTACACGTCCGCATGAGACCTATATTCTGGAAAAAATGGAATTTATGCTTTCAGATAATGTAAGACCCTCTAATTCATATATACATATACACGGTGGTGCTGGAAAGCAACTCACGTAGATAGAGAGGTAGAGAGGTACGGCGCTTTACGGCGCTTCGCAAAGTGCGAACAGGCAAACTGCGGACTCAGGCCCTTTATCATATGAAACATATTTTCGGAATGTGCAACCAGAATATCTCATTTTAGTTCTGTACAGCCTAACACCAAAGACTCGCTTTCTAATTCATAAATCTATACGGCATGATCTTACCAACGGCATCACTGCGCCTTGACCGGACCGTACCAGTCCGCAAAGCCCAGGTCGAATCCCCACAGTGGCGTGTTCAGCCGCTGAGCCTTGCCCTTGGCCGCCAGCCCATCGAGCACGGCCAAATCCTCCTCAGAGAGCGCAATGACCTCGCGGTTGCTGGCGATACGCTTCTCAGTCACCGACTTGGGCAGGACTACCACGCCCTTGTTGACGTGGTAGCTGATGAGGATCGTGGCGGCTGAGACGCCGTTCTTGTCCGCGATCTGCTGGATCTCGGGGTCGGACATGATAGGGGCACCTGGCCACAAATGTCAGCGAGTTTGATTGACTATGCGCTCTGGCGGTGTGAAACTCACCAGTGGAGCCCAGAGGCGAGTACGCCTCCAGAAGAATGCCAAGCTTCTCGCAGTACTCGCGGAGTTCATGCTGCGGCAGGAACGGGTGCAGCTCGACTTGGTTGACAGCCGGCACGACCGTCCACTTCTTGCGCAGCTCCTCGAGGTAGGGGATGGACCAGTTGGCCACACCGATGGCCTTGACCTTGCCGGATCGGTACACCTCCTCCATCTGGCGCCAGGTCTCGTTCTGGTCCCATGACCGGTCCACCGAGCGGGTACCGTCTGGGTTCACTGGAAGAAGCTCGCTGGTTTCGTTCTATACGCGGATGGAATTAGCCCATGAAGAGGCTAGGGACAGGGTCCAGGAGGACTCACCGGAACAAGCCGAACAGGCCAGTGTACCAGCTGATAGCAACGTGGGGTCAGTCCGGATACTATACAAGGTATCACGCGAGTGTCACGTGTTGGACAAGACCTACGTAGAGATCGAGGTAGTCGGTGCCCAGCGCGTCCAGAGTCTTCTGCAGACCCTCCTCGACGTTGGGGTGGTGGGTGTTCCAGAGCTTGCTGGTGATGAAGATCTCCTCACGGGGCACGCCGCTGTCTCTGATACCCTGGCCGACTTCGTTCTCGTTGCCTACAACATAGGCATTAGACTAGTGGTGGAACGGATGCAATGACCCATCCATGTACGGGAGCTCACAGTAAATCCTGGTATGTGTTAGCAGGGGTCAAACTCGACGACGGGAGACAACAGGGCTCACAATGCTGCGTCAATGTGACGGTATCCATTCTTGAGGGCGAAAGCCACCGCCTTAACCACCTCTCCGGGCTCGGATTTCCAGGTTCCTATACATTGAAACCCCAGGTGTTAGCAAGTACTGTACCGTACCCACGACAGTCCACAAACATAAGCACGTACCGAGACCGACGGCGGGAATCAGGGCGCCCGTGTTGAGCTTGAAGTGAGTAGAAGGAGCCATCGTGTTATTGCTATTTTGGTTTGTGAGAAAATACAAGAAAGTACATGCAAAGTAGCGCTGCAGGGACCGCCTCTAAAAAGGCACTGCGCTGTGAATGCATTCGGAGATAATCAGCGTGGGGTCGGAGATTGGCTTAACCGCCATCGGGTTTATTTCGACCTCGGTAAGTGTTTATGTCCGGCCCTGGCGATGAGCTCCGGTGTGACGTCAGATCAGGTCGAGTCTTTTCTGTCGGGTTCCGTGCTCGGCATGCAGTAACTGGTAACTTGAAGTCACCCTGGACGTGACAGTTGTTCGTATAAGCAAAGACTTAGCTTCAACCGTGGTGGGAAGCCAACACGTTTCTGGTTCGATCATTGATGTATAATGTATCTTGACCCGCTCTTGCAGCAGTCCACCTCGTTTCAGAATCGATTTTTGTGGGATAAAGGTTTATATTGTGTTATTCGATACTGATCATAACAATGTCATTAAATCTACCTTCTATCTTGAAGTGCTGCTCAAAGGTAGCCATGTATAGCCTAGGCTCTGTTCCATGCATCGTAATGAGAGCCTGAATCAGCTACTTCTCATCCCGTGCAGTCCTCCCATTTGCGTCAACCTTATAGCCAGACAGCATGTTTGATGCCACTCTCCAACCCCTCATTCAACTCAGCCACAAGGGTCCACACATCGCCTCGATCCCCGCCAATCTCGTAGACCTCAACACCACCACCCTCCTGCCCGACCGCCACGATGTACCTGCCGTCGTCGCTGACCCGCATTCCACGGATGACATCGAGCTTGGTGCGCACGTGCCTGATCGCTTTGACACTCCTGCCGTCGTCCGATAGCAAGATGATGGCAATCGCATCGCCGGGCGGGAGCTGCTGCGGGACGTTCTGGAGATGCGGTTCGCGGCGCGCGATGTGCCGTTCCCACCGATTACTGACATAAAGGACGTTGGGAATCGAAGGATGCAGACAGATCTCGGAAGAGTCCATCATGAACTGATGGTCGGGGTGGACCTCCGGGGGGATGATGTTGGGAGCGAAGCCAGCGATGGGCGGGATGGCTTCGGCGGGGCCATCGGAGAGGTCGAAGGCGAGGACGGTGTGTGAGAGTTCTCCGATGACATACATGATTTTCTCTGAGAAGCTTCTGTCAGCCAACCTAGCTAGATGCTATGAAGCACCTGAAGGCTACATACCATCCGGACTCAATACGGCGTGCCGAGCCCCTGTTCCCGGGGGACACTGCAGCCAGCCGCAGATGTCCAGCTTCTGCACCCCCTCGCGCCGGAGGAGCCACACTCGGTCGGATCCCAGGTCCGGAGCGTACAGCAAGCCGCGTTGGTCTTCAAGGATCTGGTGAACATGGCATTGTCGCTGTCGGCCTTGGTTCGGCCCATGTCCCGCGGCCCGGTAGGGGAATTCCGGGATGATCTCGGTTCGGGGGACGTCGTCGAGCAGTAGGGTGCCGGACTTGGTGACTGAGATGGGGTAGAGAGCAATGGAACCTCCTAGGTACTGGATATGATATGTGTATGAGTATCCGTTTTGACAGATGCGAAAGCGAAGGGGTGGGATAGACGAACCGTCGCCAGCGCCAGTGCAGACTTATCGCGCAGCGTGAGGACTATACCCGAGTGCGGTTAACATCAATCTTGTTTTTAGAAAGCAACATTGCAACATGGGACAAGACTCACAGTGACCCGGCGCTCCCAGGGTCGGCTGCTGACTGGTGATTTTGCAAGCCTTGTGTGCATGATCTACTTCGAAGCTGTAAAGCAGGCCGGCGTCATCACCCTCGGATAGCCCGAGTAATTGGTCAACGCTGCCTTGTGAAGTCACGGGCTCGACCCAGGAAGCATTGTAAGGGGCGGCGTAGTTCGCGAGGATGCTTAGCTTCTTCTTGTCGAGATCGAGTGCGAGCGTGGTGAAGTCGGCTCGGTCGCCCGATAACAACAGTTTGTAATGCATAGTGTGTCAACAGGGGTCAAAAAAGCGAGACGGATTCGATTGCACTTCCAGGCTAATTTGATAGCTACTTTGATACTAGATTCATTCCGTCCCGATTAAATTTGCTGCTTGAGTGAATGATGAGAAAGCCATGCGTGCCCTAATCTCCGATGGTCACGTGCATCGGGGGATGGGACCATCGCCGCCAAACACTGCCATCACTTCATTATCTCCGATGTCAGATTGCTCCGACCCGATGTCATTTGGGCACAGAACACAAGCCTGCCCATGGTTTGAAACGACTATGCAATACTCCGGAGGAGCAGATGTATATCTTCTCACAGACAAGCCCACAAGGTTCACCCTCAATGACAAGCGGAGACTCCACAAATCCACACGAAGCACAAGAGGCGAACGTCATTTCCTCGTGCGTCCAAGGTCATTTGTCTGGTGCATATGGTGAATACGAAAGCCCTGCCAGTCCTGTATCTCACCTATCCTGATAGGAAAGGATGGAGCAGCAGACGAAACTCTAACCGTTTTGTTGGCCACAGCGGTGAGGCAAGGGAAACGACAACCCGATGCTTCCAAACTGGTTCACAACGGTGGGAGAAGCTGTTAAGTTGCCGTGTACTACTACTTAATAATACCTTCTGTCTGGTTCTATCTATGAGCATCCACAAAGCCTCTTGTAGGGGGCTACACGACGCAGATGACGTGGTGCAACTATCATCGTTCGTGATACGTGCATCCACGCCCATACATTTGCCCTGTAGAATATAGATCCATACTCCGCTCACCCGGCTGCTAGTCGGATCAAGAATCCTCCAGTCGGACCAAGAATCTTCCAGTATGCACAGTATGCACCCCCAAACTGGATGGAGACGGGGCTAACCCCCACGCCCAGTAGCCCGAGGTCAGCGCCCAAGTGAGATGTCCGACGGGCCGTGTTGACATCGTCATTGAACCCGACCACGGTCTTGCATATCTGATTGGCGTGGCAGGCCCCCCGTGGTAACCCGTCTGGAGAATGTCGGGCAGGCCCGGGGTAACCCCAGCAAGATAGGAACTGGTTTCCCCCCACCCCCACGGGGTTACTTAAAGTAACCATACTCCTGCCCTCTTCAACCTCCGAGATGAAATCAGGCCATTATCACAACCGGCATGAATTATCACTCAAAGGACTCAATGCAGCCACGAGCCAAGGGAGACGACTCCACAACGGTGGAGCACGATGAACAGGGCACCATCCTTGATGTCGACGCCCTCACCGTAGAGGAACCTTCCTACGGCCCAGACGGCATTCGAGGGCTCTTCAGCTCAGGCTATATCCTCGGAGCCGCTTTCCTTGCCTCGCTGGGCGGATTCAGCTTCGGATATGACCAGGGTGTCATCTCGGTGATCAACGTCATGCCGCAATTCCACGCGGCCATTCCGGGATCAGCGAGCGAGTTCGGTAAGGGCTTTATGACTGGCATGTTGCTCCTCGGCGCCTTTGTGGGCTGTATCTTCATGCCGTACATGGCGGATAAGATCTCCCGCAAGTGGGCGTTGACAGTCGTCGTGGTGATTTTCGACATCGGGGCGATCATCCAGACGTCCGCCCAAAGCTACGGGATGTTAGTCGCAGGGAGAGCTATTGGTGGGATTGGAGTTGGTACGCTAGCCATGGTACGTACTTGATGAGAATCTTGGTACCCTATACATCTGATTGCTAACTCAGTTTGGCCACTCAGGGCGCACCGCTGTATATCTCAGAGATCTCGCCGCCAAACCTACGAGGAACCCTGTTGGTGCTAGAATCCATCTGCCTCGTTTCGGGCTCAGTCATTGCATATTGGATCACATTCGGGATGAGACTGGTGGACAGCGAGGCCTCGTTCCGTGTCCCCTTTGGGCTGCAGATGGTCAGCGCCACGCTGCTCGGAGTTGGCATCCATTTCTTTCCCTACTCCCCGCGGTGGCTGGCTCTGGTTGACCGTCCCGAGGACTGCCTGAAGAGTATCAGTAAGCTGCGCGGCCTGCCTACGACCGACACGAAGGTCCAGGCGGAATTCCAAGCCATCATGACGGAGATTCGGATCCAGAAGCTCATGGAAGAACGCCTGCGTCCCGGTGTAACCGGCTTCAAGCGAGAAGCGGCCCTATGGATGAGCTTGTTCAGCCGGCGCACATGGAAACGCACCGCCGTCGGCGTCGGAGCGGGATTCTTCCAACAATTCAGCGGAGTCAACGCTTTTGTATACTACGCCCCGACGCTCATGACGACAATCGGCCAGACCGGCGAGATGTCATTGATCCTATCCGGGGTCTTCGATTGTCTGCAGCTCGTCACCGTGCTGGTCTGTTTCGTGACCATCGACAAGATCGGTCGGCGGCCGCTAGCGATTTTCGGGGGCTTCGGCATGGGCGTCTGCTACATTGTCATCGCGGCCCTGACGGCGGTCTATGGGCCGGGCTGGTCCAACGAGTCGGCGGGGTGGGCCTGCGTGGCGATGGCCTTCCTGTTCATGCTCATTTATGGAAACACCTACTCGCCCCTTGGCTGGGCTCTGCCGTCCGAGGTCTTCCCGACGGCCCTGCGGTCCAAGGGCGTTGCGCTGTCGACCTGTGTCAACTGGCTATCGAACTTCGTGGTGGGGATCGTGACACCAGCGATGATATCGAATATCACGTACGGGACCTACATCTTCTTTGCGGCATTTTGTATTCTTGCGGGGGTGTGGGCGTTCTTGCTCGTGCCTGAGACGAGCGGGAAGACGCTGGAGCAGATCGACGAGATGTTTGGGGATGGTGGTAGTCTCGAGGAGAATGAAATCAAGCGAGAGGCTGCTTTAAAAGTGGGCTTTAGTGGAGCAAGCTCTGAGGTCTGACTTAATAGAAGTTGAGTATACTAGGTAGTTAGAGAAAACATCACATAAAAACATCAAACTTTTCGGGATACCTCTCGACTGCCGATCCCAGACTTGATGATGCTCACCAATTCTTCAAGCATGCATAATCACAAAGTGGGCGTGTTTCGGAAAGAGACTGGTTAATTGTAAACGTGCTTGTATCCTGAAGTTGTAGGAGGTGGCTGTCAAATGAGTAGTCAACCTCTGCCACAACACAACATCCTGGACCCCGTTCTAGTCTGAGCCTCCAGGCTACCACATTACCAGAGAAGCAAGATGCCAGTAGTGTGTGCCAATTGAGTGAAAAATCTTGTGCATAGCTGCAGCATGAAATCCAGCAGCCTGAAATTTGACAGCACGTCAGCTTCACACAACGGCCGATGTGGATTGGCCCGAGCGTCTGTCGATCGAACGTTGGCCTGAGGGTCCAGGCAGATTATGTACTAGTCCCAGATGGGGCTAGCGCACGCGAGCCGGCCAATGAAGGTGTCTGCTGCTGCTCGTATACTCCCAGGATCGCCGCCCTAAGATCGGGCTGAATGCAACATCTATATTTACAACAAAGGATCAAGGCTGCCTGGATGAGCCTCATCCTGGATAAAACCTCGAAGAAAACAGGGGGATATATAAGAGGTAATAGCCGTCGAGAAGAGAGTAGTCAAGCAATTAACCATTATCACATCAATGAGCACAACCACATTCATTGCCACGGCCACCAGTGCCCTAACCTCCGCGACCTCCACCGAAACATGCACCCACCCCCAGCCTGGCAAAAACGGCTATCTGCCGCCTGAAGCCTGCGACGCAATCTTAATGTACGTGCCGTCATTTGCAGCTGCCGTACTCTTCTGTGTCTTGTTCGGCTTCACCACCATCTGCCACCTCGTACAAGCCGTTATCTACAAGAAGGTAGCCGGCCCGCTCCCTGCAGATTCCTGTCTCCGCCCAGCCACCATGCTAACAACCCCCCCAGAGATACGCCTGGGTAGTGATTATGGGTGCTCTTTGGGAGCTCCTAGCCTTCATTTTCCGCGCCCTCCTCACGCGTAAACAAAACAGCGACATCTATGACACGCTGTACACGATCTTCTTTCTCCTAGCACCGATTTGTGAGCACTGCCCTCTCTACCCCACCATCCACCCAGTCCCATCCACTAACCGAGCAACGCAAAAGGGATAAACGCGTACCTGTACATGACCCTGGGCCGACTCATCCATTTCTTCCTCCCAACCCGCCGCCTCGCCCACCTCACCTCAACTCACTACGCCCGCCTCTTCGTCTGGCTGGACATCGTCGCCTTCCTCGTCCAGCTCGCGGGCGCCTTCATGACGACAGGCGAGGACCAACCACAAAGCACGACAATGCGGGGCCTGCACATCTACATGGGTGGGATCGGGATGCAGGAGTTCTTCGTCCTGATTTTCACAGGACTAACCATCCATCTCCACCGGAAGCTGCTCTCCATGGAGCGCGACGGCACCCTGGACGCGGAGCGCGTATACCGCGCGGCCGGGGGACCGTTCCGACCGACGTGGAAGAAACTGCTGGCCGTGATGTACCTGGCGCTGGGGCTGATCACGGTGCGGATCGTGTTCCGGCTGGCGCAGTACGCGCGGGGCACGGACGTGAACAACCCCGTGCTGACGCACGAGTGGTACGAGTATGTGTTCGATGCGGTGCCCATGTTCGTCGCGCTGGTCGGGTTGAATGTCGTGCATCCCGGGCAGGTGCTCCGCGGGGAGGGATCGGAGTTTCCGCGATTGAGTCGGAGGGAGAAGAAGGCTTTGAAGCGGGAGAGGAAGGAACGGAAGCGGGAGGTGAGGATGAGGAGGAAGCTAGGGGATGGCGCCGGGGAGTCGTTTGAGGAGTTGGGGGTGCTGGAGGGGGGTAGTGCTGGGGTGAGGGGTTAGGGCTGGCTCATGTTGTACGGATTGTGTTTTATGCTGGTATAGACTTTCTACGAATTGCTACTTGTTGATTCGCAAATATGCTCAGGAAACTTCAGTCTCATATCGCGTGTCTGTTCAGCTCCTTCGCGGAATGTCGATCCAAGAATTCAGTGATGAATTGGCTGCACGTCCTCCTGCCGCGAAGCTGGCCGACTTGCGGGAATTGTACAAGACTGTCACGCCTGTGTTTAATCTCGACGATCCGCAGGACGGCGAGATCTTGATCTGGGCCATCCTAAACGAGCGTGAGGAGGATGCGCTGTTGCTGGTGGAGCAGGGAGCGGATGCGAATACTCGGGACGAAAGCGGTATGACCGCGCTCGCGTGGGCTGCAAGCTATGGTTTGGTGAATGTTGTAGAAGCCCTACTAGACGTGGGTGCTGAATCCGATCCCGTGGATAAAGATGGCTGGACTCCGCTCATGCTGGCCGCCGAGAGGGACCATTCCGAGGTTGTTCGCATCATGTTGGGCAAGGGCGTCCACGTCAACAGAAAGAATGAGGAAGACATGACGGCGCTCCTCTGTGCATCGTGCGAATCGGTCGTGGCTCTGCTCTTAGATGCAGGAGCCGATCCAAATGCCGCGGACCTGAACGGGCGGACGCCAATCAGCTATGCTGCCGAGAGAGGTGATGAGTCGTCGGTGTTGCTGTTGTTGGAGAGGGGTGCGATGATCGAGGAAGGCCAGGAGTCGTCGCCGCTGATGGAAGCCATCAGCCAGCATAGCACGGCGTTTGTCCAACTGCTCCTTGAAAAGGGCGCGGACCCGTACTCGGATGAGTATAGCTGCTGCGAGTATCCTCCCCTACGACATGCGGCAGATCATGGCCAAATGGAATTCGTGCGGCTGCTCTTGGAGAAAGATGCAGTGTCCGCCCGAAACCAAGAAGGATCATATACTCCGAGCTATCGATTCAGCCTGTGAGGCGGGCCATAACTATATGGTCGAATTGCTGACGAGGCAGTATCCCTTTGGGTGCACTGACGATGAGGATTTGATTCGAGAGCTCCAAGGGGTCGCGGACGAGGTTGCGGAGCGATATGCGTATGACCGATTGACCGATCTGGTTGCTGCAAGGATGAATGAACAGCACTGGGGAAGTCCTGGTGTGCCTTAGACTTTTTAGTGTTCGACTACAGTACAGTAGCATTCTGACTTTCTGTTTCGGTCCTGTGTCAAGACATCAGTCTGCGTCAGGATGTACACTATATCAAGTGCTTCTCCAGAGGGCACATCACACAAGCAGCCTTGAGCCTCCCACACACGACAGTTGGGGTTCGATTCCCTCTGTTGCAGCCTTGGAGATCCTTATTTCTCTTTGGGTGCGGGTGGATCCCGTCGGCTCGGGCATAAATCGGAACCAAGAAACTCAATTGCTCAGCATGCCGATCCTCTCCCAATTCAGCTGCTCCGGTCGCCGGCCCAATGCAACAAAATCAATTCACCATGTGCATTAATTAATTACTTTCCCTTGATGTATGCCTACAAAATCAACACAGCAGGGCAACAGTTTCAGCTATTCAAAGACCTCCGATCAGCACTCCCTCAAACAGCCCATCCCACGGCTCAGCATGTAAGAGACCAGACACAAGTTATCCGAACCTGTTGCGGCATGAAACCACCGCCCCACCGGGAGAGAACTTTTCCCCGGACAATCCCCCGTTCCACGGCTGCCTGCCACAATAGACTCTGGTCTGACCACGGGCAAATGAACCATGGAACGACTGCCTACAAAAGGCTGGAGCAACCCCGGGCTGGCGATCGATTGCGTGCGTCTCTCTTTGTTCTGCTGCCGGGGGAGCCGGGATCGCTGTGTCGTGACATCATGAGCACCTTCGCCAAAATAGAGGAGAAAAATAAAATAAAAAAATCTTTTGGAGTGAGACTAGCGGCGGCTTGGGGGTTTATTTGGCCCGTCCTTTTTTTCTCGGATCCTTGTGTCGCATAGTGCAGAGTTTGATTGTGCAGGATTCTGGCAGATTAATTTTACGAGGGATTGAAGGATCAGAAGACACGGAACGGTAGAAGACAAGTATAATTCTAAAGGGGTATCATCGACATTAAATTGGATGCTAGGGAAGGGCGGTGTTCATAAAGTGAAGGAGTGGATGTGGACACTCTCGGGGGTGAGCAGTGTCCACCAACTGGTGGTGGTCCTGGGCGGAAACGACGGGCTGAGCACAAGCACAGGCACAGTACGCACATCACCTGATACGGTCCAGACCCCAGATACCAGCACAGGAAATTGCTGTTGTCTCGCACGGCAGAGTGGTCGCATTATCGCGTGCGTCATGGAGGGTGGGCTGGCTCATCGCGGCCACCCGTGGTTCGACACTATCTCCGACGAGGACAACTGCGGATGGTCATCCACGTCCTGCTCGATGACGGTGTGCACCGCAATGCCCTGCAACTCGACATCGGAGCTGTTGCGACTGGCGCTGGCGGCCACATTCGCTCCCTTGGAGAGCTGCGACCCATGCAGGTCGTTGATCTGCAGGAACCCGTCGTGGTGGGTGTTGCTCGTCGGGTAGCCGTACAGCTTCGTGCCGGAGGAAGGGTGCGACCGGCCCTTCGACACCCCGGACTTGACCTTGCCCAGGAAGCCCTGCAGCAAGGGCTTCAACAGCGGCAGGCAGCCGCAGATGATCGCGATGTCGAGTTCCAGGCATGTCCAGAGGGATTCTTTGGCACTCGATGCTGTGTGAGAATTAGAACCTTTCTCTTGAACATCAAGCCAAACGTAGGGTAAAAAAGGTCGGCTTACAGGCAAGATCGGTGGTGATGAACTTGCGGAATTCAATTAGTCGCATCAAGCTGAAGATACAGACCCTAAGCACGATTAGTTGGAGGTTTCCTCGCCAAGTGAAAGTAAACTCACAATCCACCCAAAGAAAAGACCATGGTCAAGGCGATCTTCTGTCGCGTAGTAATTTGAAGACCCCAGACCACCGGCGCAGGAAGGAACAGAATGATCACATCCTCGACGAGGGCGATCGAGCCCATGGCCTGGAAGAACGCCCGCTGGCCCGCCATGCAGTGACCGTTCAACGTTTTATCGTAGTAGTACTGGACCGGAATGCACTGGAAGATATTCACCAGCAGGGCCGTGACGGCCCAGCAGGCGATGAAGATAATCAATCCATTGGAGACGATGGTGTACGTGCGCAGAGTGCCGAGCAAGCGTCGCAGAAACACGACGATGCTGATCTTGATGAACGCGGCGGACGGCGCCCAGAATTTCTGAATCATCCATGATCCCTGTGGGTGCATCGGTTAGGAAAAGTCACAGATGGTTGTTGCAGGCAGACTCGTGAACATACAAATTGAATCCGATGACGCTCCTTGGCAGGGAGGGACGCGACAGGGATTCCAACCCCGTTGAAGGCAGCTGCAACATCCCCCGTATCAGCAATTCATCCCAAGACTCCCTCAGCACACAGGCAAACTCACTATCCACCACGAAGGCAGTCGCGCAGTAAGACAGAATCAACCCGACGCCCATCAGCCAATCCTCCAACTTCAACCCAGCGGTGGTATACCGCCGCGAGTACAGGCGCAGGGCATAGGTGATAGTCGCGAAGGCAGCTCCCACGATGGGGACGATAGTCAACGCATTTTTCCAGTATCTATTCTCTTCCCAAGTCATTCTGCGTTGCCAAATGATGCGAGTCAGCCCTTCGAGATGATGGACGACGACCGGGCACAGCACAGTTCCATGTAAGGAAAATCGTGGGAAATTTTTGGCGGAGGGGAAGTTTAAAGTGAATTGGGCTGTTCCCCTTTGAGGATCGCTCGGTGACCTTAATTAATATTCTTAGATTATTAGAACTGTGCTGGCGTCGCCACCAAACCTTAACGGACAGGTTTGGGTCTTGGACTCTTTGGTTTCTGGCACACAAAGCTGACTCTCCGACCGGAGGAAGAGAGGGAGGGAGAGAGGGGGAAGGGGAAATGCACGCTGATTTGTCATGGATTTCCTTTGGGCCACGCACCGCTCGCAAGGGAGGGTCCGAATGGGCTCTCTATTCTTCAACTATTGAATTCCTTTCCATGGCTGTCGCTGTGTTAAGCTTGTGAGAGTTCCTCCCGGGGCGGAGTTTAAGATTTTCTATGTCTTCTACGAGACCTGAACCGTGTTTTGAGGTGATCGATCAAGCCGTGCTGCCCTGGAGCTCTGGGTTTCCCCAGTCTTCTCGTTTAGTTCTGCAGTGCTGATCCGCACGATTCTTCATCCCCAGGAACGTGAGTCTTATAGAGTCTGGGGATGCTTAAGATCGTCATGCAGCATCGTAGTCTAGAAGGGGTGGAATGATCGCGTGGCAGTCGTGGTAGTCGTGGCTAGACAGGGATGCGGTGCCTTTCAGGGGGCAGGAGAGGCAGTCTTCCTTGCAGGAACCATCTGCACCAGGGCAACAAGTGGGAAGCTGTGTGCGTGGGATGATCTATCTGAGACACCGGTTGGCTGGCAGGATTCCCACTTGACTGCAAAGGCATGCAAGTCCGAGGCTATAGAGGCAGTCTAGTATAGTGGCTATATCAGTCGATTGCGGAGACTGGCCTTTCGGAGGACGGCCGAGCCCTAAAGACAGTTAAGCGTGGTGGCGCCCAACGAAGCCCACGCCACGAATCACCGTTCGAAACCTTAAACAAACCCGCTGGAGAAGACAGGCAAGACTAGAAGTCGGTGGAGTCCACTGTGGGTCATCGTTCTGAAGTGGTGGAGCTAGTCTAGCATCTCCTGGTGCCTCCCTGTTTCTCTCTCTGTTCACGGCCTCTGGCTCCCTCAGTAGCCTCGAACCCAGTCGGAGGTCGGATTCTGTTGCAACAATCTCATCCTTACCAGTCCCCAGTATTCCTCCACTTCCTGAGTCGTGCAATTCAATAGTCTGCGCCATCCTACGCGATCGGGAGAAACACTGACCAGCCAGACCTCGTGCGGAACGTGCCGTTACCCGACTTTCATATTTTTTTTCTTCCCTTGCATTGCCGTGCAATTGGGTCCCTTTGCGAGAAATAAATTGACGCGGGATCGTCGGGGGGATTGCCCAATTTTTTTCTCCCTCAACCCAAACCATTCCCCATCTTCATTCTCGATTGTCTCATTCTCGCGTGGCAGAGGACAAGAAAAAAAAAAAGATGGCGTCTTCGGGGTACAAGATGTCGTATGCCGCATTGGCCGTCCAATTTTTGGGCCTGGCCTCTGCGAGCTGCAGCAACTGCAGCCTGAGTGCGCTGAATACGACTGTCGGTGGTCGTGTCCAGCCTCTCACGCCCTTCTCCCTCCCCTGCTTCTCCAGCTACAATGGCCACCCCGTCACCCCCAACGATGCCGCCTGCGCCACCATCCAGGCCAACTACAGCGACCCCTACTTCCGCACCAACACCCCCAATGGGTACATGAACTACCAGGATGAGATGTGCTCGTCCAACCCCCAGGATCAGTGCGTCCTGGACAGCAGCGATCCCACCGACCCGCTGGCCTTCAATGGCACCGACTGCCGCCAGGGCAACATGCCCTCCTACTACCTCGAGGTCCACGATGCCACCGACGTGAGCGCCGCCCTCGAGTACTCGCGCTGCTCCGGCGTGCGCGTCGCCATCAAGAACAGCGGCCATGACTACCTGGGCCGGAGCAGTGGCAAGGGCACTCTACAGCTGTGGACCCGTAACCTGCAGGACATGAGCTATCAAGCGACCTTCGTCCCCAAGGGCTGCCCCGCCAACACCACCTACAACGCCATTACTGCCGGTGCCGGTGTCAACTTCGATGAGGCCTACGCCTTCGCCCATGACCACAACGTCACCATCCTGGGTGGTTACTCCCCCACGGTCGGTCTGTCCGGCGGTTGGGTGCAGATGGGCGGCCACTCCGTACTCTCCCCCGTCTACGGTCTGGGTGTCGACCGCGTCGTGCAGTACAAGGTCGTGACCCCCGACGGCAACCTGCGCATTGCCAACGAGTGCCAGAACCAGGACCTCTTCTGGGCCCTCCGTGGCGGTGGTGGTGGTACCTTTGGTGTGGTGCTCGAGAGCACCCACCGCGTGGAGCCTCGCTTCGGATTCACGGCGGCCATCGTCAAGTTCACCAGCAACTCGACCAACGTGCTCCCCTGGATGGACATCATCGTCAACAGCACCCTGCGCTGGGCCGAGGAGGGCTGGGGCGGCCACATCACCGGCAGCACCCTGATCAACGTCTCCCCATTGATGACCGTGGCGCAGGCCCAGCGGTCCCTCGCCTCGGTGATCGCCTACGCCAAGGCCCAGGGCGGTTCGGCCGTGGTCGAGCACTTCGCCTCGTGGTACGACTTCTACACGAAGTATGTGACCTCGGAGGCGGTCAGCGTGGGCGTGACGCACTTCGCGGGCAGCCGTCTCGTGCCGCGCGCGGTGTTCGAAACGGCGGAGGGCCGTGAGAACCTGATGGACTTCTTCAAGCTGATCCAGCAGAACGGGCAGACCCCCTACATCCCCGTGGTGGGCCCGGTGCTGTACAACTACACGGAGGGGTCGACCAGCGCGACCCCGGCCTGGCGCCAGGCCGTGTGGGAGCTGGGCTCCGGCAGCGCGTGGGCGTGGAACAGCACCCTCGCGACCCGCGAGGCCAAGATCGCCACCCTGCAGAACATGACGGCCACGCTGGAGCGCATCACACCCGGCAGCGGCGCCTACAGCAACGAGGCCAACCCGTTCACCGAGGACTGGCGCGAGGCCTGGTGGGGCACGGAGAACTACGACAAGCTGCTGGCCATCAAGCACAAGTACGATCCCTCCGGGTTGTTGAGCTGCTGGAAGTGCATTGGCTGGCAGGAGAGCCAGGCCAACAGCACCTGCTTTGCTGCGTTTCAGTGAGCCTCTTCCAGAAAAGACAGATAGATTGTTAGATGCTGTTTTCGGTCGCCCGTATTTCTCCTCGCGGAGTGCGGGCGCAGGTCACTCTTTCGCAGCGCGGATAGAATATGTGTAATACCGAATAGACTTAATGTTTGTTAATGAGTTCAGGACATGTCGATAGTGTGAATAATGAGATGGTCTCAACCCTTTACTAGAACCTACTCTTTCCTGCGCTGTACGAATGATTGATGCATAAAGTACTTGTGCGTGGCTGTAGTGCTCATTAGAGTGGCGTTAGCCGCCAGTTGACCAACTAGCACGGAATCGGTCGGTTCGTCGGAGGGCGGTGGAGCTGTTTGTCATTTTTGCAGCCGCTGTCATCAAAAGCGTAAAGATCGGCGTGGCTCACTGTTTCCATGGAACCGGACGATGCGTGCTAGATCGGGCCTAGCGTATCTGAGAAGTCCTGAAAGGGTCCGATCCCGGCTCCGGTCGGCTTTGCACTTCCCGGCCCTGAGTCCTGGACTCTGTTAGGTAATTTCTTCGAGGCTCTCCTCTAGGCTGAGACATTGTTTTGTGCAACTGTGCTACACATAATCTTTTGCTTCCTATCGACTACTTAACACAACAACATGTAGATTGAATCCAGTGTTGTTTGACTGTACTACCGCATCGACATCAGTAGATAAGGCAATAGTTGTTAAGAAGAATTACTTCCAGATGCCTGCTCTTTGTGAACTGCGGATGGAAATATATCGACACACTCCCACGGCTAGATCATCCTTACACACAAGATACGGCAGCCTTCAAGTTTGACTGTTTTGTGTATCTCAAGCTTGAATAACGCTACTTGCATATTTAATCCAATATTTGATTTGAGGCTGACTGGAGGGTGGTTGAACATTTCCTGCCTGAATTGATATGGTATGATCGATATCATCTGGGTCAGGGTGCATCCTACTCATATGATGCTCACCATCCAAGGCAGTGTTGCTCGACCCTCCGATGCAGAACGTCATAGCACATGAAAACCCGACGACTGGCGGCTGTTGTTGCAGATATGAACATCCCCGCGCTTAATGCAATGTGGTTAATTGAATCCTCAGAATTAGCCGACTCTCTCGGATTGCCTACAAGCAGGCTCGGCATGGCAGCGGGAGTGGTGGAATTACCCTTCGCCAAGCCTCGGCACTGCCGTGAGTAAACCCCCCCGCATTCAGCATCCGATCAACATGATACTACGAAGGGTATCTCTCCGGTGGGAGACATCGACGATGGACATCTTTGCAACTCAATCCCCGTGGGGTGAATCTTGGCGACCACAATGCTGTCTATATAAACAGCTGCAATAGTCGGGAACAAAAAAGTCGTAGCTGCAGACTCCAGGCGACCAAGATGGAGCTTCAATCGATAATCACCCGCCTGTTGACGGCCCTGCTCGGGTTGTGGGCTCTCCTGCCTACAGCCGGGGCCTATACGAACCCGATCCGTAACCCTGGGGGCTCCGACCCCTTCTTGGTGTACACCGGTGGATACTACTATCTGATGACCACCACCTGGACGGACCTCGAGATCAGCCGGGCCACTACCATCGACGGCCTCAAGACCGCCGAAAAGAAGGTCGTCTACTCCACCTCCACCGCCGGCCGCTGCTGTAACGTCTGGGCTCCGGAGGTTCACTACCTGGGTGGCAAGTGGTACATCTACTACACCGCAGGGGAGACGACCGACCTGGACGGCCAGCGTCTCCACGTCCTCACGGGTAAGCAGCCCACCACTCCTCCATTGAAACTCCCCACTAACAGTAATTGCAGGTGGCTCCACCCCCTGGGACGAGTACACCTACACCGGCCAGCTGACGACCGAATGGTCCATCGACGCGACCGTCCTCCGCACCAACGCCTACGGCAACTACCTCGTCTTCTCCTGCTTCCACGGCGTGACCTACCAGTCCCTCTGCATCCAGAAACTGGGCGACGACTACGTCAGCCTCACCGGCAGCATCAGCGTCATCTCCGAACCGACCGAGAGCTTCGAGATCCACGGCACCCCCGTCAACGAGGGGCCCGCCGCCCTCTACATCTCCGGCACCACCTACCTGGCCTACTCGGCCTCGTACTGCTGGACCCCGTACTATTGCGTCGCCCTGTTGACCTGGGACGGCACGACTGATCCCACCTCTAGCAGCGCCTGGACCAAGGGCGATAGCTGTGCGCTGTCCTCGGCCAACGGTAACTACGGCACCGGCCACAACAGCTTCTTCCAGAGCCCCGATGCTACAGAAACGTGGATTGCGTACCACGCGTCGAATAGCAGTGCCGGGGCGTGCGATGATACGCGGTATACGATGGTGCAGCCGTTGGGGGTGAGTGGGGGGAAGCCTGTGTTTGAGACGCCGGCGGCGTTTAGTACTGTGTTTAGTGAGCCGAGCGAGTAGGTATGCAGATCGTTTGCCGGGGTCTGTCCAGTGGTCTGAGATCAGCTGGCTAGATGTGAAATGCAATTATGTCTGATGATAGCTACTCTTGTACAGTACATCAATGCATAGTTCATGTACTCCGGATGTATGGGCAAAGTGGCCCAGTCTGTGGGTGTAAAACCAGTGCTTCCCTCTAGTCGACAATGTTTTGGTTTCCTCTAGACCAGATCACCAGCAGTGAGGCTAACCATAATTCTTCCCACTTGACCTGACCTGACGTGACAACTGCACTTCAACCATATTGCTAGTATGAGTCTGCACATTAGACATTAAACTTCTTTACCTCCGCCGCAGCCCCTCATCCACCGTCCTTTCATTTTCCCCCAGTCCCCCCCCCTTCTTCACCAACACCCCAGCAACATACGGCATAACCCCCTCCCCAAAATACCTCCGCAGCTCGACCCTGCCCCACCCGCCGTCCTCCGCAGCCGCACGCCTCAGCGCCCCCTCCGTGTCCCTCGTCAAACAACAATCCCCAACAAACCACCGCCACCCCAACAACTCATACACCCCCTGCACGAACCGAGCCACCACCGACCCCGTCCTTCCTTCTTTCTCCTCACCTTTCCTCCCCCCGAACCCCCCAAACCCCGAATTAACCACATGCTCGACCACAATCACCCGCCCACCCGGCTTGAGCAACGAATACAGCCCGCGCACCGTCCCCTCCAAATCCGGCACCGAGCACAGCACCCGCACGCAGAGGATGGTATCGACGCCCCCCGCCCCACTTCCGTCCACTAAACCCCGCTCCCGCAACACGGGAACCAACTGCTCCGGCGCAGCACTACACCCGAGAATCGTGTACTTCTCCCCGACGCCTTCCGCTTCCGCGCGGGCGCGCAGGGTCGCGTGCAGATGATGGCAGGGTTCGACGCCGAAGAGGGCGGTGATGGCCGGCGAGCGGAGGTGGGGCATCTGCGTGCCGGTGCCGGGGCCGAGGTCGAGGGTGATGCCGCGCGCGGTGGCAAGGAGGGGCGGGATGAGGTCGGCGGAGCCTTGGATCTCTGCTGGCGTGTCTTCGTGGTGTTCCTGGTTTGATTGCTGCGATTGTTGCTGCTGGGTTGGCTCTGGTTTTGTGGTGGGTTGGGTGGGTTGGGGTGGTGCTGTGAATGTTTAGCACTGCATACGTGCGGAGTTTAGGGAAAGAGGGGGAGATACCGCTAAATGCTACCCAGAACCGGCCGAAGGCTTCGTCGCGCAGGCGCTGGGTCTCGAGGAGAGGGGCTAGGATGTGGCCTTCGAGGATGGCTTCGAGGCATACAATCAGGTAGCCTGGGGTGGTTAGTGAGGTTTGCATAAGAGGGGGAAGACGCAGACGTACTCTTCATGGCCATGGACAGGATTTGACCGGGTTCGAGGAGGGATGCGAGCCATTGTCGGGTCGTTGGGGGGGTCATTTCTGTGGTGGTGTAGTGGAGAGGGGTAAGATGACAGGGTGTAAGATTGGAAGGGAGAGTGAGGGAAGAAGATGAGTGAGTGTATAAGCAGCTGACGGTGACACAAAGTGTCAGTTGAACTAGCAATCAAGGTGGAGAAGCACTCGGGAAAATCCAGACATGAACCCATTTAAACGGCGACCCGATAAGAAAAGACACATCGAGACCCGGAGGGAGGATGGGAGTTGACCAATCGGAGTGGGTGGACTGGGCTCGGCGTTTGGTATTCGGTCTTGGCCTTGCGATCAATCGCCGAGTAAAGATTCCTCCAGACGATGATTCATAAATGCTGACTTGAGATAAATTGCATTGATGCTTGACTAAAGCCTAGTAGACCAAGTCTTATGCGAATCCACCCAGAGGATCCAGTTTAGGATCACATCAAGGCCAAAAATCGAATCGTGCGACTGCATGCGATCGGTGTCTGCTCGGTCTTTGGCAGTGGTTATCGCCCCGCCTTATCGTCGCGCCTTACCAGAACCGAGTGGGGGTTTGCTGCTATTAAATGCATCGTTATCCTCCTCTACAGGCTTCACAGTCACCAAAGTCAGTCTCTGAGCTCACCAATTTCCGAAATGACGCGCGAACCTGTCCCCGCCAGCGCTGACTATTACGACCTGGGCACTCATGCGCGCACCGTTACCACCAACAGCGAGGATGCGCGCGTCTGGTTCAACCGCGGCCTTGTCTGGGTCTACTCCTTCCACCACGGTGAAGCTGTCCACTGCTTTGAACAAGCCATCCAGCATGATCCGTCCTTTGCAATGGCCTACTGGGGTCTCGCCTACGCCGTCGGACCCAACTACAACAAAGCATGGGAACGCTTTGACCGCAAAGACCTGCACACCTGCGTCCAGCGCGGCCACGAAGCATCCCAAAAGGCCCTGGAGCTATCCAGCAACGCCACCCCCCTCGAGCAAGGTCTTTGCAGGGCTATCGTCGAGCGGTTCCCCTGCGACACTCCCTTGAGCCCGGAAGACTACGGCGCTGTCAACTGCACCTACGCCGACGCGATGAAGCCTGTGTACGAGCAATTCGGCTCCGACCTCGACATCGCCACCCTCTACGCTGACGCCCTCATGAATGTCACCCCCTGGGCCCTTTGGGACCTATTTACCGGCAAGGCCAACCCCAAAGCCCGAACTACAGAAGTTCAGACCGTGCTCGAAACCGCCCTCACGCAAACAGGGGCTTACCGCCACCCCGGCCTGTTGCACCTGTACATCCACTTCATCGAGATGTCTCCGACCCCCGAGAAAGGCATTTACGCTGCGGACCACCTGCGCGATCTCGTTCCCGACGCCGGACACATGCATCACATGCCCACGCATCTGGACATCTTGATCGGGGACTGGCGCGCCTCAATCCGGTCCAACTACCGGTCCACCCTGGCCGACGACCGCTACGCCGCCAAAGCCGGCCACAACAACTTCTACACCTTCTATCGTCTGCACGACTACCACTCCCTGGTCTATGCCGCCATGTTCGCGGGTCAGAAGCGCACGGCCCTGGACGCCGTCACCCGGATGGAAGCCAGCATCCCGGAGTCTCTACTCCGCACGCAATCCCCACCAATGGCCGACTGGATCGAGCACTTTGTCGCCATCCGGCTGCACGTAATGGTCCGGTTCGGCATGTGGGAGGAACTCAAGCAAATGCCACTCCCCGCCGACCAAGCCGTGTACGCCATCACCACCGCCACCACACACTATGCCCGCGCGCTCGCCCACGCCGCCACCAACGATATCCCCTCCGCCCGGAGCGAACAGGCCCTCTTCCTCGCCGCCCGCGAAAGGGTACCGCCGACCCGCCGGGCGTACAACAGCAAAGCCCTCGACATGCTGGCCGTCGGCATCCCCATGCTGACAGGGGAGATCGAGTACCGCGCCGGCAACTACGGGGTCGCCTTCGCGGCGCTGCAGGAGGCGATCGAGCTCGAGGACCGGCTGCCCTACAGCGAGCCGTGGGCGTGGATGCAGCCCGTGCGGCACGCGTACGCCGCGCTGAAGCTGGAGCAGGGCGAGGTTGAGGAGGCGGCCCGCACGTACCGCGCCGATCTGGGGCTCGATGGGTCGCTGATCCGCCCGCGCAGGCACCCCAACAATGTCTGGGCGTTGCATGGGTATCATGAGTGTTTGGTCAGGTTGGGCAAGACGGAGGAGGCGAAGGCGATCGAGCCGGCCAGGAATGTGGCGTTGGCTGGCGCGGATATTCCGATTCGGGCTTCGTGTTTCTGTCGGTTGGAGGTTTTGCAGGATGCGAAGTGCTGTGGGGGGGAGAGTTGCTGAGTGCAGTTGCAGGGATGATAGTGGCGTGGAGGATCGCTGCACGAAGATGTGTGTATAGATGTTAGTTTAATGTGTACTTCACATTGGAATTGAAGGCTAACAGTGTCCATGTCACTGTACCGTATTTGTGGTTCTGATTATTCAAGAGGGAGAGGGGAGGGGGGG